CGCTAGTCAGACTAGAAAGAGGTCAGCTCTAGCATTGAGGATATAGGAAGAGATGTACGCACAGGGGGCAACCAGAGGGGAACGTCGGATTGAAGGTCGCGCACGTCTGAAAGCGCGTCAAATTTGAAATGTAATTGCCTAGGATGGGGGCACATACCTAAGACTGACAGTCACAGACATCGCCATCGCCGGACGAGAAGAGGATAGAGGTACCACGAGCACCGAGCTGCAAGTGCACGTTTGAAAGGTTGCTGCAGACGTAGTCAGATCAATCGATCATACAAGCGGAAAGGCACGCACTTGGCCAAGCGATTGTGAAATCCATTGAGTGTCAGATATGAAGCGGCATATGCCAACTTGGAGAAGCGACCAGAGTCGTCTGGAAGCATAGCAGCTCTGGATCTATTGCTCGAAACGCGATCAGTCTGGAATACTGGATCTAGATGCATGACTCCGCTTGCCGGCAGCAGCGGTGATGAGCTTCCCCTTGGACTAAGCCACCAGCGAGGCGCACGGTCGACACCTATCGTTTCGGACGGCCGGCGCAGGTTCGGCTTGTAGGCCAAATGGGCGATCAGAACATACGATGTTGCATTCTTGAGACTTGAGACCGGAGTACGTACATACGAAGCAGGTAATCCTACGCAGGTACCTTCGACGCTGAAATCACGATGAGTCACGCGAGAAGGCCGGAAATAAGGTCACGTACATTTCGAGGAAGTGAATTCTTGCACCACAGCGAGGATGACAGACAGTCAGGAACTGGATAGGTCGTCATTCATGGTTCTGTTGCAGGGTTTCTGGGCTAATGAAAGCGGCGTCAGTTTGCTGTTGTGCATGCGCCACATAGACCCAGGACGATACGGAGCGCGGGTGAAGCTAGAGAAGCCGTAGCGGAGTGCCGCGAGTGACAAATGATGGGATGAGACATCGCTACCGGATATGCTTGCAGGCGCAGCGCGATGGGCGGAAGCAGCAGTGCTCATCGCATGTGTAAACGCTTGATGCCAGACCACCTCAGCATCCGCCGGAGACTCGTGGGTCAAGGCGCGATTGTAGGGATGCTACTCTAATCTCTTCGACGTGAGCTTGGTGTTACTTGTTGACCCCTTCGCGCGGCAGCGGCGCAGGGGACCTCTTGACGTGCCGTGTCGACCTGAGAAAGACGGTGCGGGTAGAGAGGCACAAGCCGTAACACCTTAGCGCGACTCTGCTAAGCATGCTACGGATCTCGATGGACAGGGTCACACTTTGGCTATATCTGAGGAGACCGGGAGGGGGATGGTGGTGGTAAGAAGCTAGCCGCGTCTTGACAGACGCGTTACTGAAGGTCGGCCGCGCGTCTCATCTCCGCACGCAAACTGCACAGTACCTCGACTCTCGCCGACGCGACCGGGATGTGTCCGCGATCTGACTTCGCGCGCGTGTATCCACGCGTCGGGGCAAGTCAGGTGTACCGTGTCATCTACTGGAGAGGAAGGTAATGTATATCGCTAGCTGCGATGTGTCTGGCTGATATACTAGTACAGAAAGTTTCCCGCTGGCTAGGCCAAACCAGGTTCCGAACAGGTTCAAACCGGAAAAAAATGGTCAACTCGTCGTCAAGCCTGCTGGGGAGTCAACCAATACAGACAGCCCGAGGCGTCCACTAGTCAATAGAGTCTTAGTACTACGATTGGAGCAATCGATGTTGCCAATAAGGTGACAAATTCGTAGATATAGGATTCACAATCATATGTCCGTACAAGCTTCCTATTATTGCACGTCCTATACATTCGCTCTACGCTCATGACACGATTACGTTCCCCACCGAGTCATTCAGTACTCATGCACATACAGATGTATCTTATTGATGCATGTGAAGGAGCCTTCGGGTTGGCCCCATATCTCCAACAGTATCTGGTCCACGTCGGCAATGCAAGCTATATTTCCGGGAACGAGACTCGCATCCAGTTCGCGGACGTCATGGAGCAGTATAGGGCGGCGAGTGGCGAAGTGCCCGTGCAGGTGGGTCGGGATGTCTGTGTACGGCCGCAAGCAATGCTCAGGAATTTGGTTATCTTGCGCCGTTCCGCCGAAGCCCCATGCACGGAAGCGTGTCGGGAGCGACCTCGCAAGCTTGGCGCTGCTTGTTGTCTCAAGCGCGACTCCAGCAACCAACGCTGAGGAGCCGAGCCGTATTCCAACCGTCCCATGATGTCCGAGTAAGGGCCAGCATGTATCAACAGACGTTGACCGGGAAAGGATGGTGTCCGGCGACGAAGATAGGGAGTAGGACCGTCGTGTATCGAACATTTCCATGAGTCTTCTCAAGGCGCGTTGGTCCAAACGCTCAGACAGGTGGTAGGTTGGTGAGGTCGTGGGTATATCGATTTGAGCGCCGCGTACAATCTTCGCCACTTCGCGCGTTGCGGACGGTGTTCGCTTCGCATCGCCGCCGATGTATGGTGCAGGACTGCTCGAGTAGGCGGGGCATGCGCCGAGAGATGACCGAGGGTCTCCTACGGGCTGTGCGGTCCCGATAGGCCATGGCGAACCTGGTGAGACGGAGACTTGCGGAGCGATCGCAAGCGACTCTGCTGCGGCAGCTAGCTCGGTCGGCGGCGGCAATTGAGATGCAGTGTAGTTGTCGTATAGTCTATGGCCCTTCCTCACTTCTATGGAGATAGATGATCCAGCGCATGCGAGGGCTACGTCACTTTTCACGACCATGCGCAGTTGACATGAGTGTCCAAGGAAGAAGACTGGTATACAGGCCCTGCCTGTCGTGGACAACGCGTCAGCACTGCAGTTACAATGCATATCGAAGGTGATGGCGGAAATTGTGTCCCAAGTTGCCGATAAATGAGAGAGCACGGACGATTCATGAGACATGACATCGCCGACTGCACACCTCGCAGTCCATGGGACGATAGCGACCCAGAGTGTCAGAAGACAGATCCAGACTACCAAGGTCGCTGGTATTAGGATAAGCTTAAGAAAGAGTCGCACGAGTAGAGGGCAGCTTGAAGAACGTCCGGGGTGCTTCTGCATTCAATCAATCCCTGGAACCGCAAACGAGATGAGAACGCGCACCGGCATAGTTGCATGTTTTTGCCTCCTGTTCGACCTTGATGGTATCGCTGTGAGGTTCTACCTTCTTTCAGTAAAGCAGTAGAGTACGCATTATATGACTCAAGGTTGCTCACCGGGTTTTGCGTTCCTGGGCCCGGGCCACCTTGCCACAAGTAGGAAGCTTCTTGCTGAGTGAAGACGTCCCGACCCAGAATCATGGTATCCTCTATACTAGCACGTTGTCAAAGTACGATCAAGGGCTCAGGCCCAGGAATGCGCGGAGTGGGATGATGAGGGCACAAGACAAATCATGAGAAGGCGCTTCAGAAAGCGTCGCCGGGCTGAAGCGCGTCGTCCGCGCGATCCGCGCGATTCACGCGATTCGCGCGATTCAGTGCGATTGCGGCTTGTTCGCGATCATCCACCACGAATCCTCTCCCACATGTTAGCGCTTTCCATCATATCGGGCTGAAGCGCTTGCCGATATTGCTCCTGGCGATAGCGATGAGGAACATGGAGGCTGACCACATGTCCAGTAGCAGTCGTAGTTCGTCTTCTCTGAAGTCATATATAATCTGTCGGCGTCGTTTCATTGTCCATCTACTATCTCGTCTTGAGCTGTTCTCTCTTCGTCCCATCCCCGCGCTCTTCTAGATGTCTCTCAGGCATGACGAGCGCAACGAAGAAGCCTGCGTACAGCTCGCCGTCTCCGATCTCCGAAAGCTTCTCGGCGACCGAAGACTCTTTTCCGGACCAACTGCTTTAAAGCGAGCGCGGAGCCTGAATAGTCCCTTCCTAGCTGCCCTTGAAGAGCATTTTGCTACCAATGACGTTCTTGGAAAGCTGTGGTCTGTCGAAGATGTTGCCAATAGTGTGCTCCAAGGGCCTCATCGAGAGTCAATCATGTACGAGCCAGCAATCCTTCTCACCGTTGACTGTGCTGAGCGCCGTCTACTAGACTGTATCAACACATCGAATCATGGCTCGTGAAACATTCGCAAAGCTGGCTGGAAGGTTTATTAGCGGACACAGTGTCAAATAGTGCGTGTAGTTGACTATCTTGTCCGTATACCTCCGTACACCTCCTAATAGAAAACGCGTAGTACGTGCGCAAGTGGATGCGACTGTAGCGCCTCTGGCCGATGCTGTCGATGCCGTTGCTCGAGATCGGGATAACGTGGAAAAGGACGTGCAGGCTCGGTTTAAGCAACAGGCGGAAGCCACTCGTGACTTGGCTCATCAGGTTGAAATTCTGCAGACGACTGTAGAGGCAGCTATGTCCGAGCTAAATGAGCGTGATGGTGAGTTCAATGCGTCAGTCTTCAAAACGCCGCAACCAATGAACACAGTACTGTGCACTTCTCCGGCGCCGCAAGAGAAGAGTGCAACGGTAAACGCGAACAAAGACGCCGTAAGCCCTGGTGCGTCGACGTTTTCTGCTTTACTGGTCCTTTGGTGTCGACCGAACATGCATAGATGTCTTTCGCGAGGTAGCTTCGATCAGAAAGGAGATAGTGGCTCTCAAGTCTCTTGTGGACACGGTGAACGCGAAATTCCCGATAAGTGAGTGCTGTCGACTGTGCGATGAACGGCATGGTGTGATATAGCTAACCACTCGCTAGGCCCGGTTAGCAGAGGTCCCTGCGACCTGGTTTTGAAAGGTGGTAAACCATCTTCCGAGGCTGTTGGGGGTCAGATACCCGAGCACAGCGATGTCAACTCTTTCGGTACTGGTACGTTCCTCCTCCGTTCGTGAGAATCTTGTCATGAAGTATCACTAGACGTTGACTGTCAGGTATGCAGCCCCCTGCATGCCTCTGGTGCCGCGCCAGAGCAGGACCTGCAAGATAGGGTGCTTGTACAAGAATATATTCATAGTGGGCCTGCGGACCTCTCGCAGACGAGTGCATCCCATCCCCCGCCTCTCACTTCTGTACCTCTGCGCGAGCAAATGGACTCACTGAGGCTGAAAGGTAAGACCTAGATTGCCCAGTTTATCAGGGCACTCTCACGAACGTGATTTATTCCAGTGTCTTCCCCCCCTGCAACGACACTCGACGTTGAATTGGATCGAGCAACAGTCTTGCCGTCACGAACTATGCACATTGAGCGCCCTATGACTAGTAGACCGAGCTTGGACGGAGGTGTCGCCTGGATGTTCGACCCATATTGCTCCAGCTCGCTTGCATATTATGTGCGTAGTGTCCATTGCAAGGGCGATCTGCATGTCACCGGTTTGCTTGAGGGGTTAGGACCGTGGACCATGCGAATCGGTCGACGTCTCTGCGACATCGGCCATGGATACGCGTGCCCCTGCATGCTGATATTCTGCACATGGTACGTAGAACTGCACTTACGCTCCAAGTTACTGTCTGTGCTTGTTGTCGTTTATCTTGTGAATACGTACATGCACTACTCGACCGATCTTCCTCCCAACATCGAAGCATCTCCATTCGAAGTTATGGGGTGCTTCATGCTCATGATTCACTCCTGATTACTACTTATAATGCTGAATAAGTCGGCCTTCTTAATGCTGTACATTACACGCGATTATGCTTATATCTAAGTGCTCATGGCTCGCGAGCAGGTTAAGGTAGCGTCCGACGTACGAACAACGCGCACTGTTTAGACGGAGGTAAGTTGATGCGCATTGAAGGGCGGAAGTGACCGAGAAGAGGGTGTTCCGCTATGAGTGATGAGGAACTCACAAGCTCTTGCAATGTGAGCACGAAGAAGTGGAAACCGTCAGACATCTCATTCTGGGCCGACATGGAGGCCTCCTTCTCTTTCTGCTTCAGCAGAGACAGCGGCGCTCCGCGCTGTTGGTTCCTTTTGTACTCCCCTATCCTTTTATGGCTACTGCCAAATGAGCGCATCCCCGTGTCAGGTCCCGGTCGTGCAGTGCACACGCGTGCCCATCCGCTCTACGAGCTCGGTTTGCGACGCGTCCCGATCAGGTCGCGTGACCGCGTTTCTCGTTCTGCGCGCCGGTCTTCGATTTTATCTACTGAAAACGTGCCCTACTAATATCTCTCGGTAACCCAGATCCTAGGTATCATACGCACAGCAGACCCTTGGGCCTCCCTCTCCTTGGAGGCCATGAGTGATCCGCAGCTTGCCGGGGCTTGCCCTACCGCGGCTCCGACGTTCCTAGTCGGATCAAAGTGTTCACCACGTGGTTGCTCCATCCTTTCCCCCAGATCTGCGCCTTCCGATCAACCAGCGAAAGACGCGAACTTCGTCGCCAGCCAGATCTGTAGATATACTCAAGCTTCATACTTTCTTCGCGTTCGAGGCCATGCAAGGCTCTCGAGTTCTTCTCAAGCTCCCGGTCGTGCCTACCGATTCTCTCAAGAATAGGGCTTCCTCGAAACGTTAGCGAGCGACGCACGTACTGCAGGCTCAAACTACTGTAGGTGGTCGACGTTCAATACTGTCAACCTTCTCGACGGGACGAGTGGATACCAAACGAACAATAGGCCAATAAGGTCAGGGAGTCGATGCACTTGGCTTATAACCGTGGTGTCGTGTGAGTACTAGTGTCGTATTATGCCATCTCGTTCGCTCTAGCTTACATGCTCCTGACGAGACTTGCCACCGGTCACTAGCGTGCGTACGCTTGACTCGTATTGGTTATGACTGAAGTCGTTGCACCGCGCTGCCAGATTACCGCGTCGCGCCGCGGGGTCATCTCTCCGGCGTCGCTCAACATAACGGATACGGCCGGAATTTGACATCTCTGAAGGATGGTCCTTCACGCCAGGTCCGTACTGGGCACATAGTACAGGGAGGCTGAAGCGGATATGTGTCCAGGACTTCGGCGTCATTAGCCTCTCCCGCACGTATCGCCCCTTCACGGTGAAAGTCCAGTCACGGCACAAACGTCCGCGATGGTTTCAATACACATCGGGGTTGATGGTGTCAACGCTTGCGGTAGCTTGCGACGTCCATATTCGTGAACAAGGGAAACTGCTTCAGGGGCTGCTCGAGGGGCATGCTATGCCCAGCCTGAGCCGTAACTATAAGAACGCGGGATAAGTGATGTTGTCCATCCATTCATTCATCTAGACCCCTGCGCGTCCGCTCAACAAACATGCCTCCAGCCAACGAAGGTGATACGCAGATCGCAGAGTCAGTACTTTTTACATAGCGCGCATGCCCGTCATAACTATGCTCACCCCAACCTTCAAGGTCGTCCTATCCGGCACACCTCCTGTTCTGTCCTACGAACCTGGATTACTCAAACGCGCGTCTGGAAGCACAAGACTTATTCATTCGGCATCTTCCAGAGGGGTTCATATCCTCTAGAGTCGAGCTCAAGCGCTTTCGAAACCAGACTACGTTCGCGTGCCGCCTTCCGGCAGAGGTCATTTGCACCATCTTTGCGCTGTCCGCGCCAGAATCCGGGTGGCCTCGGCTTACCAGACGACGACGGAACACTCCGGACGGGGAAGATACGGCGCTGACAGTACGCGAGAAGTTCAAGATGGACTTGGGTTGGGTGGCCGTTACGCAGGTGTGCTCCCGTTGGAGAGAGGTGCGTGGAGACCTAATTGCTCGAGCCTGAGCTCAACTCACGCGTTGTCTTCTTGAATAGGTCGCATTCAGTGCCTCCATGTTGTGGACGCATCCCAGTGACTATCTCGCGCTCCCGCCCTCCATGGCATCTCTGATTCGGAGCAAGTCCCGCGGACTGCCCTTTCACCTGGAACTTTCGGCATTCGGTCTTCGCTATCTCAGGCGGATCGGGGGAAGGGCACGCTTACCCGCGCCAGTTGTTCCTATCGTGGAACTCAGGATATTGCTCTTCACCGTTGAAGACTTCGACTTATTCGAACGAAACTACTTCCCTTTCGGCTCATTCGCGACCCTGCGCCGCTTGAGCGTAGCCATAGATCTGATGGGGGATGAAGAGCCGCTGCTGCTCCCTGAAAATCTATGTCTCAGCCCGCTCACGGCAGAGTTGGACCTCTACAACTGTCTCCCTCCCCGTTGGGACACTCCTATGTTTGGCGCGCAACTGACCCACCTTACGCTGTCATATGGTTGGGAACTTGATGTCCCCGAGGCTTTGCCGACCCCACCAGACTTCTCAAGGATCTTGGCTTCGTCCACTTCGCTCGAGGTCCTTAATCTCGACAACATCTTCCCGGTTGTCAGTCCCGCCGCCGCCTATCCACCCATGGTCGTATCGCCAACGCTGCATTCCATGTGCATCTTCAGTTGGGACAACATGTTGCACCACCGCGATAGCTTGATCTTTCTGGGACATCTGAAGCTTGGTCGTCGTGACATGCATGTCGATGTCGCCCTTAGCGACTTTCCAGAAAGCGACATGGTTGACGCAGATACTACCCAAGATTACCTGTCTCTCATCTCTTCGGCTATCGGCAACATCTGTCGGCAACAAAATCCCGCAAAACACCTCACCCTGGGCTCGCGCGCGTTTCTTGCGCACGATTCCGACGAATCGAGATCGGAAGAGCGCGCTTGGCCCATATCTGTGCTGCACCATATGCACGACGACATTCCCGGCATCACATCCCTCCTTTCCTTCAGCTTCCCTCTCCGCGCCGTTGCCGATTCGTCGTCCTGGCACAACGGCTCTATAGCCATTCCCCTCCAAGATCTCCGATCGATCTCTTTCGAGTGCACGGCAGCAAGGGCATACCTGGAGAGCGAAGTGTGGTGGCTCGCGTTCGAAACGGCTCGGAAGGTTAATCGTATCAGTATCCCCGCCGGCGACTGTGCAATGTTGCTGCCTCTCTTCGAGCGCGTTGCAGAGAACGATCCCGCGTTCGCTATCTTTCCTGAGCTCAAGATCGTGCACATCCGCGTTGAGGATCCCTATACCGCCGATGATCTCGATCTGGGCGATCTGGAGCACGCGTACGCGGCAAGCCTCTTCGCTCTGCACTTCCTCATCCGCGTTAGGAGACAGCATGGAGCAGCATTGACATCGCTTGTCGTTGACGAAGCTTTGAAGGGATGGGAGATTTGGTCCACGATCGAAGCGGATGTACCTGTGACTTTTTACGCGTTCTACTCCGACGACCGGTTCCAGACCTGATGTGATACTCCCTCATATGATAATAAGCCTCTTTCATTCACGTTCACATACTCTACTGGCTTCCGTACACACCCCTACCTGGCGCCAAAATATAATTTATTACACCTCTTCAGCTTCTGCTTTGGTACTGTATGTGTCCACGTGAGTAGATACAGGTAAGGCATTTGGCACCAGAAAACGACCAGTCTTGAAACGCGTCTCGCCATCCTTTCTCGCCGAGTGTAACCTTGCGAGTGGCAAGGTCACTGAAGTACGTTGACGGCCACAAGTCAGCGGCCGCGACTGGCGAGTTCACCGGTCACCGGTCACCAGCCACTGCGCACCTTACTCCCGACGGTGATCATCGATTATCTCGCTTGTCCTCGTCCACCGGTACCAACCCCGGATCCATCCTGCCATTCCTTCGCCGGTCTCGCGACGGTCTGACCTCGTACATCATCATGCCCTTCCAAGCTTTGGCCAACACATGCGACTAACGATGGTTTTGGTCACCGTGGCATGCTCAATCACTGGCAAGACGCGACTGGCGCTAATTCACTACGTTGCCGTGAGGTGTGTTGCGCGTGTCTACGTCTTACTTACCCCATTAACTCTATGCATAGGCTTGCTACCTTCACCTCTCGACTACATTGCGACTTTCTGGGAGGTTCCCGAACTGAAGACGCGTCGCGCAGACGCTATCGCCATTCTTTACGTTCGAGACCGAGCGAGACCTTCCCTCGCCACTACCTCTCAAGGCCCATTATATGCTCCAACAGGAGGAAGAGAAGAGCCGTGCCGAACCCGGTAGTGCACGTCTTGTATCGGCACAACAGGGTGACGAGGTCGCACTACGGGCGACCGCTCGGCTGCTTTGAACCGTCACGAGCTCGCTGCTTAACTTGCCATCCACCATGTATGCAGAGCGGTCCTGAACTCGCGGGTGACACGGCTCCACCATTCTCGCGCAACATAATCTACGTGCGCACAGCCCGCGGGTGAACGATCACAGGCGTATGATTAAGCCTTCGTTTGTGCCCACTGCGCCCAGCGTCACCTTTCGACAACCTGACGCCTCCACCACCAAAAAACGCACTCTACGCCCACTTCGGGATCGTCGATGCCTTCACCTAATAGGCGGAAACTTCTACTACAGGCCGTCAGCTCCGCGACTGCCAGCCACTTCATAGCACCGCTGGTAAGTGTGCTCATCACCTTTACGGACTACGTCTGACAAAGCTTGTTGCGTCTGCCAGCGTATCCCGGATACCGCGGACGAATGCTGAGCAGGCCTTACCTCCAGTTCTATCAGTCAAGCTGGCCCTGACGGCGTGCAGCAATAAGTATGGTACGCGCTATCAACCTGTGTGTCACCCTCATACGAAAGCTCACACCGATCTAGGTGAGACGAAGAAGAAGAATCTGATGCGTAGACGGCCGCGCTCGATGGCCGAAACCAGCTGCCCGCAGCTAAGCCTGCGAAGCTCCCTGTGCCCTCTGGTACTCGCGGCTTTACTGTTTAATAGCTGGACTGCTATGCGCCTTACTCACAATCATCTTCTCTCGCGTTTCTTTGTTAGTGCTTTCCGCTTGTCGCATCGTCGACTTGTTCGTTGCATCTTATCCATACCATGAGGCCTGTTCAAACGTATAATGTATAACCAATCCATGAGGTGACTGAGGGAGCCCGTAAGACTACATAACATAAGTGGGTTTTAGGGAACCCTCGCTAGGAAGGAGACAGGGGGTTCTATTGGCTGTTAGCCTTACACCCTGCCCATTGGTTTGTCGTCACCTGTCTATCTGATTCGATTCGATGTAGATTGCCGTACATGCCATTGTCATCACTCCGGTCTCGAAGGAGGCAACCCTACCATGCGACCATCGTAAGGCGCTACGAGGGCGAGAATTCTAGAAATCATATCGACAGCCATGGCTCATTACATACACGAATACAACATTTGACCAAGCTACAGCTTATCTGCCTTCGCCTCTTGAACGCCCTGAACTCTTTCCTTTCCTTTGGCCGCTCGTACGCCACCGTTTCCACGTCCCTTCTGCCGCTTATGTTTCACGGCTTTGACTTCCGCCGACGATCCTGAGTCGTTCCCTGGTAGATATTCTTGGGAACTATCCTCGTGTCCGTTCGTAGCCGCCTGCTGCACGCGTTCATCTGCTTGCTCAATTAGGGTGGCCGGTCTCTTGATATTCGCGTTCTTTACTACGCGGGGGGACCTTCGCAACGCAACGGCGCCCGGAAGGCCAGGCGCTGCCTCTGGCGTACCCACTAGTGGAGGAAGGTTATTGAGAAGTTTGAGTGCTCTCAGGACATCTTCTGTCGAGCGCAGCTTCCCACGACCCACGGGGGTCCTGACCTGGATAGCTTGAGGCGCAGGAAACATGGATAGAGGCGTCGTCGCTTGCACTCGGAGCTTTCCGGCGTCCGGATGCGGCGGGACCGTACGAAGCCATGCGCAGTCGAGGGCCATTTTCATGGACCACCTACGGTCAGGATTGATACAGAGCATATTCTTAAAAAAATCCTGTCCTGCATGGTGTTCAGCGTCGATATGACTGGGTCAAGGCGATTCATGAGAGACTCACCGTTCACACCGACTTTGCGTCTTCGCATCGCGTCCCAATCAAGTTCAGGGGAAGTTCTACTGTGCGGACCGGGTACCCAGGGCGATTCATGGATACCGATAAGGCTAAGAAAGAGAGTAAATGGATAATGAGCGCATCGACTCTTAGAAAGTCGTTACGTACATATTGAAGCCCGTCAACGCTACTCCCCAGCAATCAACTTTGTTAGTATAGCCCGTCGAGAAGTCTCCGTTCTTCTGGAATATCTCAGGAGCCATGTAAAATGGGGTGCCGGCTCGAGTATGCTGAAGTCTACCGATCAGAAAAGGCAACAAAATCACCGCCGCAACGTACCAATCTGGATGACCTCGACCGTTGGGCAAGTCCTAGATCCGAGAGAGCGAACTCGGGATAAGGAAATAGACGCTTGATCAATATGTTCTGTTGGTTTCATCAGTATAATGAGTGCGTCCGACACTGCGCTCAATGCGTACGTCTGGTTTGCAGTCGCGATGGACTATTCCTAACTCATGCAGATATGCAATGCCTTCGGATACCTGTTTCATAATGACCCTCGTCTCGGCGGCAGCTGGGGAGCATTCAGAGAAAGCATTGGATGTCATATCTTTGTACGTACACGCTGGCTTACGGTTGGCGTAGTAGCTCGCGAGACTCCCGCATGGCATGTACTCAAGTACGAGATCTATCCAAGAAGATGAAAGCATTCAGACACGCGGGTCCTCACTGCCGACTGCATCGAAGAACTTACAGAATTTGTTGTTGACTTCATCGTGGAAACTCTCGAGCAAGGAGCATATGCGGGGATGAGACCTCGCGAGTTTCAGTAGCTCTACTTCTTTGAGACAATCGAAGCGACTACTGGCGCCCTCGGACCCGTAGTCAAGCACCTTGACAGCAAAGAATTGGGACGGATCCGCCCGAGCGAAAAACTTGCAGACGTCTCCGAAAGCGCCCGATCCCAGTTGGCTATGATACGCATATTTGCGCAGAAATGGGCTGTGAGCAAGAACATCGATGAAGATAAACCCTGCGTATGATCCAAGATGAGGCCTTGTAGAGAATGTCAATGAGTAAAGACGCACCGGAAGACAACGCTTCATCGGGAGGGCCGAGCCACACTTCTGAGCTGTCGTAGAGTATCTCGGGTGAGGTAACTTTGATCGCGAGGCTACGCTAGTACTCCTCAATTAGGGTCGCCATCGGAGCGTTCAAATTGTAACGCACAGAGCAAGAGTCCTTGACGATCCAGGTCCCATTTTGCAAATGATCCTTGATTGTAAGGGAGCCCTGGGGATCTCTAGTGATGGTAGCATGCGCGACACCTAAGGCAGAGGGTTTGAGTGAACAGCGATACGCGACACGATCCCCATCACTCACTCGCAGAAGTACGGGCATGATGAATCCAAACATCCTTCGGTTTATAACCTCTCCCAACCTCCCATTTCGACTTCGTTGTAGAGAGATGAACGCCTCTGGATTGACTGTAGTGGAAGGCATTCAACTTGAGAGGCTTCAAGAACGCGAACGACAGGAAGATGTCTGCTCCAGACATGTCAGTGATTCTCCCAGATTCAGACCTGGATGTTATATACATAGGCAATCTCCGCTTAGGATGAAGGCAACCCGCTTAGGATGAAGGCCCTCCGCTTGGGACTGGAGTACTGCGCTTGAAGCATCGGGTCGGGAATAGTCGGGGCTCGTTCCCGCTGCGAGCTAAGCGTAGCTGTGCCGCCGTCGTCCCCTGGGCGATTGCGCTTGCGTTGGCATGCAGAGTCGAGCCTTCGGAGATGACATAAACGCACTCCAAAGCATGAGCTCGTCTCATTTCAGCGGGAGATGCGCGTAGCAAGGAAGTCGAATCCATAAACGAGTTACGCGTACATGGCAGTAGCGAGTCGAGTGATGTGGCTTGCGCTGAAAGTCCAGGCGCGTGATCTCACGGTCCCGCTTCGCCTTCCGAAGTTCAGGGCGTTTGTGAATAGCCTGAAGCGCGCTGCCCCAGAAACCTAGTTGTTACACTGAAATACGTCTCGAGATACCGTTCAAAGCATCACTACGTGAAGCATGAAGCGTGTGAAGCGGAGATACAGCCGATCGAGTTGCAGAGTGCTTCAACGTTTCACCAGGCCTTGTTTCACTCAGCAGGCCTGTCGATCGCGATCTTCTGTAAGAAAAGGTAGCAGCCCTGGGACCCAAGTCAGTGCGGAGGTGAGTGAAGGTCGCCAATAGTGATTCGAAGAGAGCGAACGCAACGGGCGGCGCCGCTCTGTGCGGCTGCGCGTCGCCTTGAGCTTGCCTTGGGGATCGTTCCCGCGCCCGAGCCGCGCTAGTAGGGTGCGGCGTCTGGCTTCTCTACTGCGAATGAACGGTTGGACTCTCTCGATACCTCCACAATACATATATCATGAAGCTGTTCTAAGCACGTTATGCACTAGAGCTAAGTAGGGTACAGGGCTGTGACTAGATAACGACAGTACTGAGCTTGCGTGACTTTCTGTGAGGCCGAATCGACGGAATTCGAGATAAAAAAAAGAATAAGCGGTCAGATTCAAGAAAGCGTTAGATGTGCGTCCCTGTCGATCGCATGTAAGAGTCGAAGGCGCAGAAAGTGACGGGGTTAGAAAGATCAGCTGAAATGGCAGACCAAATCGCCCATCTCTCCAGGGCTTCGTCGACAACGAGTGAATCCAACTGTGCTCCATGTTCCTTCCTAAGGCGTATGATAGCGTGAAGAGCAGCAAGATTCTCCGCGCACGCGTCCTGCAGAGCGTTGAGCTCGGTGTCGTCAACGGTGTAAGGATCCTCAACTCGGATATGCATGGTTTTGAGCTTGGGGAATATGATGAAAGCGGTGGCGTTCTCCGCAACGCGCTCGGTAAGAGGCAGTAACAACGCACAGTCACCGACGTGGACACTGATGCGATCGATGCCTCGAGCTTCTCTCGACGCTCGCCACCAGTCGTTGCTCTCGAGGTAGACGCGAGCTCCTTCGCGCGTCCAGGAAATGGTTTCCAATCCATGCAGAGGGACGGAGAGTGCGTATAAGGGACGTGATCTGTCCTCTTCAACATCGCCTGCGTCGAAGTTGAAAGCAAGGAGGGAAGTGGCGTCGGGAATGTCCGCGAATGTGTCTGGTTCCAAGGACAAGGGCCAGGCGCGCTCAGGCGATCGGGAGCTTCGCGAGTTGAACGTGAGAAGCGCCTGCTGGTCTATGATGGCGTGCCGAGGAAGGCCTGGTTGCTGCCGATACATGTTACAAACAGCGGTGATGACGAGCGGATCGAGCTCCCTCGCGATGACGACGTCGTCCGCATTAGCGCCCGTGTGGTCGAAGATTAGAGCTTCGAAGTGTATATCATGAAGAGCTCGTAAACGAGCCATGAAGGATAAACACTGATGCTTGCGAGTGATACCATTCAGGCTGAGAAGAACCAACGAGTGTAAGGTGTCTGGGACCACCATGGGAGGATAGGACGCTTCAGGGTCGACCTTGGGGAAGACGTCTTCCAGCTCGAGGCTTTCGAGCGAGTTCGTCGCAGCGAGGATATCCGCAAACTGAACAGCGGTGGGCATATAGTCGGCGCCGTCATGGATCCATGAGAGTCGTAGAATGAGGTGCGTGAGGTATGAGCTGAATATAGGAGAGGTCCAGCGCTCGGGCAGACAACCGTCAAGCTCCAGATACGTAAGGACGCGGCTGGAGCAAAGAGCCTCTGGAAGTACAAGGAATCCATCCTGCTCCCGGGTCACCATGTCGATTGTCAGCCGTCGCAAGTTGTGACGTGGTGTCTGAAACCAACGCTCGAACTTTTGGAACGTCTTCATGGTGAAGGAGAGGAGGCGCAACTCCTCCGCGCGACTGACGGATGGGTGTAGGAAGTCGAAATGTACGACGGCACCATCTTCAACGGTGCGAGACCGGAGCACATCGAGGGTATGTCCGTCAAGGGAGAGAGACAGCGGCGCATTTCTCGTCCTCTTGAATATCACAGGAAGAAGCGAGCGAGGAATCGCGAAGTAGTCATGCATATTTGTCCAGAGGTGTGGAGCTCCGAGAGCAATCTGACGGACAGAGTTGGTCAGCGAGCGAAGCCACCGTACGCGCGTTCCTGTCAGAACTTACCTCTCTCCAGGAGGCACAGACATGGGTAACGATTAACCACCCCAGCCCCGCCTTGTGTTTGCCGTCATGAGGTCTACCTCTTTCCGTGCCTATTCTAGGGATACCACAACCGGCTTGAACAAGCAAGAATATGTAGCAAAGTATTTCAGGGATGAAGCCACGTTGGAGAGCCAGAGAGATGCGAGGAGGGATGAGCGAAGTCATGGCGCTGTCTACCGACAGAGGACCATCCACACGCAAGTACAGCCCGGGCATATTATATCGAGGGTGGGTGCCTTGCTACTGAGCGTATCGAGACCCGGTGTACAAGACAGGTACATGATCCCTTTGTTCACAAATTCGGCCGCTAGGGTCTTCCTTCATCAGCCCGAGCCCTTCGCGCTCCCTGTCGGACGCGTCTTGATTAGTATACTTCAAAAATGGACTTTGAGTCAAACAGTGCGTACGAGCAAATGCAAGCGAGCCCGGCGACTCCCACTTCACAGATAGATCGAAGGCAGCATGTGGCTAGCACTCCGTACCATTCAACGCGATGTAGGTAGCGATGTATGCCAAAAAGGCTGCATGACAGACTCAGCATCGCCACCAGATACCATCATCCACTGTTAGACTGTTGAAATGAGCGACGGACGTCCCCCACTTGCAATGACGGATCCGGCTGGATGGTTCTATTGTATCCCCTTGATCAACTTTATTCAGGTTTCATTGCAGCCCTTCACGAACCTGTCGAGCGGCGACTAGAAGCGCGCCGCATCATACAAGGCAACTCGATACGGCGTCCTGAGCCCTACGTAGTAGAGATGCTCTACGCCTGGCAACGACTCGCTCAAGCCCGCGAGTTTCACCGGATGTGAACCAGATGGAGGTCGACGGATGATTCCTGTCATAAACCCGTTATACAAAGGATGTAGGACAGGCGTGCGACTCTCACGCTTGGCGATCAGGCCATGCTGAAGGCTCTGGCTTTTCTCTTGCTGACTGCCGAGGTAGACGGGCTCGTGCGGCCGTACAACACGAACCTCCTACATCACGCATACGTCCGGCAGCCTGGGAGGGTAGAGAGCATAAACCGCCATTAGTGCTCAAATGCGCCGTCGGAATCGGTTGTGGTAGGCACAAGTGTCACTCTTAACCAGGTAAAACGTCTCGCGGCGACGATGGAAGTCGTGAGCGTCGTGAGCGAGTGAGCGAGGAATAGAACTTCGGGCCGAGCGCGATGACGACCAGTCCCACGCATACCTCCCCGGGCTAATCCATGATTGTCATAGCGCCCCACATGGCGAAGTCCGCCACAGTCGGCCATTGCGGCCGCAAACATCAAAACTCGTGCCCATGTTTCGCGAGAGGAGAGGGATGGGGCAGGGAAACGCAAACGGGGCCGCGCCGGCGAGGGTGGATTCATTGCGTCTCGGATCTCCGAGCTTGAAGTCCTGTGCAAGTCTGAGCAGCATACTTACGAGGCCCTTGAGTGTGTACCCGCCAGAACGCGCATCGGGTGCTACACAGACATCGTTCAACTTGGCCGATATGTAGGGTATGCAAAGCGGAGGAGGGGTCGGAGAGTATCGTAGCTGATATGGAGGCTGGGAATCAAGATGTGATAGGTATTGCCTCTCGTGGATGTGGTTAGACCGGGTGTCGTAACCTCAGAAGGGGAAGGGCGAGGCAGTGGGAAAAGCGGTGGGCGGCCCGGGGAGAAGCGGCGGGCGGGAGAAGCGGCGGGCGGGTGGTTCGGAACGGCGTTGTGCACGCTGATCCGCAATCAAGCCACCGCAATCTGCATCCGTATTTGCCTCAAACGCGGCAGCATGACGCTCATAACGCTCGGGGATGTTGAGCTCGTCTGCGCCTGCCATGCGTACGGGGTAAAGTAAAACAGGGTTGTGCGATGCTAGAGGCCGCCCAGGTGGGCAAGACAGCGGTGTTCACGCGCTCAGGGCGCCACAATGCAGAGCTCCTTCTACTTATCGTCCCGAAGCCTTTGCCGAGTTCAGACGACTACAGCGCGTTAGCGACGGGGTGTATACTATCAGTAATCTGGATCTATACATCGGAGAGGTATGGTGGGTGGCGTCAACACAGGCCATGATTCAAGCGTAAACGTAAATATATAGTACGGTGTAGATGAGGCTGGCGTGCAGTCCATGCTAGCGGTATCCAGGAAGCCTATGAACCTGGTCGCTGGATCCTTTGATGAATGAGCGCACCATTGCGCGCGAGCGGTCTGCTCAAACTCTGGGATACTGAAGTCGACGATCCTCGTACCCCACACGCGCTGATGCGGATGTCGTTGCACTTACAATCAGCGCTGTGCATGACGGATAGCCAAGGTAAGTGCAGTCCCTCCGTGTCGCGCAAGTGTTCAACGTCTTGTGTCCGAGACCCTTCCACTCAAAATCCGTACTGACGGAATTTGGTTGTCGCGATGTGCCTCTTCGCTTCACCATCTGCCGAAGAACCGTTTGCGAACCTCCCACTACCAATCTCGTGGGTAGGCCGTTCACAGAGACTCGAGTCGGTGAGGTCGAATGGAGGCTGATCGGCATGCGCTAGCTCCTCGCGCGGAATACAAGAGTCGTCGTGTTGCTGTTCTCAATGCTGCGGCACCTGCTGCAGTGGCGACTCGGGTGTACGGCCGCATGGGTGAGCCGCTGGAAGATAGGGCTTAGCGACAGCCGTAGCGCGTGTTATGTGCCGGGGGTTGGCGATGGTGCGTACACAATCCCACAGAAGGGAAGTAACGGTAGGTGCAATTTTGATGCCGGATGTGCCCATACGGTCCTGTCAATCTTGAACAGAGGCCTCGGGAAGCTCATGCTGCCTTCTCTTGAGGGAGAAAGCATGCGCGCCGTGGGCTTAGTTTGATCTGAGTGTCGCCGTCTAGGTCACTCTGAGTGCCACAATCGCGTAGCAGACAATGGGCGGGGTATGACGATGGCGCTGCCGTAGGGATCCGACAAGATTGAACACCACTAAAGCCGTTGGAGTTGAACGAAGCGTTAATAGCGTTTGCTGTGTGATCGTCAGCTTGGTCGTGTTGGAAGATGCGCGAGGCAGAAGAGGTACCCGCACTCACAGACGGCCGCGATACCGAGCGAGCTCAGTGGGCTCTGTAGTAGACTATGTTCTGCCTTTGGGAATTATCTATTCGTGAAACAGGGGAACAGCTCCAAGCTCGCCTGGCGCATGAACGTTCGCGATGACTTCACGGATCGTCAGATGCCCGAAACAGGCGAACACCAGCCATAGCACGTTGACGTGGGGAAGAAATGAAAGTAATTCGTCGTCTTACTAATTTGAACAATCAGTTTCTGGCATTTCGTATAAGACTGGGGACGAACTCAAGTGCCTTGACCTTTCGCCCTTCGATGACTCCGAGCCGCGCCCAATATGTGCATATTTTACGAATGCGCGCAGATCATTGCGAGCATAAGTTTGTAGAGTAGAAGTCCAAAAGAGGAGATAAGGGTAACGGAGGAGCGACAGGGTGTATATAGCGAAGGCGTCAGGCGTGTAAAGTGGGCGGACAGTGGTGGGTTCAAAGAGACGCGCCGAAAGTGCTGCCGCGTTCTTTGATTATGATGCATGATCGACATGAGGCAATCATCCACCTTGATGATCCCACGGAGCAGTTTTGCTGAGAGGTTTCGCTTATGGCACTACGTAAATACTGGTAGCAAGGGCGTAGTACTTACAGAACCAGGTATCAGACATCTAGACTATATAGTGGGAGAAGCGGACGAAGATACAACTTGAAGCCAGCTACCGTCTATCCCGGGTCCCGCGATGTTCGGCTGATGCTTGTATCTGCGCTTGCTGTTCTGCACGACCCATGTCGGGGTCATTGAGTCCCTCTCTTGAAAGGCAAGTACGTGGTCCTCCAGAGTGGGATGGCGGATAGGGGGCGTCCAGACCTGTACCGGATAAGAGTGTGCAGCCGGCAACGATTAGAAGGGGCAAAACTGACCTGCTGCCAGAATCTTGTGTCATGCGCAGGGTCTTGTAAAAGAAGCCAGACTTGAACGACCCGACTCTGAAACATGGCCGATGGGTAGAAGTGTAGAAAGAGATCGCCTATCTCTAGCGGCAAAGCGATATGCAAAGTAGGTGGTCGAAGCAGGGGTGATGTGCCTTCTAGGCTAACGTAACCCATGCGTACTGAGGTGTTCCTGATAGCCCGACTCGTCTTCTGCATCATGACTCCCTGAATACGTGGCGGGTGAACTTCTTCGCTAAGTAGTGCGCGAGCTAGCTAACTCACTGTCTGACTTTGTTCGAGCGGATGCGTGCACAAAGCTGTCAGCTCCGAGGAATTGACCAATTGTCCTATTACAGTCGACGTTGCCACCGGCATAGGCTGCGGGGCTTGCTTGGATAGTACTGTGTTGGCGTCTGTCATAGCAGTGCTCCCTCGTCAGTGCGCAGGAACCTCAGACCGCCGCGAAGCTCACTCTGTTTCTGTGCGCTGTGCACACCTTCCTGTTCTCCCGTGCGGTGCACCTCGGTGCAGGGAAACGGCGGGATCTGTGGGAACACCGTAAGTAGAGTGTTGCAACCTCTGGTACAAAAGATGCTTGCCATTGTCGCATAGCGCATGGGATCCATTGTCCGCGCATGGTGAAGAGGACGGGAAGCGAAAGCTTCGGATGAATGCCCATGTGGGCTTGGATTATAGACATCTCGGAATACCGAAGCATCTATTGGAGCGTTATCGCCTTCGTTGAAGCTGAACATGGTTGTGAGCAGAAGACGAGGCCAAGACTGAGGCATAACTTGGAGAGACTGATCAAAAGAAAGCGTCCGAGGGAGGTCAATCCAAACTCTGGACATACACTGAGCTTATATGCCGTTTACAAGGAGCAAGAGCGCGGGGCCGCGCCCTACGGCGGAAGGCCGCTTGTATATAGGGAATCGGAGGCACAGCATTGGAAGCGTATGCAGCCAAGCGGGTGACGCGTCGTGGCAACATCGAGAGGTGCAGCGCATAACATCTAGGTCTGAGACAGCGCCCGGCCGTGCGGGAGAGTTTGCATGTGTGCCAATCGAGCATGGGCGCGTGTGGAGAGAGGCGTTGTGGTGATTGTCCGGCCATCTGATTGCCGGGCAAGATGCGGGTCGCTCGAAGCAGCCTCAGGGCGGCGGTGGAAAGTGGCAAGCCTAGAGCGAGTGATTGTGTGCTCCAACGTGCGGAAAGGGAGTGTCCCGCGCGCCGTCCCCTGTGAGTTGGGGAGACAATATACAGAAGTCGGATACATCTCCTTCAGCAGCGTCAGTGGGCGGAGCCCGGGACGGACGCACCGAGACGCGGTCACATGAGACGCGCGCTGGACGCGTCGCGAGCCTGCACGAAGATGCGAGAGGCTGGCGCTGAGCCGTACGGGTCGCGAGCTGCCACGCGCGGAGTCAAAAGCCCGCCGCCCGGAGAGAACCCCCAGCGCGCAGCGCTGTGTTTCGAACGCAGAAAGAGGGATGCGGGCGGGCGAAATAGATATCCATGGGAGCGCAGGGCAGCGCGGCCGAGAGGAGGTCGAGGTCGCGAAAAGAGCAAGCTCGGCGTTTGCCGGCGCGCATGGGCCAGCCTCATGCTCACAGCACAGGGCCCACGCGGTTAGATGGCCGGGCTTCTGGCACTTTCCGCCTGGAAGCCCTTCTCTTGCTTGATCATCTTGCGTCCGCGTAAGCGGCACTCGTGTCTTATACCGCGCTGCGCTACAAGGCCCGGATCCCGCACTTTCGGCCCTGCTTAAGAGGTCTCAAGAATGACACTCATCACTCGCTTTAGTGTGCTCTGTACAGTTGCGCACATACACGCATGAATCACCGAGTAGGCTGCTGTGCGTCTGCAAGACTAGATAGGGTTCGATAATTGGTTCACATTCGACTTCGTTCTACCGTGCTACTCTATCGCCAATCCGATGTTTGGTCTATATGCCCATGTGCTACGAGACACTGTAAGAGCTTTCCCTACAATAAGCAGTGAGAAGAGGTTGGGTTGTTCCATCGTGAATAGTGTTGCTGAGCAGGTACTAGTCCTGCGTTAACATCATACTTTGCCTGTGGCTCAAAGATCGGGTCCATTGTGTTCTGTGGCAGTGAAGAGGCACATTCGTAACTAGACATCGCTGAATCTGACTTGTAGTATGCATCCCCGTACACTATGGGTTTTCCACCACCCCTCGTCAACGTCTCCAGCATACTCTGCTCCACGTCATCGTAATGACGGAGAATATCCTACGTCAATGAATCGTTAGCTTCATTCCCGATGCGGACTACAATACATAAGAAAACTCACTTCCTTCGATATGTGCCCAAAATCAATACCCGTCGCTGAGTGTGCATGGTTCTGAACGTATGGCGTTGACGTCGGCTGAAGATGGAACCCGGTCTGTGGGTAGTGGCAGAATTGATCGGATTCCCACTGCCTCCCGGACGAGGTCATGGTGTGCCCACCGTTGAATGTCGAGGCCGGGAATCCGAAGATAAAGTTACCTGAATCCGCTGATGCGCTTGGGATGCTTTCTGAGACAGATTGTACGTATGGAAGGTGCGCGTCACGGAAGAACGGGACATGCTTCGCATCTGATTGAACTGACTATCATGAGACGCAGTCCTCGCAAACTAGGACACGGATGACGCTGTGCTTACCTTCCGCGGGCATGGATTGAAGCCAGTCAAAGTCGTGCGTTGCCGAGTATCCTGTGGGCAACCACAGAGAGAGGTCAGGCGTCTGAGTGCACGGCTTCTGAACTTTTGTGGAGCGGCGCTTGTCTTTCGAAAGTCTGAACATCCTCATGGCCTCCCCCGCCTTCACTTCCCAGGGTTTTCTCTGCGCCTTATCCATAGCCCTCCATATAGCACCAGCAATGCGCGAGATGTTGCGGTGGTTCTGCTCTCCTGGGGCCATATTCTGTCTGGCAAAGTCGGCGCGAAACATGAGGAACGCGTTGGGAGGTCGGGGCGTGTAATCGGGACCGCGATATCTCTTATGCAGCTCCTTCGCTGTCCGTCGACGATAGGGTGTCAGATTGGGATCAGGCAAAGCACCCAGCCATGGTAGGGTAGTATCTGAGGGCTCCAGTAGTTTTGGTATCTGAATCATATCCTACAGAAGTTGATGGTTCGTCAAGTCCTGTTGACGGCGAGACACTAGATTATTCGGCTTACCTTCACCGGGCAGGAGAAAGGGGACGAGTGGTGGAAAAAGATAGTATGTAGATCGATCATCAGAGCTGTCCAGGTCCTATTTATGCGGACGCCCTAGCACGTGTTAGGAGCTTCGCTGTAATGGAGAGAAGCCGAGGATCTTGGGTAGAATCGTGAACTCTAGACTACCTGCAGTTGACGACGGGTGGTTCCGCTTAGTTGAGGTACGATACGTCTTGAGGACCGCGGGCTGTGCCGGAGACGTATCCCGATTCAGCAAGTGAGATGACTGTTGTGCCACCGTCGGCTCAAGTACTCATCGCATCTGACGGGTCTTCCCGAGATACAGGCGCAGAATTCTGCCTGAATACAGATCGAATTGCTGGACCTGTCACAAGCATAAGTGTACGGGTATGATACTGTGCCTCAGTGACAGACAGGCATACCTACCTGTACATCAAAGCTCATCCGACAGTACAGCATACCGACGCGAAGCGGTCAACCAGCCGCCACCACAAGCGTCGACGCTTCCCTCGACTACTCAGCCCTTACCCCGCAACGCTCGAAGCGGGAGAGATCAGCAGACCCACCCTGTTAAAATAGGAGGTAGCGGGACTACGTTGTTCTAAACGGCCCACGGCACCGCCATGGCCGCCTGGTGCAATGCCCGGAAAAGGGGCTACGCGCGTCCCTGACGACGGGAGACGCCAACGCGTTTCAGGTTGAAGCGGCTGTTTAGGTATCGCCCAAGCGCCACGAAGAGCGATTATGATACTTCGTCGTATGCTCGACGAGAGTGAAGCGTCAAGCGGACTGTCCGAACCCGAACGTATAAGTAGTTACACTGCGTACACTTGTCATGAACAGGCCTGAGAGTACGACATGATCGGTCATATCCTCCGCGCATTCATCGGACTCGACGAGCAACTTCTGAGCTTGTCCTCAACCGCTCCATGGACGTCGAACGCAGACGGAAGGGGAGACTACTATCCCGGAGATAGGTAAGCACGACAGTTTTTGATCCCGCGTAAAGATGTGAACTCACAGTGATTGTAGTGGCCCCTATGGGTCTCATAGTGAGGGTGCTGGCGAGTTCCAGCCCTCGTCACGGTCCAGTGCGGACGGAGACATACTCCGCCACGGTGCCAACATGACGCCTCCCACAAGCCAGACGCAGGCTGCGGCTCGAGGGGAAGCAGTGCACCGTGATGAAAGCACACGACGTATGCCGGGCGCGTACCCAAATAGCTTCCGCAGTTCAGTAAAGAGGTCGTCCGTAATCCGTCGGGATGCCTCGTGGTTTGAACGTCGCCGAGCAGAGGACAATCTTGCCAGGGCTTTGCGCGAAGAGAGGCTGTCGCGTCACAAGAAGTACTGTAGAGGATGCAAGTGCCGCAAGGCCCTCTTCCTCAAGCCGGGTGCATGCGCCCAGCTAGTTCCGACACCTGACGACGCGGCTTTGTCTCTCTACAACGCGGTGTTGAAGGAGAAGCCAGACCCGAAGCAGCCTGATGGGAATCGTCGAAGAGAAGCTAAGGATGGCCGACGCCTTCGCGAGAAAGATGGGCTGGGTGGGAATCATTCAGAGAGTGGCGAGGAAGAACGATATGCCCTGGAAGCCGCCTTCGACCTGTACATTCGCAAATGGGATGAGATCAGATCCGGCAGGGTACCGTTAGATTCGATCGAGGGAGAAGACTTACCGTGGCCCGTGCGCGATGGTACCACTCGACTACAAAGCTTGGATGCGATTAATAAGCACAATATCGCGAGCTTTGTGCTACACCCGTTGAGACCTGACTTCAATGACAAGTCTCCTCGCCAAAGGATCAAGGAGGAACTCACTCGCTGGCATTCAGACAAGTTCAATACGATCGTGCTTCCGCTTGTGCTACCACAGCATAAAGAGGAAGTGAAAGCCCTTGCGAACGAGGTGACAATTCATCTAAACGAGATCCTGAGAAGCATCTAGGAGGTAAGCATCGAAGCTTAGCCTTTTACGCCATGACTCACTGACCGACCTTACTAGGCTATTCGTCCTATGCGCGACGCTGCAGAGAGGCGCGGAGATTGAGCGTAGGATTGTACATCTAGAGCGACGCAAGTCGCAAGAAGCATATGTCTATTCCCCAGCCGTGGGTGTCAACATGAGGGCGAGAGGCGTTGAGCGCCGAGCAAACTCACCGCTACCTGCCGAGGCCCGGAGGACGGGCCGCGAGCCGCCCGCTCATCATTTTCCCAATCCATTGCGTCCCACCCACCTTTGACTCGTATGAGCTCACAAGTTATTCCATGTTCTGTTTGGTCCATCGTATACGTAGATATCACTCAGACAGAGTTGCGCTTCACTGCAATGACAAGTGTTCGTCTCATCACGCATTTCATCCCCTACAGTATGTCCGAATCATGGGGCATAGCTTGAATTTATAGAGAATCATCGCACCCGAAGAAGGTTAAGTTGCGCAGCGACTCTTTAAGATGTTCTCTGATCCGCGCAGACGCGCAACTCGGAAGAAGCGCTCAGAGCGTCGTGAGTGCGTGGGCAACCGTGTATCTACGGCTGAATATGATTCGCTCTGGATCGCTTCCTCAATGGGGACGCGTCACCTGCAAGGGCTGGCTACGACCCTCGTGCCGGAGCGTGCGGCCACTAGTATATATGAAAACCGTCCTGCGCCCGTGATATGGAATAGCCAGCAGAGCAGTCTCTAGCTTGATGCCGCGTCCAAGTTCCTAGCGAAACCCTTGGCTGCAGTGCGATCGCCGACCACAGGTACCTATGAGCTCTTGTACTGTTGATCGTCTTTGGTCAGTTGGTCCGCAGAAACGATTGAGATACGCGTTAACGACTCGCATTCCATCGAACGGCAGACCGGCATTGTAGGGGCATTAAATAAGTGTGGGAGAATGAGACGCGTCCGCAAAGTCGCAGACGGGCGCGTCCTGCCTCTTATCACCGCCATGGCATCATGGCGCTCACCTTCGCTTGTATTCGCGCCTGTCCTCCCAATATACCCTTTTCCTCCATTGTTTCTACGGCCCACCTACCCGCCTGGCTGGCCATGGTACGGCACCAGGACCCGCAGAGTCGCAGGAACCGCGTCGTGGCTGGCGACCCTCAACCCTCGCGATGCTCCCAAGGGCGATGCGGCGCACCAAGACTGCCTGTGCCGCTAACATACCGTCTTGTCCGGCCCCGCCGCAGACGAACCATCGCTATATATAGTGAATCAAACCGCGGCTTTCCAGCGGCGCCTCGTCTTCTTTGCAACCAGCGCCTATCAAGCGTGCGCCTGCTCGTGGCGCCATAACGTCTGTTGGCATTTTGCTCTTTCCGGATCCTCTCATCCTTACCCCGTGCTAGCGCTTGGTTCTGCGGTCCACAGGGCGCCATTTCTCGAATGTGAACTAGGTAAGGCGTGTCTGCATATCACATGTACCTTAATGACCATGATACTAATATCTTCTACAGTTGTCAGTAGCAGTCCAAACCCGAGGCCAGAACCGCTTCATTCTCAAGATCAGGGCCGTCAAATGCTACAGAATCCGCGAGTTCGGCGACCGCCACCGCCTCTGCGGCACAACCACGAGTGGAGGAAGTCCCGGTTGGAACGACCTCTTCTGAGGATATGACGGCGGCCGATAATCTTCTGGCTTTCGCGGGCACATCTCAAACGCTGCCCTCTCCTCTACCTACCACGCCTGCATCGTCTACGAGATCAAACTTATCCGAACTCCCGGGCATACTGATCCCACACTGCCCGCGCGACGAAGCGATTGCATCTCCTTACGCTCAGGCGCCCGGTCCCCCGACATGCTCGCAGAATGTCTCCCAGTCTACCGAAACCGAGCAGTCTACACCTCTCGAGACTCCCACAGCGCAACCGCACGATGCGGCGTGGGGCGGCGGCCGGCGCGCTCGCCGAGTCCTTCTACCCATCGCCCGCACCAACACTAAGCCCTTCGACGTCCTCAACACAAGAGCTCTCCTCGGCTGTTCGCGCTGAGGAATCCTTCAGCGAAGAGACCGCTCAGGCGCCGACAATCGATCCGTCGTTTCTGCTCGAGCTGTCCAGCCTTGTCGAGCACTGGAACGTGAATGACAGTGCGCTGTAGTCTTCAACTCCGCTCGTGGACACGCCAGAGTTGCCCACACCAGACTTTACGTCCCTCGGGCAAGGGCCTTGCGTCGCGACTTCGGCTCTGACAAGTATCGACCACGCATATGCCATGTCGGCTTATGATTGGACGGATACATCCCGACGAGGCCGCACTCTCCGCCGACGACGGCGATTTCCAGATGGGTTCTTCCTCGTGGCGCTCGGCTATATCGGTAGCAGGTCCTATCTCTGGGCTTGCCTTCGACTTCCACAATGCGCCTACGCCACCGCTGCCACCTCGTTCTGATTCACCATTTGACATTAACCTCAATCTCGGCGCTGACGATGGCGACGATGAGGACGACGACGACGCGCCTCAGCCTCCTGCTGGAGGTGCGGCGGTGACCGTGTCCTCAGCGGCAGTCTTGAGCGACGAGCTACACCAGCAGCTCAGGAGGACGATGCTTCGGCGTCCTTTGTTTGAGGATGTCACGAACGCCGATGACTTCGTGGAGAAGCCCACGTTCGACCCTTCGCAGCGGCCGCCAGGCACCTTCAGACCGCTCTCGGCGACTGATGGGTCTTCGTTGGAAGAGTATTATGTCCGCCTGGTGACCCAGCAGACAACGCCGAAGGCCCGGGGCTACGTCCGGGACCTCATCACGGTTGAAGGGAACCGCCGAGGGAATCGGTATCTGCTTGAGAGGGTCAAGCGGATGAAGGGGCGGACGGAGGAGGAAAAGCGGAAGGAGCAGGGGCTGATGAAACAGCTTGAAGAGGAGAACACGAAGGTTGCGGCTCTGGAGAAGGTGAAAGCGGAGAAAGAGGCACAGAAGGCAGCGCAAGATGCGCAACTGGCGGCCAGAAACGCGAGACTGGCGAAGCAGATGCAGACCACGTTCCCCGGGCGCAAGAGCGGCAAGATCATGACGCCGTCGCAGCTTGGCTCCAGTTCGTCACGCAAGCCCTTGCCAACTTGTCTCGTTGACGCCTCGCTCGCTACCGCCGATGTCACCTTCGCCGCCTCGCCCTCGCCCTCTTCTGGAAGGACTTCGCTTGCCGAGCAAGGTCTGGAGGCGTTCAAACAGCAAGAGCAAAGCTAGTCTACTCTCCGCCTATACAGCGCGTCGAAGGTTATGGCCATGGTCCAGCGCGTACTGCACCTCCCGCACTCCCCGCTCCCACCCGGCCTATTCCTCAGCCCGACAACGCACTACTTCCCTGTCCCCCCGGCACCCACAAACGCTCTACATGACCTCCGCCTAATACAACGCCGTGTGGCGACTCCAGACTCCTGACATCGCCGGACGCGCCGCCATCATGCGCTACGTCCGCGACCGGGAGGGCCTTACCGCCGTCGATCTCACAGAGCAGCACATCAAGGAGATGCGCGCCACTTATGAGCAGTCCGAGAAGACAAAGCGGAAGGCCGAACGCGGTCTGGGGGTCGTGCCGGGCGCAACGGTGTTGTAAAAGGGGCTGGCGCTGCTCGAGGGGCTTGTAGCGTACCCTGGTGCGCGGGAGATTGCGGAGCATGGGCTGGACAGTCGGGCGCGGAGGCTTACGTGGTCGCTCTATAGCCAGGGTAGCAATGGCGCGCTAGGATGTTTGTGCAGAACCATGTCTTTGAGACGGAGGGAAACGTGGCGATGGGGAGGGTGCTTGATATTAAGGAGGAGATGGAAGATGCGGAGAGGCAGGTGGCGATGGACGTTGAGGGGGGGAGTCGGACGAGAAGAAGGGTCCATCGAAGCGGGCGAAAAAACGCAAGGCGCAGAGTACGTTGTCCATCTCTATCGACTCACAATATCATTCCTTAACTAGTGCCACTTTGTACAGAGGAGAACCAGTGCCAGCGCAAAAAGCAAGAGGCGGAGAGGCGGAGAAGGACGAGGAGGAGCGGGAGCGGAAGACGGGCGTGCGGGAGGCGGAGAGACGAGCTCAAGAGGAGGCTCAACGTCAGGTCCGGCGTGATCTGGCGCCGCTTCCTCGCCCGCTGCCTATAGCTCAAGCATCGCCCGTCGTCTTCAATGCGCCGCCTTCGACTCCGAAACCACAACAGGCTCCTCGACCGAAGACCAGGAAGGAGTACCACGGCGTACGCGCGTTCGATGTCAGCCAGGAGCAGCTGGAGAAGCAGATCCAGAGGGACAGGATGCAGCTCAGCTTATGCTGAGTAGCGCTGTGGTTGGATCTCAGCTCGCTCCCGCGCAGCCTGTGCAAGAGGAAGCTGGCCGCCAGCGGTCGAGACTATATCCGAGGACACCTAGTCGATCTCCGTCGATGAGGGGACCCGTACTCGGATACAGAGTCTGAGGATATGGAGCCTGAGGAGCCGTCTGTGTATACGGATTTGCATTTGTATTTGTATCGGACTTGTGCTTTGTTGGTTTGGGGACTGCGGACTGTGTATTTGTATCATGATTGTTTGGACTCGGATCTGATTGTTGCGTCTTGGATCGGCTATTGACTATTGTAGTGTATCGTATTTGTATTTGTGCTTCTGTGGTTCGAAATGGAATTGTAGACGAGCTCTCCGTCTCTCAGGCTTTGCCTGAAGAGCGCGGTTTGACTTGTAAGCTAGAGGACGAGACGCTGTATCGCGCCGAAGGTAGACGCGACGACCGGTGAGAACGGTCTCGGGCTTGCCTCAGGATCTTCTGAGGATGTAGTTGAGGCGTATTGCGCGGTGAAGCCATTTGTGCGCCCATCGCACCAGGCTCTTCTTCCCATCGGATTGACACGGTCTATCTCCTTGCAAGACATGTTCTTGTAGCGCAGCAATGCGGTGAGGAACGAGGGCCGCTTGCGCGAAGGCCAGATGAAGTAACATACGGGCGTCTAGGCGAAAAGTCCAAGAACCGGCCATCAAAGAAGCGTGGCCTGCTAGCATGAGACAGATTCCACGCGCCCCGACAAACGACGTGAGCTCTCTTTCCGCGACTTCGACCTCTTCTCAATCGCCTTTGCTCGCTCACCCACCTCCCTCTCTGTTCGGTTGACACACAGCGCTATGCGCTAAGGATTCTCTCCGAGCTCCGGCTCCTATTACCGGTCTCCCGCTTGGAGGCTCACCCGTGCGTAGCAGCTCGCGGCTCGTACGGCTTCGCGCCAGCCTCTCGCACGTTTCGCGTAGCTTGGCGACGCGTCCAGGGCGTGTCTCATGTGACCGCGTTCAGCGCGGCCGTTTCGGGCTCGCCCTCCTTACAGTGTCTACTGACGCTGCAGAAGGAATACTGTACTTCTGTACATGTCCCCCTCAAATTCACGGGGGACGGCGGGCTGGGCCTGTCCCCGTTTCGGAAAAATGAGAACACACACGAGGCTGGGCACGAGAAGACGCCAACGTGCCAACCCCCGTCCCGAAACGACCCGCATCTTGCTCACCGAAGCAATCACCACGCGAGGCGTCTGGCTGGGGTTTCATGGGAAGGTGATGCGTGGAACAAAGGTCGGAGAGCGACGAGGCCTTCAGCAGGGGCGTACGACAGCGGCGTTGTTTAGGCAGTCAAGCCCTCGCCCGCTACGCGAGCGCGAAAGATATGGCAGTTGACTCAAGGATTTCGAGCGCGGAGACGTGTGGCTAGGATCCGTCGCGAGTAAACAGCCGCTCGCTACGGGACGCCTGTCAGCTATGACCGGCATCAAAGAGTGATGTGCCCAGTCTTTAAACTGGCTAGAGTGCCTTTTCCTGTACTCGCGCTGCTGTCTATCGTGACGAGTATATGCCCTCTGCTCGATGTGAGGACTTGTCTACGCGCCCCGTTTGCATCGTGTGGTACCGACTGGCAGTCTAGTGATGTCACTGCCGAAGACGCGCACACGTGACTTTAACGCGTGGGCAGAATAGGCATCCCGTGCGCTCTTCAACTGGCCATTAACGGTTTCATTGTCAACCCCAAGACCTCGGTATACACCAATTGATCACATTCAAATGAAACGGCTTCCTAAATTGTCTCGGATAATGATCTTACAACGTAGTACAGCATAAATAACGCGTTCATAACTACAGACAGTGGCAAGATGTCCGACGTGTGGGAACCAAAGACAGAATTGCTACATTGTAGGAGTACCGTAAGACATAGCTTAGTATACTTTGGGATTCTGCCACCCCGAAGTTACAGCCCAGTCAACGCCAGGCGCGGACGAATAGGCCTCAGGATCAGTCGGGGATACTCCCTCCATGTCGGAGGTAGGTGAGTCTACCTGAGCATTGGGACCGTACGGCACGTCATTAGAAATCTCTTTGTTGTCGTCTACAGCCTGTATCCGCGAGCTCGGAACGACCTCTTCGAGCCCGGAACCTTGCGAAGAGGATGAACGATGCTTGTACCGGGGCGGTACTGGACGTTCAAGGCCCGCCGAGGCCTGCCGCGCCATAATATGGTTCGCTATGCTCGGGGAATGCCGAGAAAGCTCACGCACAGCGACTGTTGTAACTGGTGAAACGGCGGGCGCGTCTGCAGGTCATCAGCCGTGTGCCCGATCGAGCAGGCGTATCGATCCATACTCACCCGTTCCATTTCCGTCGCTGAGGTCGGAAGATGCCCGTTGCGAAGGCTCAAGAGACTCCTTGACTGATTTGACAAATCCTTGAGCTGAGGGTCGCAGAGTCAGCACTGTCTGCACTGCCATGGTGTTAATTATGATTGTACCGGTAGGAAGGGACCAGAAGTGGTCTTCAGAAGGTAGCGTGCGACGCGGATCCGTGATATGTATGAACCTGTGACTGATAGGGTGGGCTGCCGGCTTTTTGGAGCGCTCTAGTGTTTGATTAGCCGACGACCACAGTCTAGAACCGTAAGCAAAACTTACTACGACCAGTTTCGATCTCTTTGCGTCTCCGATTGAGCTTCTCCGCGAGTTCCACCCAAGGTGTCTTCTCAATGTCTGACAGCTTGTACCAGACAGCTGTAGCGAGACGTGATATGTACGTCTGCTTGATAGACTCGGGGACTAGACTTCCAGCAAGGAAGTCAGAGCGGAAGAGAATGAAGCTATTCGGCGCGGTGGGGACGTCAAGAACTTTTGATCCGCGACGTTTCGCATCCGCATTCGCCTGATATTCATCAACTGAAGCATAACGAGGCACGGGAATCAAGTCTTGAAGCCCGAGTCCCAGTTACAGCCGCACTTCTGCGAGTAGGCGGTCGCAATCCTCGAGAGACTGATGCCTTGGCATTCTTGACGCTCTAGTCAGCAGAGAGCAAAGAGTCCGGCAGATAACAGAGCGCAAAAGTATGGCAAAAAGAAGTGACGGGTTGGGCGGCCGCAGTGACAGAGTGGAACGGGTCTTGACGAATGTGGATCGATACTGAGAGGTAAGCGGCTGTGAGATCTTATAAACGAAGGAGACGACGCAGGAGCGCTCTCCGACTATGTTCACTTGAGTGAGAGCGTAACTTGATGCAGTACGCAGAGCACAGCAGCCGGCGCTACGTATACCGCCGTCGTCAAGAGTCGGGCCAGTCAAGCGGGTTGATTATTTCGAGGACAAGGGTCGTGAGTTCATTCTGGCACCCCACTTGACCAACGCCGGGACCGAGAGGACTTTAAGCGGCACTGCCCAGGATACGTAGGAGACAAGTTGACAGGCAGTCGCTGCTCCCTGCGTATGTCCGCCTATTTCGGGATCTTCAAACAACGAGCGGTCGCGAAGCTTCAGTCAGGATGCGTGTAGCGATAGAGACGGCGGTCTTGGCTCCCCCGAAGTCTAAAATTGATCGGCGTATTGAGTGGCAAATTCAAATCGTGTGTTTCATCCGGAGGTGCAGACGCAGGGCTGAAGGGGAGACTATGGAGGCGTGAGTCAAGTTGGGAACAAGCGCCCGCCGCGTCGCGTGAAGACGATGGTGAAGCGTAGGCTATTATATAACTTCGCTGCCGTTGAGAGCAGCCTGCCCGTGTTCTGAGGCTTCCGTTTCTCCCCAGGCTCTTCGTCTCCAATAAATTACACACCTAGATTGTCACGCTCTCGTCCGGAAGATTATGAGTTCTGGTATGTCATTTGTTTTGTTCCGCACTATACACACCGACTAACGGCCTTCAAGCTGTGCTGGTTACTGTTTTACTCCTTCTCGTCGCTTTCATCGTCATTTCTGTTCTGGGTACAACTTTTGCCCTGCTCATACGCCATTCCCGCACTCGGAAAAGCCGCGCTCTCCCTTGGAGCACGTTAGGTATCGCGTCGAGTCCCGGGTCGAGTCCTAGGTCGGAGATATGGGATATACGGCCGGAGATGCCCGCACCACCTACGTCATCATATCGCGTGCCAGGGGCGAGTCATGGTGCGCTGGCTTCTCATCTTCTGTGCCCCATCATAATGGCTCAATCCCTGCTTAGAGAGAAGTTCTTCAACGCGGATTGCACACCATCAGCGCGATGGTAGGGCCCCGAGTGCGTTTGGCGCTGTCGCACCACCCACCGGTCCCGTTACCCCGCCTTCGACACTGTCTTATCCTACCCATTCAACGTCCAGCGTGTCGCGCTATCACCACGACAAGCAACTCTCGCTCGAGTCGCTCAGTTTCGACGTGGATATCTCTCTCCCGCCGCCAAGTTATAGTCGGGTGGAGCAAAACCTGCCAAGCCCTCGATACTCCCTCGTGGTCCCAGCCCGAACCGCGTCCACCAGAACCTCGTCCACCCAACCCTCGTCCATTCAAACCTCGCCCACCCCGACCTCGTCCACCCGTCTTAAAATCCGCAAGTTGCCTACCCGCCCGACATCCGTGGTGTACTTCAAGGTCGACAGACGCTCTACCATCGTTACGGCCCCCTCCCTTCCACCACTTCCTATTCTCAGCCCCATGAGGTTCCATTGGACAGTATCGAATCAAGCGATTGTTTGAATCGATCTACGCACTGGAAGAGCAGTCTATCCGAATACCTACCGCTCCCTATCTCTTGCGCTCTAGATCATGTTGTCTGCTTTACTTGCACACGACTGCGGGCTCGCGCTGGGCAGCTAACTCGCTTTCACTAGAACATACGCTACTATCTTGCATAATATCGGCCACTCCTCCGTATCGCAGTAGGCACGCACTGGCATGCAGGCTTACATCCACTCCTTTACATAGAATCCACACTGAGCCATCAACGTCACATCTCGGTTACCTTCTCACTCCCCTCATTGTAGCCCTAGTTCTCGTCCTCGGCCTGCCAGTCACTCCCTACACATACCCCTTTTCTCGTATGGACATCCTCTCGGCTAGGACCCTCTGTATCATCATGTTTTAAAGTTGCACATACCGCGCCGATGATCGCGGCCTTCGGTCCCACGCAAAAGTTCCAAGAGCTACGACACACAGTCTAGCATGGGGACACAATACATCGCGCATGACCTTGCACAAGTGGCAGACCGGTAGCGAGATCGTACGCGTACGCGGAGGTTATACGGCCGCTTCGCTTGAGTTCGTTGGTTCGGTCGAAAGACAAATATTCTATTCTTCGCAGGATTACTTTGCGCGTATATATACGAGAGCTTTACGAAGCCCATCAGCATGCTATATGACATATGAGCAGCGGGTAGATTGTACTATCTCCTCTCGCGCGCTGCCTTGGCTCAACGGAGCCAGGGGTGGTGCACGGCATGCATTACGGTCAGACGCTCAGTTGACGTGTTCTGAAGCAGTCCCCTGACAAGGCTGCGACCTACGGGCATCCAACGTACAGTCAGCGATGGTTTATCAAGAGAGTAGTTGACTTGGATCACAATTTACGTCGTCAGTGGCTTTCTCCAGGGGCTCGAAGCTTATCGTTCTTCTGGGCAGTTGCTTCCAATAGTTCAAGTCCAACGCCTGCGGCCACGTGAACGGTGAAGTCGACGTCATCCTGAAGATATTCGGTCAGTCCCGTTGATAGTGTAGACACGACGAGCCTCACATGAAAAATACCATGACGCCGATGCTCCAGCCATCAATAGACTCATCATAGCCTACATGATGGCCTTCAAGCATCCGATACGCGACTTCGGGCGCAGCGTAATCAGGTGTGCCGCATACGGTCTATTCTTACCCATCAGGGTTTGCACAGGGGCAGTGAGGCATTGGTAACGCGAACCTGTAGTAAGGAAGTCGCAGGTAGTTGTTTGGATACTCCAAAATCCGAAATCTTGACCACTGGCGCCGAAGTGGCAGTTATAGAGAGCAGTACGTTCTAGCGACGATAGGACTGAGTACATGTAGATGAGTACATGTCATTGCACGCACCGAGGGTTTTAAATCGCGATGAACGATGCGTCGAGAGTGCATGTATGCCACGGCGTGGCATATCTGCCTGGTGATGCACTTTGTCAGCGGATTACCTACTGACGTATGAGCGAACAATGCTACAGAAACATACACAAAATTGTACCCAGAGAGCGCCTGCCCACGTATTGTTCCAAATTGACGCCCTCCACGAGTTCTAAAACCATGTCTGCAAATACAGTCGGTAAGATGCTGTTAGGTAGTACCGATGACGCACAAGTCTTTCCAACCGTGGTATCCTCGATAGCTTCGAAGAACGAGCAGATGTTCGGATGTACGAGGGACCGTGCAATCTGTATCTCATTTGCGATGGCTCGTTGACGTTCATAATCATCGGGTTCGCTGTGTAAAACCTTGATAGCTCTACGGGCAGCCTTGGGCCCATAGCTGAAGCGTTTACGAGCCTTCCAGACGACGCCGAAGGCACCGCCACCCAATGGTCTATCCCATTGGATAGTGTACTTGCTGTCAATAAGGAGATTTTCTTTCCAAGGATTACGATAAGTGTAATCTGCGTGGATGTCGTCAACAAATGACTGCGACAGCCCTGGTGATTGGCGCTCACGAAATGATCCAGGTAGAGTAGGGCTTCCGAGCGAGATCCTTTCCCCTCCGAGAAGCAACTCTTCTACCAGGGACTCCAGCCGCTTGCCATTTACCTGGTGAGACATGTTAATAAACATGGCATTCGTTCACTCTGAAAACGCAACATGCCCAAGTACCCGCACGAGCAGAACGATTGCGCAGCGACGCCATGCCTGTTATATGATTGTACTGTACGGTACAGTGAAATTCCTCTGCAATCCTTCTCAATACGAGATAAGTAAGAAGAACTGTAGGACACACCGACGAGTGTATATTGTGGTATACGAAGGTCGCACGTCGGCGAACTCCCAAGAGAATAAGAAGCATTACTCTTGAGTAATACTAGCGCGCAGGGCACTTCAGGGTTCCGGCTGTTAATATCGAGAGTTCCAAACGACTCCATTTGAGATAGCGTGGTGCAAGTCTGCGAGGAACCACAGGCAGTGACGGCCGATCTAGCGGTATATGTATGAGCCTCCCTTGACGACGCGCGGCCTCCGCTTGCGAGATGCGCGATTGTAGGAGATGAGTGAAGCGGCCATGGACAGACAGGATCGCGATTGAAATGTTATGCTAGCTGGAGAGCCTCATGACGATGGCGGTCTTAAGCCAACGGCGCTTCTCACCCGCTTCCGCTTCCGGTGACCGGAAGTCGTGGGTGATCGGAAGCGATTTGTTGATCCGAAAGTCGACGCAATCGTTATCGGTTGATTTGAACTTGCATCGTCACCGCGGCGAAGCCCGCTACGATTCACCAGCCGTGAAGCCGTAAGCGCATAGTTGCCTGCTTACCTGTGTACTTCTACCGCGCCGACTGGTTCACAGCGCTTGCGAAGAAAAGGATCGCTTCGGCCGCTGCCGCCACCGCCTCGCGCTTCGTGTCCCATCGTATGGGATCATCAAACGGGCTCACATCCTACGCGTCCGCTACCTCGTGTGTATGAAACCCGCTACGAAGCCTCAGCAAGCCGATTCAGATGCAGCGCCCGCCCCTTGTCGCTACCTGTGCACCAATCTTCGCGCCTCCGCTTTGCTCCCGGCATGCCGATTCATAGGGAACGCCCGCCCCGGTCGTTATAACGCACCGCAACAACGAAGTATATAAAGCAACGCTGCTGTCGAAGGGCCCTGGTCAACCACAGCATCATGTTCAGTGCTATATTTGCGAAGCTCCATCCCATCTCAGGTGCATTCGGTCTAACGCAACGGAACGGCGTATTTCTATCTTCTGCGAAGAACGAATGGGCCGTTGGCCGTGGGTCGAGCTTAGACGCACCTCCTGACGTTTGGATCGATCACTCGAGGCGCAACACCAGTACGTACTTCAGCTCTCGAGCGTAGCATGTCGGTACTGACTCCCTGTCAGGTTCCACTCATGCCATCGTGATATGGCACCCTGAGAGCCATTCGGCCGTGCTCAAGGATTGCGACAGCCGGAATGGTTCATACGTACGTTCTAATTCTAGGGAAGCATCACCTCTCGCTTATACTGCAGTGTAGGTCAACGGATGCAGAGTGCCGCCTGGTCAGTGCGTCGAGTTGAAGGATGGAGATAGAGTTTGGTTGGGACCAGTCGACGACTCGCTGTCTTGTGGTGCGTTTCCTTTTGTCACCACCTGTGGACACGATTCAAATGCGGAGGCTACAGGTTTCTCGTACCAATATTTATGGGGAAGCTACAACCCCTTTCTATCCGAATACGGGTGCGAAGCGAAGTTAGGTTCAGGCTCTTTCGGCGACGTCTACAAGTTCTTTCGTCGTTCTCGCCCGTCGGAAGTCTACGCCGTCAAGGTTCTCGACTATAGCGTGTCGGGCGGAAGAAACAGCTACAATGACGCTATAACGGAGATGAACCTGTCCCGGAAAGCGCGTACCCATCCGAATATATGTGCAGTCATCGAAGCTTTCCAGGATGATGAACACGAAACCTTATGTACGCCACGCTCTATCAACGTCAATCGTCGGACGTCAAACTCATCACTTTCTCCCTCAGACCTCTTGATGCCGTACATGCCGCTCGGAGACCTCACACAGCATTTCGCCGACCACACCGGTATTGGTACTACACTCACCTCTACTCCATGTACTCGGCTCATTGACGTGTGCTCTCCTTTAGGCATCTTGCGTCTACGTATCGCCATCAAGCAGCTATGTGATGCGTTGGGTCACATCCACTCCTACGGAATCACACACAGAGACGTGAAACCTGCCGTACGAAGTCCCGTATCAAATCAATCGACACTCTCTGACTCTACCGCAGAATATCCTCGTCAAGTGTTGGTCGCCGCTCGTATTCGCTCTTGCTGACTTCGGAGCGTCGTACGAAACGAAGGATGACGAGAATTCCGAAATGGTGCGTTATACCAATCCTCATATGTCATGCCCTTCTCACATAGATAACTCCTAGCATTCTTTGATAGGAAGTTTCTCTTACATGGCGCCTGAAGTCGGGAATTCGACCGGGTACACTAACAAAGTCGACTCATACAGTATTGGCGCAACCGGGTTGCATCTGTGAGTCTGCCTCTCCCGTGTATAACGCGCGTTCCTCACCTATGCACAGGCTGGTTGGACTTCGGCATAACCTTTTTGATGATTCGGGGGTTTTCTTCTCGATCTCTGCATTGAGGGAGTGGTTCGACTCGCGAAAGATCAGATGGGAGCTTGCGGAAAGCAGGGGTCTGCCGCCTGATGGTAAGGGCGTTTCAGAACGATCAACCCACATGAGAACTGAATCCCGTTGCAGGATATCGTCTACTCGAGGGGTTACTGGACTCTGATCCAGAGAATCGATGGTCAATGGCGCAAGTGGCTACCTTTCCATGGATAAGGGATGTGCAAGATGTCGACGAATGTGAATTGAAGATTGAGCCGACGGTCGACCTCAAACTCGGTGTTGCGTCCTCCGCCGTCGAATCGCCCCTCGTCGTAGAGCCACTCGATGCTACACGTCTCTCTCAGGGACGGGTGTCTCGTTTGGCGTTCCTGCCTTCAAATACCGCAATCCGCTCTGTAACTGTCAAGTCTACCTACGCAACAGCGTTATCCTGCCCTTCGTTGTCTGGGCCCTCACCCAAGTCTCGTTCGGCCAACCGCGATCATGTACCGCCTGTGCGCGACGGTGTCCGAAGGTCTCCTCGTCAGCAGGCAGATCAATATATCCAACAAGCACGCGAAAGAGCTGAACAGAGGGCGGACGCTGAGGCTCGCTTCTTTGGAATGGGTAAGGCGAAAGCGCCTAAAGGAAAGGGCAAGCAGGCGAAGAAGCGTGCGGCCTGAATCGTGCTTATAGCTATACACATGTAGATCTGAGTGCAAGGTCCTAGCCTGTGGATGTGATAACCATTTGAGGGATGGAGTAGTGTTGTCCATTATGTTTGTATGTATGTATAACAGATGGGCGGACAGAGAGGGTGCACAGCAATGTATAACAAATATTAAGAATTGGACGAGTACTCTATTGGAGTCTGAAGCTCGTTGTCGCCTTCGGGCGTACTGAGGAAGAGCGTTTTTGATTCGCAGGATACCAACACCTCAAAGGGAGTCGGAGAGCATGCATGTTCTGCTGGGCGAGCCTGACCGTACAGTTGGTGAGGGCGTATAGCAGAAGGTATAGTTTAGTTTCCATCGTGAGACGGAGAGGCATCTAGACGACATTGAGGCATCGCGAGAGACTTGGTTCGTGAGTCTGCATGGTTCTCGTTCGCACACTTCACGCGGACGCGGGAGTAGGAACGGTAGACCGCGTAGTGATACCGAAACCGGGGTCCCTTATCAGGGCGAACCCGTGAAACTACTAGGGGTTGCTCAGTAGCCCTGTGTACTTTGGCAAACAACGGTCTCACATGATACCCCAGGGCATTGCCGAGACCTCAGGCAGTGTTATCCAACTATACGACCCTCTCATCAGACGTACCGTCGCTAAACAAGCGTCCGGTTCCTTCGCAGGCCTCCCGGGCGTGTACACGGGCGGGCCACGCCTTCTCGACAAGCAAAGCCAGAAGGCAGGTTTCATCTTCTGAATCAGTCATAACATTGCCTAGTTCGGGGTCATTCGGATCGTCAACAGTCTCTGTGTAGGTCGCGCGGGCTAAGCGAGTTCAACAGGCAATAATATAGTAAACGTCCATCGTACACAAGCTGTGGTAGGCTACATGAGACCATGTGCACCATTCACTTCCCTAAGCGAAGCCTCCGTGGCGAAGTGAGCCGTTCCTCCCTCGGTGTTGCATATCTCCTCCTACCGTTCCGCATATCCGTCGCGTATCGTAGGCGTCTGAGAGCCACGGGGTGACCGCTGACCATAAGCGCGGGCATCACAGCGCGGTCTTGGGCATTACGAGCCTTGAAGGTCCTCGTGTAGCATGGGCGGCGCAGTATATGGAGTCTCGTATGGGGAGCGGTTCGAGCCAATCCTGTAGCAAGTACGGGCGTGGTGACGATGTTGTTTTCGAGCGTCTGGAACATGGTCTTGTCAGCGAGGAGGATGACTAGAAGGTCGGCGGTAACAGACAGTCTACTCAGTGCCATGCTCAGGTTCCCAAGCAAGCCTTTGACTTACGCGTTGTATATAGACACCGCTTCTCGGCGCGATGCGTACGAGGCGATTGCCCTTTTGTAGGAGGAGCTACCGCATGGGCACGCAAGCACGAGTGTCAAGTGGCAGTACCAAATGGGGATGATGTCGATCTCCTTGAAGAGCGGAGTAATGGCGGAACGGTGGTTGACTATGCCCATCGCTCGGCGCAGGAGTCCCGCAGTCCCGACTGTGGTTTCTCGAGATCCTTGTCCATGTAGCCAATGAGCTTCCAGCCGAGAGACGCGCGCGAGGGGGAGCATGTGATCGGTGTACGTTCGCGCGACGCCACCGAAGCGAGACTGAATTGGCTTCGATATAGTGCCGAAGATAATACTCCACATCTTGGTTGCGTTGATGAGAAGTCGTCTTTCCCCTACCAGGCGGAAGACGTAGCCCACTAAGCCTGTAGTATCGCCAGGGTCGTAACCATGAGTCCCGTGGTGCCCAAGATCTTTTGAGAAGAGGCTGCGGACACTGGGGAGCGAAGTGCGACTGGGAGTGTGAGCGCACGGCGCCGCAGCCTAGCTATGACGGACTAGGACAGTGAAGAGTATTATGACATGCGGCGAGCTTCGAGCGCACGTAGACGTTGGTGAGAACCTGATGGTGGTCCATAGGCAAGAAGGAATGCCTGCCTAGATGATCATTCGGGGCATGTGGCGGCAGCCTTAGGCGCCGAGATACGGCACTCGGCACCCGTTCCACGCTATATGTGGGCTCACGCGCACGTACGATCATCATATGGCTCTTATAAATATTCCGCCGCACTACCCGCCGCAACGTCTTCTGCGACTGAAGCAGGATCCTCTCCCCACCCGTCCTCGTACGTATACTCCTAGCGAGATGCAAATCAGTGGAACCTCGCGCTGGCCATAGTGCACATGAGAGTAGCGCCGACGTGGCATGGCTCTGCGTGCCGAGCACAGTCTTAACAACGACCCCAGAACCAGCTAGGGTACCTTCTTCAACCTCTTCAAGAGTCGTAGGCTTGTAGCTCCAAAGCTACGGAGCTGGTGACCATTGAGTGCATTCACCGTGCGCGGCGCAAGATCTGTCTTGTGAACTTACAGTCACCGACGCCTTGCAAGAACGGGATGTACTTAGCAACATGATCAACGACGACTCAGTATGCGCTGGCAGATACGACCACACGCGCATAGAGGCTTGACAGGGATGCACGGCGTTCTAATCAGAGAGATCAGTAGCGTCGATGAGCGCACGATTCCCCGTGCTATACGGATCTGGGTCATATCGAGTGTCATGGGCGGGAGGGCGCGCATAGAATTCTCAGAGCGCACTGTCAAATTAAATACTCAAAGACTTTGGAAAAAACATCAACTGTTGTCCAGCAGTTGAAATTGTATTCATGTATAGTATCAATGTGGTGCATATATATTTAGGAGACAGTCAGGGACTGGAGGAATCGAGAACGCGCTTCAGTCCATGCGTACGGAGAGAATAGCCATGAGTTTGTGAGCTGGGGGGATCGAGAAGGATTTACAACAGGTCAACCGTGTCATTCCTGTCGCGCATTCGTGAGTAAAGAGTGCAGTTTACATCAAGTCGAGAGACTCACCCTCTTCATAGGCAGGGCATGTACCACTGGCCTGGGGACACCGAACCATTGCTCCCATTCCGTGACGCAGCAATGGCAGATAATGTCACGCGCAGGTATCACATAGAAGTCCTCTTCTATTTCAGCGTAATGCAGCTGTCCAGCGTGCAAGGGCCACTCGCGATACCAGTCGTAGGCGCGGTCCTCCTCCGTAAGCGACGCGAAGAATCGGACAACCACGTACTGCCGAGGGACAGAGGTGGGGACGTTGTTCGCAAATGAGTACGACAGAGCCTGAACAATTCGGGCAAGACGCCATTCGCCTGATAATGAGCCTATAGCGACATAGCAATCTGGCGAGTTGACGGAGTATGCGGTAGTGCCGACCGTCGCCGAACGCATGAGCTTGACACACCGGAGCGAAAACGTGTCTCCAGCGGAACGTACAACCTCAGACAGTTGCTGGATAGTTGACGGATCAAGGTCTTCTCGGGTGACGCGCGGATTGCGAGAGAGGATGCAGGCGGCGGTTTCGTCCTCTTCGGGTGCTAAGGCCAGTATGTCGCTCAATAGCGTGCCGCGCTTATCCGACTCGAAGCACTCCTCGAAGATGGGCTTGAACTCTTGAAGTTCAGGCGCAAGGCCCCCGTCCAGAATCATGGCTCGCAATAGCTGATTCTGGATGAAGCGATCGAAGAGTGTGCGCTCGAGCGAGCCTGAGCAGCCGTTATCAGCTGACGCGTGACCACAATACTTCTTCAACGTACCAAATTGGTTATTTGTGTTGATCTGTTGCAGTAGGTAGTTCCAGCGTTCGAACACAAAACAGCGCCATGCATGAGTCGGCCCCAATGACAGCAGGAAGTAGGAAAGATGGAGAGAGAGATGCTGCTGTGACTCGATCAGGACGCCGGGGAACAGAGTGACAAGTCCCTGAAGCCAGGCAAGCATCGATTCGTGGTATTTCTCAACGCACTCATCATCAATCACTCGAGATGACGCTAGATTGGTAGCAGAGACGAGATCCATGAGGTTATTGAGAAGTGCGCGTTCACGAGAGCCTGGATGAAGTGGTCCCCAGAGGCGAATCATTGTGATCACGAGGTTGATCGTCACGAAGATCCTGTAGTCGTCCGCACCGGCCTTGCGATGTTGCTTGTCACCGAACCTATGAGGCGCGTGCCCGACCCAGGTGGGTATGACTGTACGGTCCATGTCGCTCCAGACCTCTGCAAGACGATTCTTTCCGAGTATCGCAGACCGGCCGTTGCCAGGTAATCTTGCCAATGCCTTCGTATAACGCTCGGGGTCCGGATGTCTGATAAAGCCCACAGCATCGGAGTAACCGGCTCGATGTCGCTACACAAGTGGTGCAAGTCAGCCATGTTATACTCAGCAATCCGCATGGGCAATAACGCACCAATTCGACGATCCTCTTGACTAGAGGTTTCTTACTACGCAACTTTGACAGAGTGACCCGTTCTGATTTGGCGCCGTACTCGTCTGGGGAGAGGCCCATCTTCCAAACAAGGAAGGCGCGCAAGACCTTCACAGTAAAGGTGTAGAAGATCTGAGAATCGGGAGCACAAAGAAAAAGCTCTTGCAGCGCGTCGATCTCGGCCGGATGCGCGTCTAGCTCGATTATCTGCAGCGGGTCATGAGGAAGCATGGACGGCTCGGGAGGTTGCAAGAGCACGTCGTCGGCGTTGAACCATCCCTGTTCGATGCGCTGCAAGGTGATGAGTGAATAGGCATAGATCAGGGAAGGACGGCAAGAAACATACGTATAAGACAAGAGCGTCTATGAATGTCACTTTATGACTGGCTCGCGGTCCCATAGTCATCGGCATCGGGACGTTCTTTCGTGAGACCAAGCCACGCAGGTCGTTGAGTGTGAATTCGTCGAGTTTCTCTTTCGGGGATGCGCGTACATGCCGCCAGATCTCATCCAACATCCTCTCGTTTCGTGGAAGAGAAGCGGTGCCACCGCCGGTTCCGTCTCCGTCTTCGAGGCTTGCTGACATGTTCCAATAGTGCCGGCAGAGACGTTTGAGATTGCCGAGGAATAGAACATGCATCATGTCGATGACCGTGCAGCGCAGGGGATCAAAGTAGGGCAGCTCTAAGAGCGCAGACCAACGAATACCATGGTCATCGTAGATATCGTCGCGTTCATCGGGACCACCAGATCTCCACTCCTCGGCGAGGTTGCGATGCTTCTCCAGGGAGCGTGGAATCCAGGTCGAAGTGTCGAGGTTGTTGCGTTGCTGATATAGAAGCTCACAGTATGGACAGAAATGTGTGTGGTTGTGTCTAGCAAAGCCAGATACGTCCCGTCCGGCTGGGCTATCACAGACGACAAGGAACAGTGCCAGCCGAACGAGTAGACCGGCATCATGCAATGGTGTGCGGGTGAAGAAGACGCCCTTCAACCAGAACGGCAACAGGTCTCGAACGAGAAGAGCGAGTACGGGGTTGAACTGTTCCTTACTCGGATCCTTAGGGCCGGGTATGATGCCTATGAGGAACATGTTCTCGACCTTGTAGCGCATATGCGGTGGCAGGTTGAGACATATGAGGTACATTGCCGTGACAGTGGCTTTGCGTCCTGCCTCCTTCATTTGGAAAGGGTTGAATCCATCGACGTTGAGCGCGAAGATCAGGCGAGTTTCTCCCTGCGTAACCCTGAGGAACTGAGATCCGTCAAGTCCCTTGAAGGCAGAAAGTTGAGGAGCGTCCCAGACGTCGCGCATCTTCTTCTTGCGGCGAGGTGTCTGCATGAGAGATCGCTGAACCCCCGGTCGGCAAAGGAAATGCCCGAGCCACTCCTTCAAGTCATGCATCACAAAGCGACGCACAGGCTGCGTGTAGAGTTTTCCGCCGATCGCCCGTTGGCGTGTCAAATTGTGCAAACACGCTGCGCCTCCCGTCGGAGTATTGGTGCAGAACTCAGGATATGAGTCGGGTCCTCGGTCGGCGTAGACTGCGTAGCATGACGGGCAGCACACATAGACGTGATATTCGTACAGCAGATCGAGCCTCTTGATGGCGGTCCTGGCGTCCGTGGGGATATCTTCGATGACGGACATCGCTTCTTTCGTGTCGGCACCAAAGCGTCGAAGTGCTATGCGAAGTGGGATGCGCATGCTCTTGAGGAAGAAACGGCAGTGACTCAGGGAGATGTTGCACAAAAGGATGGCAGCAGAAGAGATGATGCAGATCGCAGCGATGAGAGAATCCAAGCTACGCAAGGGCGACCTCATATACCGGTCCGTTCGCACTTCGTCAGGCAATCCGTAAGCAGATGCGCGTCCACACAGCTCGCGACGTTCTACAACAGCGGCATCGAGCTTGTGCGCCTGTGATATCCAGGCTTGACGTTGGACGTCCTGAAGCTCTAGCCACGCATCATCCAAGCGCAACCGCAGTGCATCACGACTGTTCTGAACTTCAGGCCACTCATGCGTGTTGAGCTTATCCACTGCATCATACAGCTCCCATATGCACCATTGTCTCTGAAGGAAAAGGAAGTTTGAAGGGTGGTCGCTACGAAGCGGTATGCACGATACATTTGACGCGTCGACATCTGCACCAGCGAGAGGGGTCTGGACGAACACGAAGTCTTCGTCGGACATAGACAGTGTGGGAGCGGCGTCTAAGATGGTGCCCAGTTCTTTCAAGCGTCTCAGGCAGCGCGACTCTTGAATCGAAGGCGTATGGAGATTGGGTTCTAAGACAGACTCTCATGAGTACTTGAACGCAAAAATGTAGCCAGATACAGGCACGGGAAAGGAGTGGAGTGACTAACCTGATTGCGCTATGCCCAGGAGCTTGTCATCGCGTGTATGTGCATCGTATTCATCTTGTCCAACCAGATCCCCTAGGACCAATATCTGAGTGTGTGGATGTATACACTGCTTTCGGCCACAACCATGGGCAACGCAAGTGCAGACACGGACTCGTCGCGGTCGGCGGCCGTTCGGGAGAGACATCGTCAATTCCTGTCAATGTCTCAACTAGCTGTCAAACAATATAATGCAACGCCATTTACCTCGAGAGAGTTTGGGCCTGATGTCGGCGAGTTGGGCTTGCAGTTAGCTACGGTGCTAGAGTGTCGAGCGTGTGATGCGGTGAATCTCCGGCTGAACCTCACCGTAACAGTCCAGCTGGGTAGAGTGGGGTAGGAACCCTTATGAGGGTAGTGAGAGACGTGGTGTAGATCTGTAGGGAAATGACTTGCATTCGATTCGACCGTGGACGCTGTCTTTAAAGGTCGACGCGGCTATCCCCGCTGCTATCCCCGCTCCCCCACGGTCATGGCTCACGCGCTTGTGACGCGTAGCGCTAGTTTCTTTCCGCTTCCGCTTCCACCACGTCTCCAGACAACCCACCCGCTTCTTCATGCAGTGGCGCTTGTGTCTAGCGGCTCGCTTCTACGTAGCTGGAAACGTACCATAAGCGGCTTCTCACGACGGATATCCGGTTGACACCATGTCTACTTTATAAACCTACGTCTCAGACTCAGGCATCCCTCATCATCCGGCCACTACGCCTTTCACGCAGCTTCGCACCAAACATGTTCGCACGTTCAATCCACAACACCTCCAAGATATCTTCTGGAGAGGTTCTTGTTCTAAGTCAACGCTCGTATCGACCTTCAGATCCTTTTTGGAGGGTTCTTGTCGCCGTCCCGAAGACGTACGAGGTACAACCGCCCGTGCTCAATTCCATCTGGCCTCGTACTCACTCATCGCTAGGACCTCGTAGCATTGGCCAAACACGTCTTTTGTATCGACGAAGAAGACGATGTTCTATTCTTCACGGAGGATCTTGATCTCTGCGATAACGACCAAGTGTCTATTCACTGCTCAAGCTGGGAGTTCATCCGCTTGGCTGTTCGCTCCGTGGTTGTAGAGTCGCGGTCGCCCTACCTCCTGGACTCCGCAGGCTATCTAGCAGACGTAGAAAGTGATGCCGACTCGTCTTCTCTTGACGATTCTGATAGCGAGATGGACATGGAGTCGCCGGGCATAACGGTTAAGACGGTGAGTGCCCATTATATCTTACGATGACTAGCAGCCTCATGAAGAGCAGCACCATGAGTCAGAGATCAGAGATCCATGCCTTACATCCGTGGCCGGCTCATCTGAGGCTTCGAACTCCCGAGGGCAGGATACGTCATCATCCCCTCGGCCTGCTCCTTCATCACCACCAGTCGGTGCTGGCATGAACGGTGACAACAACCCAGAAGGCGCCAAGGTCTGTACATGTCTATACCTCCAACAATTCATTAGTTGACAACCTGAAAGATTCGTGTCTGGGATGCACCCTTGCCCGCAAGCCTCACGATGCCATCGGTGCACCCTCCCATCGCCTCGGTCTCCAGTCCGACAATCGCGCCCATAGGTTTTGTAGACTCGCCGCGCCCCGTGGTGCAAAGGAGGCGCGTAGCTAGGTTTCTGGGTGCTACTAGCACAGACCTAAACGTTGAGGAGCTTGTTCGCTCAGACAAGAACGAACAGTGATGCCAGTCGAGAAAACTTGTCTGTAGTAGCTAACATCGCAGTTTCCCGTTGCCGTGTCCCATGTATCGAAGTACTATGTCTCACATTTGTTCCTGATCAGTATCGCGAATGTACAACATTTCACATCTTGAACTTACTTAAATTGGAGGGCTTCAACTGAGTAACAATGTCAAGGGCCTTGAGCTCGCCACGCTTTCGAGCGTCCGGTCTCGTCAACCGAAGTGCTGCCGTGTTTTGCTTATCCTTCGGGAGGTTGGTCGGCGTAGCCGACGCGGACGCGACGCAGGAGCTTCTGCTGGGAAGATGGGTGCCATACATCATACTTCACGATTCGGATGTGGGGAAATGAATATGTATGAGCAAATGCTTGTGATTCTAGGTGAATTCGACAAGCGTAAGATGTGTTAACAGTGGCTATGTACACACGGACGAGTAAACACGAAGCAAAGAGGTACAAGTTCGTTTCGTTGATAAGGGGGAAGAGTAGGGTGTACACTGATGAGGGATAAAGTACGTTAAATGCGATGGGACAGGAGCTGGTAGACAGACTATGTGCGAGTCGGGAACGAACTGAGACATGACCGTAGCGAAGTTGGACGCCGGTCCGCCTTTGGTCCGGCCGCGAACCCCACGCTCTTCGGCAAAACGCTCGGCCTGCGCGTCACTTGCTCTCGACCGCCTTCTTGTCTCTTCTTGTATGACCACGATGTCAATCGTTCAACGTGCATGCCTACCATGCGTACTAGCAATGAAGCCAGACTTGTGCGGTCTCGCTCATAGGTCTAGCGATCGGTGAAGAGGGGTGAAGAGGGCTCTGCGGTCGCCAGCTGTACCACTGCGTCGGCTGACGTCGCGCCATCCCATGGTTGAGGCCGCGGAATCTGTGCGTGAGTGGTTGTTACAGCCCGGACCTCAGTGGCTGATTTGCCTTCCAAGCCCTATGTTGTAACGTGCAAGTCACCTCTGCTAAGCTTGCTACATGGTTGCCGCGATCGTAGGTCTTGTCCATGTAGTCACATACACTCGAGTACCTTGACTCGAACCCTGACATGCCTACCAATGCGATGTTTGTATATCAAATGGCGGTGAACTCGAACCCTAGCGACCAATATAGTTCTGACCGGGGCTCGTCACATCAACTCCACGATGATTTCAATCGGGACCTCTCCTCATTCGAAGAGGGCTGTTCATCCCTGCGAGAACGTTGGATCTTATCAATCTTGCTTCTTTGGGTCGGAGCTCGCAAGGCACCTACGCGATGTGCGCTACGCACAAGAATGCCATCCGGACTCAGGCGAACAACTGTATAAGAGACTTCTAGTGCCATTGAGTGTGGCTCCTATTGCAACGACAGTAGAGCCATGGTCTTCAGCTCACTCCTCTGCTATACGCCGCGAATCTCGGCTTGGGGCAAATCATGAAATTTAGTCTGCGCAAGGCTGCGCTCAGCTCATCGTCCGAGGTTGGATTAGAGGCGAGCACCGTGAAAAGCTTGACGATACAGAACGTGTAGAAATCAGGACGCCATTCTCTGGATGCTTCTCGAGCCGCGCAATAGCCTACGCGGGGCCAGACAGAGCCCTGAAGCTCAGGACACCCGCGAGGTTATTCCCTCCACTCGCACCCGGAGAAGTGGTACCGTCCGACGCACTGGAGCTAGGTATCCACGCCTTCGGTTCGTACAGCCCCAAGGACACACGAATCCATGCCCCTATCATATCGACTGCTACAGCGCACAGCCGTCAGACAGATCCCGAACGATGATCTGGCCATACCGAAGCGGGGACAAGTCCAGGTCATCGCCCTCCGTTGCTAGCCTCGTGGATACGTACGGGCCCCTTCATGGTCATCTGCGCACGCTTGTAAGTTAGACTTCTGCACTGCAATCCGTTGGTCCCGATGACATCTAGGCTTAACCTGCAACATCCCGAATCCGTGAACAAGGAAACTGCTTTCAGGAACAGTCGAGGCAAACGAACGGGCACAGTGGTGCCAGCGTGATAGATAAAAAGGTGCGGGTCATCTTGGTCTGCACTCGTAGTCTTCGTTCTTCTGTAACCGCTCACACGAATACTATGTCTTCAGCCACCGAATGGAGGTTGGTGTAAGTGTCTATCGCACCTCTCATTGTCACGTCCGTATTGACCTTGTACCACAGTCCTCCCGAATCCGTGTGTCGCCTTTTCGCACCGGACAATATGGACCATTCCGCTAAGCGCTTGGAGACGCTGGATACGGTCATAGAGCAGCTGGAAGAGTCTCTACCTTCTGCTCTTGCCCGGCTCAAGCGTGTCAGGAACAGTACATCGTTTTTGTACCGCTTTCCCCCCGAGATTATTTGCCACATCATCTCACTCGCTAAAGGCGACTGCGGATGGCCCACGCTCAACGCCGTGACTCGTGCCTCTTCTTCAGACGATGCCAAGGAGGCGTCGCGACGTACCAAGTACAGTGAAAGATTAGGCTGGCTTGTATTCACACACTTCTGTTCCTTTTGGAGAGAGGTATGATTGGTGTTCAACTTCACGACCTACATTGAGCTAACGCGTCGCCTGGTTGCTATCAGGTCGCTTTGGGTACACCTAATCTTTGGACGGATCCGCGCGATTACTTCGCACTCCCCTCTGTTCTGTCGCACTTAATCCGAGAGAGGGCTCGGGGTCTTCCGTTTCACTTAGAGCTGTCAGCGTTCAGCTTTCGCCGTCTCAGGAGCATGGGCTGTAGGGTCCTGCTGCCCGCGCGGCACGTTCACATCGCGGGTTTACACCTGCTGTCATTTTCTGCTGGGAACTTCTGCTTCTTTGATCACCGCTACTTCCGTTTTGCCTCCTTCATGCATCTCCGCGAGTTGACCGTCAACGTATTACTCGGGGACTCGGAAAGCCCCGTAATCCTTCCCGCCGCGTTGTCATCGAGCTCGCTCATGACGAAGGTCGAACTCTACAATTGCTTTCCACAGCATTGGGATGCTCCGATGTTTGGACCGCGTCTCAAGCGCCTCTCAATGTCATATGTTGGCGATTTCGACGTTCCCCATCTTATGCCCACGACACTGGAGTTCTCCCGAATCCTTACTTCTACTCCTGCGCTTCAGTCTCTGGTCCTTGATAACATACACCTCCAAAGTTCTGCCGTGCCTTATCCGGCAATGGAACTATCGCCAGAGTTGTCCTCGATTGACATCTTCAGCTGGCGCGACCACACACAGCACCGTGCCTGCTTGGCCTTTCTCGAGAATCTCGTCTTCCAGCGCCGTGGTATACAAATGGAGATTTCTCTTGGGAACCCGGACGGTGCTTCGGGCGACGATAGCGCAGACGACGCCAACTCCGCGAAGGATATTCTGTCCCTCATACGCTCAGCTCTCCAGAACATCTACCGGCAACAAGCCGACCCGCCGAAGCACATTGTGCTTGGCCACAAGGCGTTCCTTACCCACGATTCCGAGACCTCGCGGTCGAAGAGACGCGCTTGGCCGATCTCCGTGATGCAGTACATGTTCACGGATATCCCTGGAGTAACTTCTATCTTAAACTTCGACTTCGACATCTCGAACATCAGCGATACGACGTCTTTGTACGAGGGTTCCGTGCCCATTCCCCTCCGCGATCTCCGCTCCGTGTCACTCAATTGCTCAGGAGGATGGGCCTACCTCGAGAGCGAAATATGGTGGAGAGCGATGAAGGAAGCCGTGGACGTGCGTCGTATCGCTGTATATTTCAGTGATTGCGCGAAGTTGCTGCCTCTTGCTGAGACCGAGGTGAATGGCGGCGCGTCTGTTTTCGCGGCCTTTCCTCACCTCAAGATCATACATGTTCATCTCGAGGAGGTTTTCATTGCCGACGACAGTGCTCAGTTGGACGAAGCGGGGGCAGTGTGCACGGAGCTCCTCACAGCACTTCAGTTCATTGCCCGCGTTAGGAGGGAGCACGGCGAAAAGTCGCGTTTGGAATCGCTGGTGGTCGACAGCGTATTGAGTGGGTGGGAGATATGGAAGACCATTGCGGAGGATGTCCCTGTTAGCTTTTGCGACTTTCACTCACATCACCGCGATGCAGCTTAGCCTTGAATAACGCGCGCCGTCTTGTAGACTCATTCCCTTTTGTCCCGATCTGTTCGATTCATACCCCCGTATCCGCAATATATTTAGGATTTCATTGTTAGCCTGAGATTAACGTTATGCCCCTTATTGAATGTATGGCTGCCGATCGTTCAATCTGCCGATAGCAAGACCCTATTGTCACCTTTGTAGATAGCGGCAAAGTGATCGGCCTCCGTTCGCCGTTGACGTAGGCGCACCCGGATGAGGGGTAAAATCGAACGAACGGGTGAATTGTTTAATGTAGAGGGCGTATGTACATGTCGGTGGCACAGGGGCACCACGAAGAAAGAGGATAATGCACGGTCGTAGAGTCGTTCACAGCATAGCACGGGAGGAGCTTTGCGTAACCCTGCACACCAGTCAGCGCAAGAAGAAGTTGCAAGAATGGCATAAGCGCTCACTTGAGACGGACCTTATACCCTCTGGCCCTAGTATCGACCGCAAGCCAGAGTCCTGGCTTGCATGACCTCGACGACCCAGTCAACGGCCTAGTCAACATGGGCGCCTGCTGCCTCACACGATCCCGCGTGGCCTGCGTGCAGCACCAACTTTCTGCGCCATTGCACAACAGCAGGAGAACAGCAGGAGACACTAAGAAAGTTTAAGGGCCTTGGCGAGTCTTTGACGATGACGATCAACGCACCCTGGATGCCTTGCGTGATATCTTGACTGCCCTGTGGACCAGCCGGGGCGAAGTGTGCCGCAGCAGGAGCGGGATCAGGCTCACTAAACGAACAATCGACGGAAGCGGCGGCTTCAGTGGCGAAGTAATCGTTCATAGTGAATTTGCGCGGCGTGATGGAGATGGACGGAGCGGAGCATCGTCGTGGCGCGCTTCTGAACCCAGGCGACCAGCGACCACATCTGTAGGCGCTCGGACCACTCCGTGCCCACGCTGGAGATGCACCGGTGACATCCGTACGCAGGTCACGGCGAGATACGCGGCCTTGCTCAGTCGGCGTGCGCTGAAATCTGCTATGGATGCTGGACATGACGAACCTGAGAGGTGCGGATGGCAGCGATCAATTGACCGACTCGAATTCATATGCTTGCTGGTGGAAAGCGAGACGAGGACCGCATTGGCCTGATATATTCACTCTGTTTCCACTGATTTCATTCAAGTTCCTGAGTCAATGACAGCCGTTGATAGCCACTGACGATCGTCGCTGGCACCCGTGACGGCCATTGACGGTCGTGGACAGTCATGGACAGTCAGTGACAGTCAGTGACAGTCAGTGACAGTCAGTGACAACCTTGATCGTCACTGCCGACTTCCTTCTTTACTGAATGAATGGTTGTCATTGGCAGCCAGTGGCAGCTCTATATCGTCACTAGCGATTTCACTCTCTGTCACCTCTATCTACTGACCGCCTCACCGCGCCACGACATTCCCGGTCCGCATGCGGAAAGTGTATGTTGACTTGTATCGAGCGAAAGGAGGGAGGAGGGCTTGCCAGCTCCTGGCTTTCCTAGCGTGACGTGCAGTCTACGGTTCCCACAACGAGCTCAATTGGGAGAGTCGACCAGAACAGAATAACGAGAACCTCTAGAACTGCAATCTAGCTCGGCGCTGCAACCGTAACGAGCTGTACTCAATCGTGGGTGGTGGCACCGGAGTGGCAAACTGAGTAGAGCCCGATTTCCCCACCCCACCTCATTTTAGGCATTGCGGACATTCGCCTGTTCTCGCATCTACTCAGTCGGGTCTAAGTGCACGAGTGCCGGAGAGAGAGATACAGGCGGCGCCGGATGAACTGGACATCGGATCACGGCGCGGAACGGCAAACTCCGGTGACCCAGTGCCTGGCAGGATCTCGAGGCTGGGAAACCGCTGAACTACAGGCGACTCAACGCGTTGCACTGCGTGTCTTACGTTGATGAAACGACGCACGGTTTCTTGAGGCTTTGGGTGGGGGCGAGAGATGGGAGATGGGACGTGTCTCGACCAAACACGACTCGCGCGGGTCGAGCTGCCGGATGGGCCTCAGCCTCCCGCGCGCTCCCGCCCCGCACAGACGATAAGTGAAGAAATTGCTTTGTTTCTCGGAGGGAAAAAGATTGAATTTTACCCTGGGAAAGAGCGGGAAAAAGTGTTTCGCGAAAGGGAACCAAGCGGTGTAGGATATTTCCACCGTATTACCCATCGACATGACAACCCTTTCTCCGCTTCCTTTTTCCCGGTCCAGNCGGCATCCTTTGTCCCACTACCATAGGCTACCCCACAGCATACATTTGACAATCGCGTCTCGCCCGTCACAGGGCCTTCTCTTGGCCAACATTTTTCCCTAGGAAATAGTGTGTGACGGTGTGTCACGGTCACGCAAATATCTCCCGTGCCTTTCTCCCGGGAAATACGAGGGTTGATTGACACATCTCACCCTCCGTATTTCCTCGGTTTCTCCCGGTCAAATACCCCCTCATGCTAGCAGTGCTAGCGGTACTTTCAGCGCCAAAGCGTAACAATGTACGAATGTTCGTGGGAGTAGAGGACAAAAGACAAGGCAACGCGGTCGGGAGGAACCACGTCGCGTGTCGTTACCTTCTCGCGCCTCGTGTATTGAATGACGGGCCTATTATAACGAGAACGCCCATCAGAGTGGTCAGTTCGACCTCGACCACCTCTCCCGCCGTTGCCGCCCTCCATGAGCAGCGTTGGCTTCCGCCCACCGCCCAGAAGAACCCCAACCAAATTCTCGCGGAGGACTGTACGTGTGCCAACCCCATATAGACCGGCCGATGAAGCTGACTCCCGGCGCAGAAGACCATGTCCGACTTTTACCTGACCCACTGCCAACTCTGCAACACCGCCTGCACAGGCGTCGCCGGCCTGGCCAACCACTACCGTAGCTCACCAAGGCATCCCACCTGCCCAAGGTGCGGGACAGGCTTCTTCGATAGAAGCGACCTTGAGACTGTACGAAACTCCTTCCTCATGCGGTCAGTGTCACGAGTCTAATTGAACCGTGGGGGGTATAGCACGCTGCCGAGAAACACCCACGTACGACGTGTTGCGGTCTCTCCATTGCCATCGAGGACCTCGAAGAGCACTATTTTAACTCGATGAACCATATGCACTGCGACTCGTGCGAGATCGGGTTCAAGGAAGAGAATGATTTGCGCGAGGTACGCGTCGGCTTGCGCGACGGTCGGGTCTCAAATATTCACGCACTTTTCATTCCAGCACAATCGTATACAACATTCACGACACACTTGCACCGTCTGCGACAAGGACTTTTCTTCCGCAGATGAACTCAAGGCGCACAGGAAGACCCGCGGCGTTCACGTACTGTGCGAATTCTGTAACGGAGCGTTCAAGAACACCGGTGCTATGATCGATGTAGGTCCCGGACCTCTTTCATTAATATGTGTCACTTATACTATTGTAGCACTACGCGAACACACATCTCGCCGCCGCGCTCAACGACGAGCACTCTGAGGAGGAAGCGGCGTCAATTGTTGCCCTTTCTCCCATACGGCCTACTGCGGCCACATCTACGCCCGAGCGCTTCTTGTCCATGCCAACAGCGCGGGCACCGCTCTCCGTGCCTTCAGACAGCGACAGCAGTGATCTCTCGCTTCCGCCGTCTCCAGCTGTTGTGTCTGATCTCTCGTTTCTGTCCATGTCCGGATCTCCGGCCCAACTACCGGCCGTTGTTGCTCAACTTGTCGCCAACAACCCTGCTGCCCAGGGCGAGCTTGGCCTCGTGCCGAGTATCACGAACTCTCCACTCCTTTTCTTGAGGAGCACTCCGCCTCAGTCTGGCGCACGACGTGCACCGACGCCCGCGGAAACTCCGAGCGGCGACCTCAGTGATGTCCGCAACCTCGCAGGGACGCCGATGCGCGCTGCACGGATCAGCCCTTTGCTTCGCCCGCAGGCACATGTGCATGAAGTTTTGTCAGAATCTGAGGAGGAACACGAGCAGGACGACCGCTTCCACTTTGTCGACGACGAGGATACCACGGAGGATGAGACACAGGAGCTATCCATGCCGGACAGGCGGGATTCCTTCTTCGAGGCAGAGACACCGACCTCAGAAGCTCCTCGTCGGATCTCATTCCTCGATGTTGGAGGGCAGACGCCCGTCGCCTATCTCCCTGGCTCGATGTCTTTCTTCGATGCATCCACACCCATGGCAGCATCGACGCCTACTCTGGAACGCGGCCCCATATTGGAAGAGGATTCTGAGGCCGAGCGACCATCTCCCTCTCGTACACTGGCGATCAATGTTGCGGCGGCCCGTGCTCAAGCTGCTGCAAACCCGCATACCATCATTGTCGAGACCGACAGTGAGGCAGAGCCGGGCACGCCGACCCCGAGCCCACGCCCTCTTCCTGGTGCTTCGGCGTCCGAATCACGCCCCATGATGGCGGCTTCCCGCACTATGACACCACCCACTGCTTCACTGTTGGTCACTCCGCCTCGTTCGGGAGAGACGACACCGCCTACCGCAACTTGGCGCGCGGACACGCCGCCCACTGCGACCTTCGGTAGCGCCGTCTGGGCAGGTCAAGTGTCATCGTCCTTGGCATTGCCACCTTCGACTCCTCCTAAGAGTGACCCTCGTGAGGAAGACGGCCCACCCGCTTCGCGGATGTCTGTACAGAGTCCTCGTCCGGCTGGTCATCCAAGCCCACCCTTGATCATCCCTCTTCCACCGTCTGCACCTGCTACGCCGCCCATCGCCCGTCCGACTGCACCCACGCCTGCGCTTACTACACCAGTGGCTACTGAGTCTGAGGCACCATCTGCGGCCCATGTACCGACGCATGTACCGGCACCTGCTCCCATTTTGCGGTCTCACTCGCATGCTCACGCGCATGTACCTCATCGTCCGGGTCCGCCGCCCGCATATGCGATTCCACTCCCGCCCTCAGAACCCTCAACGCCACCGGTGTCCCACGCACCATACAACACACAGTATCATCCGTCCATTTCTAGGGGTCATCCTATCGCTTCGTCGCCTCCTGGGCCCCACGCACCGATTCCTCGCCAAGGCGTGCCTCACGCGCACTCGTTCAACGGCCCTATTCGATCGCACGCTGCTTCGCCCCCGTCTCGCTTCATGGCTCCGACCCCGCCTCGCTCGCATCCCTCCACGCCGCCGCACTCGTTCGCCACTATCCACCATCATCATCGCCACGCTCCGCCACCTGCTATCACAGTCCCGCTACCACCATCTGCTCCGGTGTCACCACCTCTGTCTTCGCCTCGCCCGACTGCCACACAAGGGTCAACTCCGCCTTCGAGCCCTCGCCCCCGTGCTGCTCAGGTCAACATGCCCATCAACGCACCGCGTCGCGTCTCGACGCCGAACTCCCATGCACGCGTCGCGTCGCCCCTCGCTTCACCGCCCATCAGTGCGTCGGGTAGCCCCACACACAGACACGCGAACGTCACGCCGCCGAGTTCCGTCCGTGCGCGATCAGCATCAGTAGCGTCCTCCCGCGTACGCTCGTCCTCGTTGTCAACACGCCCAGCCATCGCTGCGGCGGAGTCTGACGCGGACGATGAACAGGAGGTGGAGATCAAGATGGAGCATAAACGGAGCCCGTTTTTTTGTCGCTCGAAGACATGCACGGCGGATCCTTGCGTCGCTCCCACCGTGACCGCGTGCGGCCATATCTTCTGTCACTCGTGCATCGACCGCGAAGTACGGGCTACCGCGCATTGCCCTCAGTGCGGCGCCGCGCAGTTGCTCTTCGCCTTGCTCAGGCTCGACCTCAGTGATGCATAGTCGGCGGACATCGCCCGCGACGACCTCGACCTTTCGGCTACCCGTCTTGTCCCCTCCCGTTCCATCTCCTGCTTGACTCGTCTGTGTTGTAACCTTATCGTTTGGATCACCATGCTGTCCGGCGCCTAACGACGCTCATGATTACGACCACACCTCCATCTCGTTTTTGTGTACCATATACCCTCTCGACTCGCTCAATCATTTACGACCCATTCCGTCCATCCTATAGACTCGGCACACATCCATTCTTTCCACCCTCTGAATCTCGCCATCTTGACTTGCGAGGTTTACTTCATGTTTATCTCATGCCAGTTCTCTTCGTTTGACCACATCCACTCTCTTTCTGTTCCGTGTTTCACCGGGTCTGCATACATAGTCGCTGCTAATCCACGGTGTTTATATGTCGCATCTGCTTGATGAGCACAGGCCGAAGATATGTTGCATGGTGAAAATCCCTAGGAAAAGACATCGCCAGCCACCCCGGCAAACTCTACAACTTTGCGGTCTGTCCTCCCCTTTATGGGATGGGCACTTCACCTTGGCTATATGTGTTGCTGTCGGATGAGGGCAGTCTCAGCACATTGTACGCGTGCACGGATGTGCGCTCAAAGCTTAACTTACATACGTCTCGAAGACGTTCCACAAGCGCGCCTGTGGCACCAGCTTAGACGTCCCGGTGTCCGATGCCTGGATCTCCCGACGCCTTGGGCGACGCGCTCACCTAGATCTGACCAACCTCTGACCGCCACCGCCCGGGTACAGTTTACATTGAAACAGGCTGCTTGATCACGCATACGAAGTCTATGGACTGCTCGCACTGGTGTGATAAGCTATTGCGACGGCATACTTGGGTATCGAGTATCGGTCGTTCTGACCCGTCGGCTTGTCATCCAGAAGGCCGCGCGTTCAACTGTCTGGTACTGATCATCATCCGGTCAACGAGCTGATGCTGTCATTTTACATCGGTCTACTCGACGTCCGCAAGTAGTGCATGGCCACGTCATCTACATTGGAATACGACGGGATTTTTACCGTCTGTATCCTGCCTTAAAGCTGAGGGCCCAGAATGAATTGCGCGGCTTTCCCGCCTTGCGATGGATCACCCGTGCAGAATGTCCCTGCCTTCGCATGAGATCATCACCGGAGCGGTCGTTCTCATTCAATCGGCGTCGCACCGGGCAGTCTATGGCTCACTCCGAGTGCCGATGGCAAGTTTGAATACGCCAGCAGGGTTTGAGTCGTGATGTGGGCTTCGGGAGTCAACTAGGCGGTATAAAAGCCAGACAGGTTTACTAGTGAGCTGAACCCACTCCTACCCTCTATTGAACGTTAAACGGTAGCTAGGCGTCATGGCTGCTCAACATACTGCCCTCATCATTCCTGCTGCAACGGCCGCATTCCAAGTCGTGAAGCGCGTCACCCCCAAGGTCCTTCCCGGTCAAGTCCTCGTACGCAACAAGGCCATAGCCCTCAATCCCGTGGACTATGTAATCGCTGGACCTTTCGGTAGTCGCCTCTGGAAGTCTTTCCCAGCTGTAGTAGGCAGTGATGGCGCAGGCGAGATCGCTCAGCTCGGCGAAGGCGTCACTGGGTGGAAGGTCGGCGACAAGGTGTTCTACCAGTCACGATTCGAATCGGACCGCGGGACTTTCCAGGAGCTGACGATCGCGGATGCTGCTCGTATCGCCCGGGTTCCAGACAAGTACTCGTACGAGGAGGTCGTTACGCTTCCTCTCGCGCTCGCCACAGCTGCTATTGGCGCGTACAAACCCCGGCTCTCTGAACTGCGAGCGGACAAGCATGACGTTGGCGGCGCCGGACTGATCCCGCCCTGGGAGGCTGAGGGGCGCGGCAAGTATGCTGGACAGGCTGCTGTCATCGTGAGCGGCTCTAGCTCGGTCGGTCAATTTGGTGCGTGCGCATAGTCGTCCCATCTGTCTCAGAGGAATGACATCTCTACAGCGACACAGCTTGCCAAGTTATCCGGCTTCAGCACCATCATCACAACGGCCTCGAAGCACAACGAAGATTACTGCAAGAGCGCCGGTGCAACGCACGTCATCGACTACCACGATGTCCCGTATCCAGAGCTGCCGGCGGCTGTGAAGAAGATCGTAGGAGACACTCCACTCACCTACGTTTACGACGCAGCCTCGATCCCGGAGTCGCAGAAAGCTGGTTGGGACATGCTCTCGCCAGGCGGTGCCATTGTGGTAGTGAAGCCGCCGTCGCAGGAGATTGGAACAATAGGTCAGGACGATGAGAAGGGAAGGCGCGCTGTGTGGGTGTACGGCGGCGCAAACGAGCAGGATCATGGGGACTTCGGCGCAGGCTTGTACGCGGCTCTGACGGAGATGCTCGACAAGGGAGAACTCAAGGTATGTGCACTTTTACGTCTACAGTAACTTGAAGGCTGATTATCGTCTCAGCCAAACAAGATAGAGGTTATTGGTCACGGCCTTGAGGTCATCCCGGACGGCCTTGCCAGGCTTCAGAAGGGGGTAAGCGGAGTTAAGCTTGTGGCGACGGTATGATCTATCTTCGACGTGATACATATGGTGAACATAGATGTACCATTATCTGTACGATATGGATGCTTGTGCTCTAGCAAAGAAGCAGAAAATTGTGCCGAACGTGACAACCCTAACCCAACTGCGATGATCGTTCTCAGGCTTGGTTTCAACTTGTCTCCCGCAGTCAAGTCCATCCGCTCAGTATCGTGACCACCCTATGGGAGCAATCACACGCCGAGCGTGACCCATACATACGGATGAACCAACGAACTGACTCTGTCTGGACGCATGAGTGGTCAGGCTCGCAACGGATAGTCTTCGGGTAGCCATGCGTAGGTGCCCGCTTCGCGTGACGACAGACATCTTCCGAGGTACTTATCCGTACCGACGGTCCGCTGAGCGCCGTCAACGTCTCGTTGAGCTTTCGGTTGTATAAAGGGTTTGTGCATGGCTACTGACGCTAGCCCTCTGCGAGGTCATTATGCTTGGTGTGGGAGTTTTCAAGCTTTCCCTTGCGCTCGCTGTGTTGTACTCTGCCTACGCGGCTCCCGGCCTCGATACTCGATCCGGCGACTGCACTGGCACCATCTCATCTCTTTCAGACGTATCAGCTGCTGTGAAGTGCACGACCATCAATGTCAATGGCTTCACTGTTCCGGCAGGATCATCATTCGCTCTGAACCTGCTTTCTGGCACTACTGTGAACATCCGTGAGCAGGCCTCCACCCGACGAGCTGTCAACTAGCTGGGGTGTTGATCTGACGCGCGGCCAGTGGGAGACATTACCTTCGGAGAGAAGTCTTGGGCCGGGCCGCTGTTCTCCGCTAGGCAAGGCGGGCTCCGTACCCTCCAAGTGTTGACTGACGTTGACGGATGCTTTCAGTGGGTCCGACATCACTTGTACGCATCCTTCTGGGTGCAAGAAGAGGTATAACTGAGCCAAACGGCATGGTAGTCAATGGAAACGGACACACTTGGAACGGCAACGGCGCGTTCTACTGGGTGGGTTGTCGCTTCGGGAACGTACTGTGCGACACGGTTGACCGAGATGCATCGCCCAGGACGGCCAGGGCTCTAATGGTGGCACCACAAAGCCGCGTCCAATGATGAAGTGAGCATATATACACGCACCACAGCTTCCCATTCTCATAGGCTATGCTCGCAGAGTCAAGATATCTGGGACGTTCTCGGTGAGTGATATCGGTTCTCCCATCCACAGTATCCACTGATCGCTCTTTCAGAACGTGAAGGTCCTGAACTCGCCCGCTCAAGTCTACTCCATCGACAACGCCGCGCAGCTTACCCTGTCTGGCCTTACCATTGACAACACGGCTGGCGACGCTGTCGATGCCAGCACCGGAAAGACCGTAGCGAAGAACACGGACGGATTTGATGTGGGAAACCAGGCGCCGTTGACGATCATGAATAGGTTCGGCGCCTACAGCGCTCGAGAGAAACACGCACTGACCGTCCTCGTAGCGTTGTCAAGAACCAGGACGACTGCATAGGTCAGTAAGGATTGACATCCGGATCGGACATGCACTGACTTGTGTCACGAAGCGATCAACTCCGGCTCGAACATACTCTTCCAGAACAACACCTGCAGCGGTGGACACGGGATATCAATCGTGAGTCTACGGTGGTATGAGGCGGGACCGAACTTTGAGAGCATGAATACAGGGCTCAATTGGTAGCGACGACACGGTCTCGAACATCACAGTGACCAACAATATCATCGACAACAGGCAAGACATCCCCGATTCATCTATTGCAGTCCGGTATAACTGACTGGCTTTTACTAGTGCGCAAGCTCTACGCATCAAGACAGAAGCCACTGCAACCGGCTCAAGCGTTTCTGGCGTCACCTACACGGGTAACACCGGTACCGGTATGACCAGCTACGGAGTGATCATCGATCAGGTATGCACATCTGCTTCTGCAATTCTCCTCGTGCATCTAATACTGGTGAGGGCAGAGCTATCCGGCCACCCTGGGCACGCCGGGCTCAGGAGTAACCATCTCTGTGAGTTCGGCTAATGCATTTTTAGAGCCGAGTTGGTACTGAGCGTCTTACAGGGAGTCAACTTCAAAGGCACGAACACGTTCACGGTAAATAGTGGGGTAACTCGCGCTGCCGTGAACTGCGGCACAGATTCATGCGGAGGTAGGTATTTCGGGTACTTATGAAGTCTATGCTGACCTTGAACAGGAACTTGGGATTGGTCTGCGCTCAAAATCACGGGAGGCAAGACGAGCAGCATCAACTACAGCGGGATCACGGGGTATACGCTGTAGACGTGTGGCGAGGTCCGGTAGTTTGTACTCCAGGGTAGAGAGTAAGATTGTCGTTCACCCATTCGCGAACGATGAAAGGATATTATGAGAGCACAATATACAGACAAGATTGGCGCATCACAGAATACAAAGATAGCGATGTTTAGGCCGAGGTACCCGATGCGCCTACTTCTGCTCTGGCGTGAGCCAGTGCTTGTACGCCGAACGCCAACCATCATTGCCGCGCGTCTCAACAACGTCCTGTGTGAAGAGTAAGCTTACAGTTACTTGACATTGAGATTGTAAACGCACGCCGTGACAAGGGATGATCCTGTCAAAGTCCCACTCCGCGACAGTCTTCGCATCCCTCCTCATTGCTTCCGGGTCCTTCTTCCCCAGCTGCTTTGCCATAGTCTGCGCGGTGCTTGACCAGGGGTCCGATCCACCGAACAATCCGAGGAAAGCCTTTCCCCTGTTCCAGGGCCAGCCGTACATTGAGTACTGCTCTTTACAGGGAGAGTTGAAAAGGAGGTCCGCTTGAATGAGCGTGCGCGAGGGCTTGTGAAGGAAGGCGACGTCCTTGTTGATGAAGCCGGAGAAGTAGCAAGACTTGATGTCGTCTTCGAAGCCAAACGTTTGGTCGGGGTTGGCGTCGCTCCAATCTGAAGAAAAAAATAGGTCAGCATATGGACGGTACATAATTTGGAAGAGAGCATACAGCCATCCACGCGAATATTCAATTCTTTCGCCTTCTTCGCGACCTCCTCAACTGTCAGGAGCTTTGCCTCGGGATACGCCTTCTGGAACTCGCCTAGGGCATGATTAGCGTTTAGTAGTTGAAGTCTAAGCAATTCACACACCGAGGAACATGTAGTGCACGGCGTCCGCTCCGATGAGATATTGAACAGGCCCAAGTTCATCTATCACCTTGCGCGTAGGCTCGTCAAGAGTTGTACTGGCAAGAACCCAAACACCGCCGTTGGATAACTTGATTGCGGTACTGCGTCCGCCAATATACATGAAGCCCAGACGGGTGAAGGGACTATACCAAAATCAACTGAATGCTCATATTGATCATGACTACTGAACATACCGAGAGAACGTCCATACACCGCCGGTAACCTAGTAACCGGGTATGAGCATGTGCTACGAGTTTGTCGAAATCTGACGAACCTCGCGAATGACAGTCTTGATATTGGACATGGTGGTGGTTCAGGGAGGAAAGAGGTGAGGGAAACGGCCGCGAGTGGCGTGTTTTGAACTCGAGAGCCGGCCCCTAGCAGTAAGAAGCCATGACGCCCTCCTATCGGGCCGGAGCGTGCACCGATCCACCCACCGTGCATGCGCACACCCAGCATCCGAATCGGACGACCTGTACCGCTCAATCTGCGTCGGGAATTGGGTAAGAATATTCGGGCATGGCTCGGGCCATGGTGGTTGAGCTGTAAGCTGAGGTGCGGATCGGGGTTTACGCACGTGAGCGCGTCGGAACCGCGAAGCAATTGATGCGCGCCTACGGACCGGACACGAGGCTCGCAATGTTGCCGCGAACCACCAGTGTGCCTTAACGTCGACCTGTCGAACTTTATCCATCCGGCTTACGTGCTCAGATTGTTGCTTTCTATAGCTCACTGGTCACTTTGGGTTGACTTTGGTTCTTGACTTGATTCTGACGACGACTTCTTAGGGGGAGGGGAGGTAAACGCTAAATATGAGGTTCTCAAGACCAGCATGGGTCATGCACAAGGGTGCGTACTATAATGTATGTCTAAACATACGTGACTGACTTTCCCACAGATGCCGGCAGTAAAGATACAGAAAATCCGAAACGCTTGTCTATATTCTCCGTCCACGTACACCCAGATGGCTCGCGTATTGCCACAGGAGGTCTTGACGCCAAAATCCGCATCTGGTCTACGAAACCTATCCTCAACCCCGCGTCTGATGCGTCAAATAAGCCGCCAAAGTCGTTGAGTACTCTGACTATGCATACTGGACCGGTACTATGTGTGCGTTGGGCGCACAATGGACGCTGGCTTGCGAGTGGAAGTGACGACGAGATTGTCATGGTTTGGGATCTGGATCCGTATGTCCTGCCTCTCTTGCACGCGAACTCATAGCTGACTGTGTTCGCAGACATGCGCGAGGAAAGGTGTGGGGCTCGGACGAGGTCAACGTCGAAGGTTGGAAGCCCTTAAAGCGGCTTCCTGGGCACGAGAGTGGTATGTCAATTGCCTATTCTGCCACTCGCTCGACTGAATAGTGTGCAGATGTTACGGACGTCGCATGGTCCCCGGAAGATCGATATCTGGCTTCGGTTGGTCTTGACTCTGCGGTCATGATCTGGGATGGCTTCACACTAGGTATACAAACAGTCCACACATCATGACCACGCCTAACTCATCTCTAGAACGCGTGCGCAAGCTTGACCAACACCAAGGCTTTGTCAAAGGAGTATGCTGGGATCCTGTTGGCGAGTATCTGGCTACGCAGTCTGACGACCGCACAGTCAAGATCTGGCGGACGACGGACTGGCAGCTCGAAGCCGAAGTAAGAAAGCCATTTGAAGATTCGCCCGGTAGCACTTTCTTCCGCCGGTTAAGGTATGCCATTCTGACCCCATTCTCGGCACTGAGATGTTGACATGGTGCTGGCCAGTTGGTCTCCAGATGGTGCACACATCACCGCCTCGAACGCCACAAATAACAACGGCTTCGTCTTCATTGCCGCCGTCATTGCGCGGAACAGCTGGACGTCAGAGATCAGTCTTGTCGGCCACGAGAACACAGTGGAGGTTGCTGTAAGCATTTCCACGCTCACATCGCCTTCACTGCCTAAAACAGACGCACAGGCGTACAACCCGCACATATTCCTACGTAACCCGGCACAGCCTCTGCAGACGTCAAACATCTGCTCTGTCGTGGCGCTCGGTGCCGACGACTGCTCAGTCTCGATCTGGCAAACGAAGAGCGCCCGGCCGCTCGTCGTGGCTAAACGCGTCTTCGAGCGCCAAATCCTTGATCTTGCGTGGTGAGCTCAATACATACCCACGCCGCCCATAACCGCTCAAAAATTTTCCGTTGCCTTCAGGTCGAATGATGGTCTGGTTCTATACGCCGTGTCGTCAGATGGGACGCTTGCTGCTTTTGCTTTCGACGCTCACGAACTCGAGGGTCTCGCCCCGATCGAAGCTCAAAAGCAGTACCTCACCAAGTTTGGCTTCGAGCTACCCGACCTACCTGCCGGTTACAGCCATACACAAACGCCACCACCGAGTAATTCCGCAACACCTGTGCCCACCGTCAACGCGAACGGCGGCGAGGTCGTCAACACTCTCGTAGCTAAGCGTAACGTGAAGAAGCGTGTATCACTTGCTCGACCCGGTGACAGATTCGCCGACGTGCCTAGTGCTGCCTTTCCCAAAAACCATCAGACAGAACCGCCCGTCAACGACTCGCCTTTCAACGCGCCATTCTCGGACCGGGACGCGGACATCGATATGTTCCCGCCCACGTTCAACGACCGTCGCAAGTCCGGCGCCGTGGCAGGGCCCAGCAAGGCCGCAAGCACCCCTGTCAAAGTGGAGATCTTCCCCGTCAAAGGCCGTACACTTGGTGGTGAACGCCCTATACCCTCTGAACCGGACAGGCTTCGCACTGTTCACCCTCCAAACAAACCCTTGCACCCCCCAAGTGGCGTGAATGTGATTACATTCGACATTCCTGGCGCGCTCAACTTCATCTCTCACACCGTGGCCGAACCCGGCGCCACGCTTGACAATGCTGTCCTCGAGGCGCATAACAGTGAGACTGGGGGCATCAATGAAGTCATCTACCTTGTAGATAAGAAGATACAGTGGTTGGATTATCTGGCCACACCCATCATCTTGCTCACAGCGAGCCCGTCCTTCTGCTGTGCTGCGACCATCGACGCGAGGATCCACGTGTACTCGCCGGCCGGACGCAAACTGATACCTACCCTCACGCTCGACTCTCCCGCCGCATTCCTCTGCACGGCCAAATCGGCACTCGTCATTCTAACCTCGGCTGGCACACTACACTCAATCGATACCGAGACCGGCGAGGCGAACTTCACGCCCGTATCCGTCAACCCTCTTCTATCCAAAGATATTTCCCTCCTTTCCCTGGGCTCACGAGCGAACGGTTCTCCCGTCCTCGTAACCTCGCAAGGTGTGGCACACGCCTACGATCCAAAGCTCAAGTCATTCGTCATCGTCTCGGAAACATGGTTCGCCAAAGGCTCAGACGTCTGGATCGGCCCTACGAAGCCTTCTATGGCGCCGGGTACAGCCCTTGCGGCCATTGAAGCGACGCTGGCCAATGGTATGAAGAAGAATGAGCGCGGTAGAGAGAAGCATACGGAATGGTGGGACACTGTGGTGACGCTACGTCATCTCGAGGCGCGGATACATGCGGCTACGGTGATCGACAGCGGCAAGGAGTTAAGGACCGCGTTGCAGCAATACGCGAAGTTGGTCGCGGAGCAAGGGTTCGCGGCGAAAGCCGAGGAAGTCGTCAACGAGCTTTTCGGACCCATTTATCGGTACGTATACAGTCGTATGTCGCGTTCACTGGCACAGGATGCTGATACGGAGTTCAGGCAACAAGGCGTGAAGAGCAACTTTAAACCGGTGATCGCCCTCCAAAGGAGGCGCGATATGTTGAAGGAAGTCATTCAGATATTTGCGCAGAGCCCGGTGCTACAAGACAAGGTCAAAGAGTGGAAAGAACTATTCAAGAAGACCGCAAGCCCGGGCGACGATGTCGATTTTGATTAGGTGCGGTTGCTTGCTTGGTTGCTACTGTATGATACGCTTCATCTTGTTGTTCATGCTTTGATTTTGTTGCTCTACGTAATGATACATGCTGTGGCGCTATTCGCGCCGTCGTCGCTACGCCATGTGTCCAGTCTGTCATCATGCACGAAGACGAGATGTGTTCAGCCTGCGACGGCACTCGTATGGTCGTGGAGATCGAGATTTGAGGGCCTAAGCCTTCGCACCCTCTACGTCTACGGAGCGTTGCCATTCAAAGACGCGTAGCTACTGGTTCGGGACCGAAATATGAGGCCACGCAGGCCGCTTCTACCACGAATCAGGGGAACACAAGCGCTTGATACATCGGCAATTGCCGGTGGTTATCACACGAGGCTCGCAAGTTGCGTCGGCATCTTGCACCATGACCACCACGAGCTGGATCGTTGCAACCTGCTCTGAAGCTCAAGCCGAATGACAAATATGATTCGCCCAGGACTCATAGTTTCTGACCTCACTGTTCTGAAGCTCCAAGGTGACGCAAAGATGGAGGGCGTCAGAGCATGAACCGAAGACTGAGTACCTCGGTGACAGCTCGGATGACAGGCAACCATACGTTGCCGCAGTCCCGATGAGTTGATGGTCTCTCATGAACCTCAACAACAGGAGTTCTCAGTGCTAAGGGCACGCGCATCCTGGCATCTATCACTGAGCTAGCTGCGAACGTCTATCGTCAACAACAGCCCAGCCTGCTGTCTCGAAGTTCGAACTCGTTCAACGGAAATACCTAGAAACCGAGGTGCGTTATCGCTGGATGTATGACGCATGACGCTAATAGAACAGTGCTCTAGGCTATACGCTGGGGAAGAAGCTGGCATTCGGCACCCGATTCCCACACGGCCTGCACAGAAGCTCGACTGCGTGTCATCAAGATTAAACCCGCGTAAACCGGATGACATCAAGTGGACATGCTGATGCGGCGATTCGTGGTGTATCGAGGATGAATAATAGCGCAAGGGCCGCGACACCCGTGAATGCAAAGGCGAAACTATCTCTGAACGTACCCGCGACGTGGTAATACGCGATGCCATCTTGGAGTCTCGACCTCATAAGGACCGGTCTTGTTGAGCGCATGTCGCAACGCACTCAACTGCGCATCTCCCGGCTGCTTCAGCATACAATCCACCACTGCTCACATCCTTGGCCGCCTACAACGTCTACTCCATCTCTCTGCCTTCTAAGATGGCCGCCAACTCACCTACCGTCGATGTTCCGGCGTTAGTCTTCCACATCGACCTTCTACTGCTCGCCGTTGCTGGCGTCTTTGTCTTATCCACCTTACCTCGACTCTACTTCGCAATACGCCACTCGTCATACCTGTCCACCGGATATTATCTGCGCGGTCCGGGCAATGTTCGCATTCCAAGCGTTGGACGCGACTACACGTTGCGTCGCGGCCATCCTCATTCCAACGAGTACGAAATGGAAGAACACGAAAGACTCGCTGGAGGCAGTTCACTCGACCCGTTTACTGCATATCTCATCGTCCCGCCTTCTGGTGGGACCGCGACCGGCAAGGCTAGCGTGCCTGCTCCCGTGCCTTCATGGACTACCTTCACTCATCCAGTTATCATCTCGGTCCTCAACCTCGAGGTTCTTCCTGGCCTTACGTTTTTGAGGAGCGTACTCGTTCTTTCGATATTCTCCGTGCTTGCATATGCCGGTCTCTACAAGAGTAACCCCTTTTCGGATCCGGTACGAGAGGGCTACATCACCATGGCCCTCTTTCCGCTGGTCGTAACCGTTGCGTGCAAGAACAATGTTCTCACCTGGTTAGCTGGCGTTGGATACGAGAAGGTACGTGGGCTTGCTACCTGCAATGATGGGGTCGCGCTCATCCACACTCAGCTCAACTGGCTCCACCGGGCCTTGGGTACGCTCCTTGTACTATGTGCAAACCTCCACGGTGTGGGCAAAATCTACAACTGGGCGAATCAAGACAAGTTCTACACCTACATTAAGCTGCGGCAGTTCCAGTACGGCTTAGTGGCGCTCGCGGGCATGGATTTGCTGTTTCTCGGCTCACGTCAGTTCGTGCGCTCACGGTCGTATACCCTATTCCTCCTGTCACATTTTGTGGGTTTCACTGCTGTCGCCGTGGGTATGACCAACCATTGGCCCATCACGATCCCCTACGTTGTCGCGGGTGTGGTCATGTATGGCGCCGATCGCGTTCTCCGCCTCGCTCGTACGCGCGCAACCACAGTGCACCTCACGGCCATGCAACATCTCAACAACGGTACGACGCACGTACACATGCCGCGCCTTACCCGGGGATACCGCTCCGGACAACACGTCCGCGTTCGCATCGTAGATGGCACCGGCGTCATCGCCTGGATCCGCGCTCTGGCGTTCTCCCGCCCGCGCCCTTTCACCCTCGCCTCGCGCCCGCTCGGCTCTGGTTGTCGCAAAAAACTTTTGGGCCCGGTGAGTCCTTGTCAACCGTGCGCAGCCTTCGGCACTCAGTGACCAGACGCGGTCAGCTGATCGCGACCGGGTCGCCAGCTGGTGGCCAGACGGTGGCCAGACGGTCACCAGAGTCTGTGCAAGCGGTGTTCACCAGCCCATNGTCACCCAGTGACCAGACGCTCGCCAGGCGCTCGCTAGGTGCTGGCAATGGCCGACACGGACTCACCGGGCCCAAAAGTTTTTGCGACAGTGCAGAGCTTTACATCAAGAAAGAAAGGGGATCGTTCACTACTAGCCTGTACAAAATGGCTAGTGGAGAGGTACTGCCGTCTTACAAGGGATTTGATAAAACGGGTTCGACTACGAGCCTCGAAGCTAGCACGCCGATGCGGGCAGTTCGTATGCTCGTAGAGGGACCCTACGGCGGGCCGTCCTACACTATCTTCGAGTCCTACTCTGGCGTCGTGCTTGTCGCAGGCGGATCTGGTATCTCCTTCGTACTCGGTGTACTCGACGACCTCTTGAAAGCACACGTAGCAGGTCGCTCTCGTGCATGCGTTATCGAGGTTGTATGGGCCGTCGCAGACCCCGCGGCGCTCACTGCCTTGTTACCCACGCTTCGCCGCCTCCTCCGCCCGCGTCCGTCGCCCCACAGTGCGCTCGCGATCCGCGTGGCGGTGCACTATACTCGGGCAGGCGGACGGGGACCCTTCCCCGACCGTGAGCGTGTGCCTACGGGCGTTCACCTCCATGCCGGCCGTCCGAACCTCCTCAATACGCTCGAGGCAACCATCGATCGCGTATTGGATGATCGCGCCGGCTATACACAGCTTGAAAGGAGTGGCATCGTTGCTGCTGCGTGTGGGCCTCAGGCGCTCGCCGCTCAGTTGGCGGGAGCAGTTGGTAGCCTTTCGTGGGAGCGCTGGCGCGATGTCGGAGGCGTTGAGGTTGTTAGCGAGGCGTTTGCGTTCTGAGTTCTGAGCTCTGCGATAGACATTGATTAGACAATACTTAGACAGCCCGAACTGCGCTCTGGCGATGTATATTATCTTGACACGAATGACGACACAAACTTCTGAACCTTCCTTCTTCTCGTAGATACAGGGAGAAGGTGCAGATGCTTCTCGCTCGACCAATGTTGCTGTGCAGTGGAGATGCGGACAGAGGCGGCCGACTCGAAGAATATGGAGCAGCCGGACATGATTGCGCAGCTGGACAAGCGGGACTCGTGTAGAGAATACAGATTCTTGTACGCTCTGCGCAGCAAAACCACTGGTGAAATCGACCTGCAGGCCGTCATCTCGCTCTGCACAGCCCGAGGAGAAGACTAGCACGTCGTCGATATGCAACGGCATCCATTATCCGATGGAGATCAATGAGCGTCAGACAAAACCATTCAACCTGCCGAACGAAGGGCTTCGTCCGAACACCGAGTTCTTCGGGGCAATATATGCGTTTCGACTGGTGCTCCCGTATCCGGCTTACGAGTATGCATACTCAGCGTCATGGCGTCATGATCTGCACGTTCGATACAGAGTAATGCGGCAACCGCATACGTCCGGGTCTCAGTTAGACTGCGGTTCTGAAGCTGAGGATGGGGACGGTGGCGCCGGTACATGCATGACCGCCGTCAGTATATGGTCACGAATCTGTTGGGTCGCTGTAAGCAGTGCCACCCAAAAGCACCCAGGCTCCTTGGTATTCGCTACACACAGGCGGAGAGCAGGCCGAGTATCAACCATCAATCAGCTTTGCTGGTTGCAGCCTGTGGCCCAGGAACCGAGCGCGATGGTACCCCTACGGATACAGATGTACTCATAGTCGTGCAGTCGACATTGTACGTCGCTTGTGATGGCTGATACGTCCTGAGTAGATGATTGCTGTAGACTCAGCACGAGAAGCCAAGGACCGATATGAACGCGGGTCGACGCTGCGGACGTTGGCTGGTCCGACGTCCGCAAAGCCCGTGTATCCGTATGGAACGGCGGATGTAGAGGCGAGGCAGGGATTCGCGTCGGCGCAGCACATACGCGATTCTCCGGAACACCAAACATACTGACAGGGAGGATGGGAAGGGAGAAGGAACCTGCAGGAACGTAGCTGCGGTATCTGGACACCTCTGGGAAGACGTTTGAAGATGTGCGTCGATAGAGAGCTCGATAGACAGCCGTCGTCGTCATCTCCTGTACATTCTATAGCATGTTTCGTTCTATGTTATAGGATGCAATAGCGCCGGCAGCATGGACGTCGCGGGAGAGTTGCACGGATCGCCGGGGTACAGCGCGCATGGAGCAAGCGGCTTGCCGGAAACGACCGAGAGAGATGTTACCCAGGCGACAAGGTGACAACAAAGGCGCCACCCCTCTCCACGCGGTATACGTACACCCACGGTCGGGCGATGGCATCTGTTTAAGTATCGGGGCGCCAAAGTTATGTTGAGATCGTTGCCCGCTGCCTCCCGCCAGCTGCTACTACTCCCCGCCTGCGTTCTCTGCACGCCCCGGCCTCGTGTCCCTCCTTGACGCGGCCTCTCGCGCATTCCACGCGCACCTGACATTCTTTACCTTCTCGAGACCCGACCAGAAGATCCCTTATCGGCGCGCAGGCCCCGGCAATTAAGAGCTTAAGCTTCACTTCGAGTGCGTTCCCGTCGTGGAGCCAGTATGTATAGGAGCGGTACTCATGGCAGCGTCTTTTTTTCAGCTGCCCAGCTCGCCTGATCTCCCCGTTATTCGGCACACGACCAGGTAGGCCCACAACTGGCAATCAACAATACGACGTACTGATAGAAGAGTACAAGGTCGCCCTTCATATAGACCTATCGCACAGCTTCCCGGCCTCGTTCTCTGACTGCGCTCGTGCTCTTAAAGGACCTTGTTGCTCGCCTCGTGCTTCTTTGGCCCGCGCCCCTAACGTCCACCCTCTCGTCTAACTCTGCTATCCGACATGTCTTACTCCGCCAGCGCTGCCGCAGGTGCATCCAGCGCGGCCTCTAACTCTTCCGCCGCGTCTGTGACGCAAGCCGCGCAACTGGCGCAGGCTTCAGCAATGGGCTCTACTGCCTACATCACTGCTACAGTCGATGTCCCGACTTTTATCTTCCACATCGACCTTGTCCTACTCGCCATCGCGGCCGTCTTGATTCTATTCACCTTCCCCCGCATGTTCGCTGCGCTCGGTCGTCCATCGCACTTTTTCACTGGCTACTTTATGCGCGGACCGGGCAACGCCAAGGTTCCGAGCCTCGCAAGAGAGTACGCACCACGCCGCAACAACCCGCAGCGCAATGCCAGCACCAAGACCACCCAAAGCGCCCGTACTATCGGCTGGACGGAGGACTCGCATACGCTTGACTCGCATGCGCATCTTCTTACTCTGCCTACGCGGAGCGCCGTCAACGGAAAGCTCACCGTTCCGACGCGCGTGCCGTCTTGGATTACCCTCACGCACCCGATCGTTGTGTCAATCGTGAACCATGAAGTCCTTCCCGGTGTCACTGCACTGAAAGGCCTTGTCGTCCTTCTGGTCTTCGGCGTGCTCGCGTACGCCGGATTCTACGAGAGCAACCCGTTTTCGAACCCTGTGCGCGAGGGATACATTGCGATGGCTATCTTTCCAATTGCCGTCGCAGTTGCCTGCAAGAACAACGTTCTCACCTGGCTGGCAGGTGTCGGTTATGAGAAGGTCCGTAGACGCCTTGCCCTTAATACTGGAATAGACGCTCATATATTCCGCAGCTCAACTGGCTGCACCGTGCTCTGGGTACGCTCCTCGTGCTCTGCGCAAACCTTCACGGAATCGGCTTCATCTACAACTGGGCGATCAACGACACGTTCTACACTAAGATCGCGCAGCCGCAATTCCAGTATGGTCTTGTCGCGCTCGCCGGCACCGACTTGCTCTACCTGGGCTCGCGTCAGTTTGTGCGCTCGAAATCGTACACTCTGTTCTTGATTTCCCACATCGTTGGTCTCATCACCACCGCTGTCGGAATGGCGCAGCATTTCCCAGTTACGGTCCCCTACGTTGTCGCTGGTGTGGTCGTCTATGCCGTCGACCGCATTCTTCGTCTCGCTCGCACACGTACCACCACAGCGTACCTCACGCCCATGCCGCATCTCAATAACGGCACCACCCACGTCCACATGCCTCACCTCACCCGTGGCTTCCGCGCCGGCCAACACGTCCGTGTCCGCGTCGTAGACGGAACTGGCATTTTCGCCTGGATTCGCGCACTTGCATTCTCCCGCGCGCGCCCTTTCAGTCTCGCCTCGCGCCCCGTCGGTTCTGGTGCGGAGCTCTACATTAAGAAAGAGCGCGGCGCGTTCACCACCGGTCTGTACAAGATGGCCACTGGTGAATTCGCGAGCCCGCAGAAGAGCTCGAACGAGAAGGGCTTGTCCGAGATCGAAGCTGGCGAGCCGACTCGCGCTGTTCGCATGCTTGTCGAAGGACCGTACGGCGGCCCGTCGTACACGATGTTCGAGTCTTACTCCGGCGTCGTTCTCGTCGCGGGTGGCTCAGGCATCTCCTTCACGCTCGGTGTCTTGGACGATCTTATGCAGGCACACGCTGCCGGTCGTTCGCGCGTACGTGCTATCGAGGTTGTCTGGGCCATCGCGGACCCTGCGGCGCTCACTGCACTATTGCCCGCCCTTCGCCCGCTTCTCCGCCCTCGCCCGTCGCCGCATAGTGCACTTTCGGTCCGCATGACGGTACACTACACTCGTGCAGGTGGCCGCGGACCCCTCCCGGATCCTTCAAGACTGCCTACCGGCATCCACCTCCGTGCAGGCCGCCCCGACCTCCTTCGCACACTCGATGCCACCATCGACCGCGTGCTCGACGCTCGTGCTGGTCCCCAACCACATGGAATGAGCGGTGTCGTCGCAGCAGCATGTGGACCGCACGAGCTTGTCGCACAGCTTGAAGGCGCTGTCGGCAGCCTATCGTGGGATCGCTGGCGTGATGTTGGCGGTGTTGAGACCGTCAGCGAGTCGTTCGCGTTCTGAGTGAACCTCGTGAATGACCACTGTTTATTGGACAATGCTTTGAGAGTCTGAGTCTGATATCCTTATGCCCCGCCACGAATCGCGCAAACGCGTGCGCGGCGCTTGTTCATACCCAATTGCGCGTCCACCACATACATACGTTTCCTGAATGCCTGGTCTGCACATACGATACCGTACATACACCTGCCTGGTCTGCATCCCACGTACCGCCGTACTTCTTATCCTCTCCATTATCATCCAATCTTGCTCCCCCTACCTTTTGCGCGCCGGACTGTGTCTGGCCCATTGCGTTTGCGTGCGTGCCGCGCGCGTACGTTGTAGATGTCACTGCGTGCACCTCTCCTCCTCATCCCTCTCCATCCTGCTCTCCACCCATCCTCTTGCAAGATCAAGACAATCCTGTATAGCAACAGTGTCCGGGCTATCTAGAATAGACGGCTTCATCATACTTTACACGAAGAGGGACTTGAAAGGCCAAATTCAGAACGAAGATTTTCGATATCTGAGAAGAGCGCTTTTGTGACAGCTAACCAAAAAACGATAGGCCACACCGCACATGGGGTCCGCACGAACAGGTTGGCTTGGCCCCTGCATCTCGAGCCAGAGGCTGTGCAGGCCAGGCTCACGGCCGATTTAATGACTGCCTGCTACCTGATGTTCTGGCGCTCTTCTCCCTCCCTCTGCTACCAGAGCCCACTGACACTAATGTGCGGAGGCTTTGAAACCACTTTGGGGAGTATCAGTGCGAGAGTATCTCCCAGAAAAGTGGAAAGCAGCGCATATTACTAGGCCGGCGGGGCGCGCGGCTGTGGCCGTGGCCGCGTCGCGGTCGTTCTATGACCTCATGTCGAGGCCAAATAAGGCGCGCCAAGTCATAGGTCGTTTGCGCACCCCATGCGCGGTGCGGCCTATCGTTTCTTTGTTAGCTGGAATAATATCGTGCAAGGTGGCGACGGACCTTGGACTTGGACGGACCGATAACTTGCGGATCGAAACCGGGTGAGGCCGAAACGCGGTCAGGTGAGTTCATTGTCACCTACACGGATGCATCGTTCGACTCGACTGCCACATGGTCTTCGGGTGTCCGGCAGAGTCTATGGGATGTCCATAGTGCTTCACAGCGTAAATCCTCAACAGCGCCCCCCTTCTCAACGCGAGCCCGGTACTTGTGGTTCCAGGATCAGCAGACGCACGTGCTTAGCGCCTCCGGCTCTCGGCTTGTGAGAGCCGAATGCGCGCGATCCGAAGTTGCCTCTCTTCCACCATATGCAACTCAGCGTATCGATACTGTGTCAGCCTATGCCTCTGATCGTACGAATATAGCACGTGTCTCCCCATACTTACTTCTGTGCCAAACAGACTCGGGCCTCCAACGTTCGCCTCGATGACAGCCTTCCCATCAAGCGATTTTGCGCACAGATCTGTCAGGCTGAGGGCTGTTCGGCCTTGGAGATTTGTTTCGACGACCCTCTGTCAAAGAAGAGCACCTTATAGCCACCTCGGCGTCTCAGACGCCGTGATCTTTGCACGCTCATAGCGCTCGCGCCCGTCTGTACTCCACTTGACCAGGCGTCTTCGACGCTCTTACCCCATCCATGGCTCTAGCTATACCCGCGTCGAGTTCTTGACCGTCGATATGGAGGCATTTGCGGCGTACCTCACATTGCCTGCCATGCCGGCCATCATTTCCACCGGTCTATCGTAGAAAGCGGGCTACGGGCGGAGCAACAATTATGGATATCGCGGGTCGTGCATCGCCGACGTCGGGGCTCGCAACTCAGGGTAGCAAAGGATGCCATCCGGAAGCAATACCGCCACAGCTCTTTTCGGTAGCATAATCACCTTCCAGATCCTCGACAGAGCAATGTGTGGATCTTCACCTCAACTGGAACGCATACCAGGAAGCAGAGGCTGGATCGCCGAGTCGACGCACACCTGTATAAAACGTAAACTGCGTCGACAAGTGTACTTCAGCTTCAGGTTCACCATCTAGTACCCTCCAGCCTCTCCACTTCACCCCTCGCCATGTTCTCGCTCTCTAAGATCGCCACGTTTGCTCTTCTCGCCCTTGTGCCGTTCGCTTCGGCCGTGGCCCAACCGGCGCCCAACCGTGCTGAAGTAGCCTCCCGCGCCGCCCCGACTACGGACATCGTCAAACTTCTGACTGATACGAAGGGCAGCATAGGAGTGGCTTGCGCGCAGATCAGTTAGTGCTTCCGTACTAACAATAACCATGTCTATGGCGTTACTGATGATCTGTGTTCAGCCAGTAGCCCGTCGACGCTCACTGCAGCCGTCATTTCGTCTGTGGCCGCTCAAGTGAATGTTACCTTGACGGCCACGACCCAAGCTCTCACGAACAATGTGATCTCTGGCGTAAGCGGAGATGTTAGGGAGATCGTTGGTCTTGTTTCCGATATTATTAAAGTAAGCTCTACGGTTCACGGGCTGAATCTCGGCTGACGGTGCATGTAGCTACTCGTGGACACAATCGCAACCGTGCCATCGGCCGAGATGCAACTTGCGGCAGCTCTCAATGGGCTTATAGCCCTGATCGAGTGAGATTGATTTGCGTTGCTAAGCGATTATGCCATCTCATGACCTTGGTTTTCTAGCAAACTCCTCGCCGCGCTCGTCATAGAGGTTATTAGTGCCTCAACCAGCATTATCACAGGCGTAGGCGCGTCGTTCAAGGCGCTTATAGGTTGCGTGCTCCAGTCGTCGGGCACGGCTGGAGAGATGGCAGACTACAAGTTGGATTTCGCCCTCGCGGCATGCGGGCTTACTAGCTCGGGCACCAGCGCATGAGCAGCGCGGTTGGATGTGGCCTGCACTATAGTTCAAACCTTTCTTGCTAAACTGCTGTTTCGAATCATCTGAAATGTCATAATTGCAATGCACATATACATCGATCATAGGTCGTACACGAAGCGATCGGATTCTCTAATTCCACAGCAGGTTCGAGAGGCACTGAGTAGTATATAATCGTACAGTTACGCGGAATCATGCGACGAGCAAGCTACTCATCCTGTTTTGGGATACTCTGTAGATGTATCGGGTCTTGCTTGATCTCTTCCTGTTCTTGTAAATCCACAACTCGTCGGTTGTCATCTGATGGAGGGTCGCCCGAGTTCGCGATCCTGCAAATCCGGTGAGCTCCGGAGCAAGACGTACGGCAACAGAAAGCGTACTTCGCAGTGAAGTTGACGGTCACATGGCGCTGCATTGGAGCCGCACGGACTCGGAACTTCGACGCGATTGTCAAGACATAAGATCCCTTCACCTCGTCCTGCTGGAAGTCAGAGTGCATCCTGAATCTATAGATAGAGGATGACGCACCGGAGCACTCTCTTCAACCTTCTCCCATTGCAGATCGATCTTCGACGACGCGGCTGTCTGTGCCATGACTCGGTGTCGCTTATCCGCTACATCTTTCTTCTCTCCGTTGTGCAGCACATTGACCTCCGGGCCAAGCAGGGCGTCGAGCGCAGCCGAACGCGAAGACTCGTCGGGTGCGTCATATACAGCGGCCACGCGACTCTGGAACCAGGCCGGAAGAGATTGAGCGGTAGACATTACGGTGCGAATGTGCGAGGTAAGGGACGCGAGTGGTGGGGTGGTGGTGGGTATCAAGGAAAGCAGGAGTGTTGCTCGAGCGAAGCGGTACATCCATGTAAGAGCGAAGCAGCATCTCTGACGTCATGTTGCGTCCTATGGTCGCCATGCTGCGTGCGAAAGGCTACACCGTAGCCTTCAGCGCCTGGGCCTTCGCTTGTGCATGTTTCGTACCAGATCTCGACTGCACCGGCGAGGAGGATGCGGAAGCTTGAGGGCAATCTGACAACCAGCGCATCTCGAAAAATTGGAGGACGAACGCCGTTTCAATCATGTGATACAGTCATGAAGGGCCACAGTATAACTGGAATCCGCCCAGAACGCCTGTACAGTAATATTCAGAATATGGACGGAAGTGGTGGTACTCGCGCAAAGACACGCCTACGGTCTTTTGATGCTAAGGCTACATATTCTCACGCGCGTTAGCGCCTCGGCCCCTTCGGCCGAAATTGCCGCTGCGCCGTCGGTTCTTCTGCTGCTCACAGTTACTATTAGAGATTGTCGTTGCCCTTCATTGTGGTTGCAGAAGCAGGAACCAGACTATTCACTGGACACGCATCTCATAAACATCGTGAGCTGTAACCGTACAAACATACACATTGCTTCTTCAGATCCGGACCCCTCCGCATCTACAGGTACTTGATGAACCACTCGACGGTGTTCTTGAACGCGCCTTCCTTCGCCTCCTTAACCCTCGGGTCGCTCAGATCCCCACGTACCGCAAACCCGTGCGTCGCGCCGGGGAAGTACGGCCTCGAGAAGCCCGGCTCGTAACCCGCAAAGACCTTATCCGAGTACTCCTGCTTCTCCTTCGTGTACTGCGGGTCCGTCTCGCAGGAGTTGAGCAAGAGCGGGATCTTGGCCTCCTTCGCGAACCGATCGAAGTCCGAGAGCTCGAGCAGCGAAGGGTGGGAGCCTGCGGCGACCTTGAGCTGGCCGGCGTACGCGAGGTCGAAGACGAGGCGGACACCGTAGCAGTAGCCGACGGCCGCGAACTCCTTGACGCCTTTCTCCTTAAGCGCGTCGATGACGGCCTGAACGCGCTTCACAGTGTGGGTGGCTGCGTGACGCGGGAACCATTCCATGATGTTCCACTCGGAACCCTACATGAGAGGCGCTTAGCGATCTGTAGGCGCGCGACTGAAGAGATAAGATGTGAGAAGCTCACGTCCGGGTTCTTGTGGTCCGCCGGAGCCGGCTCGCCCTCAAAGAGATCAGGCGCGTACGTCTGGAAGCCGTTGCGTGCGTAGTCATCGGCGAGGAGCTAGATCAGACGTACATAAGTTATTGTATAACTCTGAGAGCGAATGCGTAATACGCACCAGGTTGTTAGGCAGCTCGAGACCGAAGATGTCGCAGATGTAGATCACAGCCTTCTCCTTCGGGTAGTCCTTGGTGGGTGTAGCAACGTACGTCTTGATACCGTTAATCTCCTCGTATTTGCCCTCGGGCGTACCCTCATGGCGGACGCCTATCCCACATAACGCACTCAGTACGCGGGCTTCTCGGACCGCACCAGCACAATGGAGGACGCACTCTGAACGCAGTGCTCGCAGAAAGACATGATGCGTGAGTTTGCAGGGTAGAGAGGTGGTGGTATCGGTGGGAAGGCATGGACATGGCGACCGGTTGGTATTTATGCCGCCCTGATTATCGGAGCGTCGATATTCCAAGGCCTTCCCCGTTCGAGCGGGATGTCGACATCGACTCGTGAGTGCGATTCTCACCGGGCTTTCCTGCGGGTCTGTATGGCTCGTAGCCGCGCCAATCACCTACTTTAGTACTATCTTGCAAGCTCAACTTCAAAATCCTTAGATCCTGGCTCATCGCTCGCAGCGTCGAGCTCGATCTTGATCGACGTCGGACTCCTCGCAAAATCAAGTCCGAAACGCGCTACGTCATCTCCCCCGAGAAGTCACGCGAGAAAACCCACATCGCGTCCCGAGCGCGTCGGCACTCACCTGGATTTCCCTCGTCGTGCGGCACTGTATTGGGTGGCTCTGTCAGCACGAGTACAGCACCTTCCAATCCTTATCAAGCTCGCACCTTCCCATGCTATGCTGACAAATGTATGTGGAGGAGAGTAACTATATATATACACTTTTTACTTTGTTTTGTTTGACCCGTATGTGCGCTGCACCAGTACCGTACCGAGACTCGAACGAAGATACGAGGAGCGGAGTGAGAAGGGAAAAGCGAGAGAGGAGGTATCCGAGCATTCGAGAGCGTAAGTAGCGTATTGTTCCTTTCTACGAAGCGCCAATGAGAACCGGCAAGGAGAGCAAGAGGATATGAGTAACACGAGATAATAACACAGTGGACGGAGCGAGTACCAGGGCAAAAGAAAAACACAAGAAGAGATTACGAGCAGGAGAAACGGCAGGCAGGCGAGCGATGGGCGTGTATCTGATATGAGATGGAATAGTGAAGGGCGCGGGGAGGGCCGATTTAGGCGACAATAATAGCGTGCGTAGGCGTAGGCACTGAGGGATGGGAGCGGTGGGGTTCACCAAGCATATGCGTATGTGCAGTGGGAGTATGTCATATACAGAAGCAAGATAGAGAACGTTGCATACATAGCCGAGAGTGAAGGATGGAGGGGTGCGGGGGGCCAATGAGGGGACCACTATTGTGTGTCCTCGGATTGGGCCTCCACCCAAGTATTTCCCCAGCTCTCGATACTGGGGAAGCGGAGCGTCTCAAGTTTGGGCCGTTCACCGTCCGAGCTGGCGCTGGTGTTACTAAGCTTACGCCTGATACGCTTGATGCTGTCAGGGCGCTTGAGGATCGCATCAGCCACCTCGTCGCTCAGCTCGAGCTCTTCCTCCTCCTCGGGCGCAAGCTCAGGGCTTTCGCTCCCGTCACGTCCACGCCTGCGACCACGATCAGGGGAGCCACCAGCCGAGCCTGAGCCAACGGACGAGGGTGGTGGTGGGAACGAGCGTGCGAGCTCGAGAGCAGCCAATGGCGGTGGGGCGTATGCAGACGCGGGTACTGGCATTTGTGGCTGGCCGAAGGGCGAGAACGGAGGCGACAAGGGCGAGAGCGGTGAGAATGCTGGCGGCTGTGGCGCGGCTGCCGCTAGCTGGGCAGCCGAAACATGGAGCGAGTGCGTGAGATAGTGTATATGGCTCTGCAACTGTAGAACAATAGTCAGGATCATTGTTCGTCGCCTGGCTCGGAAAGGGGGATAGGACTAACCTCGGCTTCGCGTCTCCGCCAGGCATTCGATTCTTCGCGCCACTGCCAGCGCAAGGCGTCGCGCTCCTTGGAGCCACGTTCGGTGTCGGCGCGGAGCTTCTCCTCGCGTAGCCGGCTCGCTTCGAGCGCACCTTTTAGCGCGGCAAGTTGCGTCTGCGAGCTAAGCGCCGGGCCTGGGCTTCGTGAGCCCGAACGGCTAGATGAGCCCGGTGCAGGACATGCGGCCAAAAAGCGAGGAGGGGTGGGCGAGACAGCCCTCGTGTGAATATGAGCTGTGGCAACGGGTGGGGACGCAGCCAGGCCGTCGCGTTCCCACGAAGAGTCCCATGCCGAAGTAGAGGTAGAGGCTGACGCGCGGGAGACAGATCTGGGTGGCGAAGATACAGACGAGATGGAAGGTGGCGCGAGGAACATAGACGAGGCGACCGAGGACGACTCGACGGACTGGGCGTCTGCATCGGCGTTCTCCGGGGCGAGCATGTCGAGGTCCGGCATTGCGGGCCGATGACGGGCAGGTTCGGCAGGGGCCGAAGTCGAACATGGAGGATGCTCCTTGGGCGGCGTCTGCACTGGCGTCACGTCTTCTGTGCTCGCGCGGGCGTTGGTGGATGTCGAGCGGGTGCGCGCACGTGGGTGAGACAGCGGGGAGGCATCCTCGAACGCGTCATCGAGCACGGTCGGCGTCGTGGGCCCGGCTGGCCGCGTCGGCTTCAGGAGGTCCTTCACCTTCCGCATGTCCTTCGCTGTCAGCTCCTTGTTGCGTCGCCGCCGGTCCTTGGACCGTGCGGTCTTGCTCGGCCCGGCGACCCGCGAGGCCGCATCCTCAGTCGGATGCTCAGTGACGGCTTCCGAGGTAGACACCGCGCTCGGGGATGCTCGCGAGCACCAGCTGGCGAAGGAGGAGAGCATGGATTGCGCGGACGCGACGGACGATGACGGGCCGGCAACAGCGGTGGTCGCAGATCGCCTGGAGTGCCAGAGGAGGGCGGAGGAGGTCGCGAGGGTGATGGTAGCGACGGTGGCGAGCAATACGCGCGAGTCGGCTTGGGTGCCGTCCTGGTCGTTGGGCAGGGCAGACATGGCGGGTGACAGCAGAAAAGTCAGACGGGTCCGAGTCCGGTAGATAAATACAACGAGACGATTGTGAGAGGAAACAACGAACAGTCAGTAACTTAGGCGCCCTGACGCGGCCAACCTGTCCCTGTCCGGATTTAGCTACGCGAACACAAGCGCCGTTCGGCTCTTGCCTCCTGCTTTCATCTCTCCCACAACACATTCCACGCCTTCGTGAATATATAGCCATATACACCCTCACTCTCCCTCGCCGTCGCAATGCGCATTGCAAGTCGTGAAAGCCAATGTTTAATGTGCCTATGGTTATTGCCGCATCAAGTGACGTACCCGCACGCATCGTACATACCTTCCTCCCGAAGAAGCGCGACAATCTAGCAGAATTCCTCCACCCTGCCCATCCGCGTGCCGTCGCACGCACCGCATGCTCCCTCTGGGAACCACTTTTGCAGCGTGACCCGTGACTGTGGGCCGGGTTTCTTCCCCTTTTCTTCGCGAGATCGCCAGGATAGGATATACCTGTGCATTCTTTGTCCTCGTATCCAGGCGCTTGGCTACAGATCCCGGCGCCTCGTGCATCCCATCAAGGAACCGCAAGGGTCCTACCGCGCTCGTTCGCAAACCAAGCTCGAGCCTGGCTGATCTCCGGTCTCGACGACAGTCGGCGGCTGGCTAGCCAAGTCGTCTACGCGTTTCAAATACCAATTTCATCGCATCTGTAAAGCATCGAACATTGAACAGTCCGCCGGCGCGATGTTGTTGCTAAGCATGCGGCAGCCTAACTGGGATCAACCAAGGCAGACACGTGTGTACGTGTCGGCGGAGCGCTCGCCTCACCGCCTCAAGTTGAGCCACATTCGCCCGTCCTGTGCCAGGCGAGTCAAGTTCTGAAAGCGCTCATGCACATGCCTTGGCTTCGTCGGTGGCCCGCTCTGCCGAGAACGTCAACGCGCGACGGCCGCCTGCGATCTGTGTGGCGTACAGGTGTCGTACGGCTCGAGTGGCGCGCCACCGTAGACATGCTCGAGAGCAAGGGACTGCTCTAGATCGTGCGCTCCACAAGTGAGTATCTCTGAAGTATCCATTGTAACGGCACTGTACACATCGTCCTGAATGAAAGATATACAACTCGCTACGCGTCGCAACTGCTCGCGCACCCGCGCCGCGCACCGGGCCGCCTGCGCAGAGCTACTCCTCCTCTTCGCTCTGCTCGTTCTGTTGCGGGCATAGCACGGCTTCACGGACGTCAACGCGCGCTTGTACCTGAAGTGACCAGTACTTCCAAACTTTGCGAATCCTCGAAACGGCACCGGACACGCAGCCTCTGATGCTCGGCGGGTGGTCTGACCACCGTTCGCCCTTCCCCATCATACCGCCCTGCGAGCCCGCGGTGCATATATGCTCACTATTAGCTTTACGGTTCGGCGATCCGACTTCTATCGAGACTGGATCCTCATGATGCAGCGCGCCTGCAGGCTTCAGCGCGCTCGGCGCTCATTCACTCTAACAGTTCATTATGCCAAAGCTGTTGAGCAGGTGCAGCGTGCCGCGCCGTCATGGGTATTGCGCTCGATTATCTCCTTGAGCTCGGAACGCCGCCTTGTTCACTCGATAGTGAATCACTCTCACGGAGGGTCTGACAGGCGTTGACTCTCATGATATCACAGCAGAATTCGAGACTTGGGAACGTCCTTGGGTTGCAGCGCCGGTCGAATCGGACCAGATGGAGAGGAAGTGCTCGGCTCTGCGCGACTCGTCTTCGGCTATATGCCGGCCGAGGACTTCATTCGACGATTCCGGTCGGCGAATCGACGCTCAGCACGGGGGTGGGGCATGCATTGGAGGAAGCGCGGGGTAGTTAGACATGGAGTGGCTGCATTCAGCAGCGAGTCGGGGCTTTGTGGGGGAGATTCGCGGGGTTCAGTGTTGCTTCTGCACGACTGTACAGCTTCGCCCGTATTGAGACCTGCCGGCGGTAAGGATTTGGAGTCTATGGAGTCGCGAAGACGGAAGGCTTCTCCCAGGACGACCGGTTGAGGCGTGGGGGATGTTCGGGATGGCGAGATCACTGCATATCAGTCTTTTGTCGGCCTTTGCCACTGCGGAGAGATTCTGCGATCTGAAGCTCTGAAACTCGCTTCCAGTACAGGCTCAACCCGACAATAGTGCAAGAATGCATGTACTGCTCCGTGTATGCCAACCATATTCACTATAGATCTCACTCTTGCTCAGCGTCAGCTGTAACAAGCCCTCCAGATCTCCCGGCAATCTCCCCGACAAACTCGCCGTCGCCGCAACAGCGCCGCAAAGACCTCGGAAGCGACGACGCTTCGCACGACGACGATCCCGGCCGACTGCACAAAGTACCGCATCAGCCATACTGTCCTGAATCCATTAAAGCACCGAAGCCTCTTCCTTTTTCCGCGGGCCCGGGCGGGAACTCAAACATATGTATCTCTACTTTTCCCGACGCGCTGTCTGTTTGGACTGTGCATATGTTGCCGATTTCCAGAATGTCGACGGCGAGGTTGGAGACCATGCGTGGTGTACTGGGGTACGCATGGAAGGTTGTCTTATCTGCTTTGAGCGTGCGCGACTCGTGTACATGTAGGCCGGAACATGCTTGTTAGCTATCGCATGTTGAGTCGTGCTCTCGGATGTACTGCATGGCGGTCATTAATAGTATCTGTCACAACTTACGGTTGCAAATTTATCATCTCTGGTATATTGCCCGTAGAATGACAATGAAGGCGACTGGTTGTGGGAGTCTGTATGTGATACGCTGTGGTACGATGGCTTATCGTGATCATATGAGGGGAGCTGCCAAGTTCAACGTTGGCGCGTCGACGTACCAATCACTGCAACGTCGGTGTTGCCAATGTTCCACTGCAACGTCGGTGTTGCCAATGTTCTCAACGGGCCGTCCCGGCCCGAATAATAGGGGCACTCGCAATATCCCCGAGACGCGGCTTGGACGCGGCACTTCGCGTCTGACCTCCACCTCGTCTGACCAAGTTACCTCCTTGAAGATATCTCTTCACGGACCTTGTTGATACGTCCCGCGCATAGACAACATACTCCATTACCATCAATATGAGCTCTGCCGAAACGGGTGACCCGGCGCGTAAGCGCGCGCGCGAGGATGAAGGTGGCGACGCGGCGTCCGAACCCAGCGTCGTTAGGTCTCAAGACTTCTACTTCAACGACGGCACCATCGCCCTCCGAGCGCTATCTAAGGATAAAAACTGTTACACGATATATCGTGTCCACAAGTCGCTCCTTGCTCTACATTGCTCAGTATTTCGCGATATGTTCGGCGACACCGATACCATACACTTCGACGCCGCATCTGAGAAGTATGACGGCGTGCCACTCATGCACCTACACGACGAGCCGGAAGATATAAGAGACTTCTTGAAAGCGCTTTATGATCCCGCGTACGTGACTGCTTAATGGATCGAACGATGACTATCCTGAAGTCCGCCTTTGCTAGGTTTATGCACCGTCATCTAGACCACAATCTCTGTTACATGAAGAATTTCCCCAGGGCATACAATAAAGTGATGCGACTTGCCAAGAAATATGGCTCGCAGAAGCTGCTCGACGTCTTCGCTCATGCACTTCGTCAAGAATGGCCATCTAAATTGAAGCTTGTTTCTGCTGTACGCCAGTCACGAGCAGCGAAGTGTGAGGTTCTCGAAGAAGAGGATGATGAGTTCGATGACGAAGATCACGATCACAATGTGAAACCCGATCCTGGTACGTTCTTCCAATCACACCCGAGTACTTTATCTCATTATAGCGCTACAGCTTGGACAATCAGAATGGCTATCGACTATGACGTTCCCGAGGTGCTTCCCTCCGCCTTTGCTACCTTCAACGCCCGTTTGGGACCCGGCCTCAATGGAGCCACAGAAGATGGAAGTCATAGTCTGGGAGAAGGGCTTGAAGACGGTTTGTTCGTTCTTAATGCTGACGAACTACGACATCTAGTCATCGGAGGGCGTACTCTTGCCTCGTACGTTTTTGGATACACATCCGAATACCCTGTCCCCGAACAGGGCACGTTCTTCAAGCCAGAAAGCAATCTTCACCAATGCTACGCGCGCTTCTGTAACGCTTGGACCAAGATGAATGGAAACCTAGAGAACACTTATGGCAGCTCTCACCCCTTCGATGTGCTTCGCGATGCCCTAACCGAATGCGACCTCTGCAAGTTTTGTCGTCCCAAAGCACGGGCTCACATCCATGAGATTGAACTGGATCTTTGGAAGAAACTGCCCGCCATATTTGACTTGGTAAGCAGCGCTCATATCGCTGGGTCTTCCTTTTACATGCTGACTCGGATATGGCGGTCATACACAGCGTGGCTATGGAGTGTCAGAAGATTGGGGTTCATAGTTGGAATCTGTACTTACTCTGCCACTTTTATCACTTTCTAAGTTTCTCTGTGACTAGTATTCAAGTCTGTAGTGTTCAGCGTTAGCTGCATGCCATAGTAGGCTTCTCTCTGCGGCGCCGCCTGCTGAGTCAAATATTGCGACTCGCAGTGACCTGGAATATTGAATGTCAGTGAGTATCGGCTCTTCGGCTTTACAGAGCCGAGCCCGGCAAGTCTGTCCGCACGTGTGTTCAAACGTTCACGCGAACAGACGTCGCGCAGCGCGCTCGACGCGCTCCTTGCCATCGATGCCCACTTGCTACCGCGAGAGCCTGTTCTCATTTACCATCCGATCTTCTTGTCTCCGTCTGCAAATCTCGGAGAGTGGCCATACGTCGAGCTTATTTCGTGCCATGGAGGCCCACCAACCGGGTTCCCGTCGCGGAAGCTCGTGCACGGCGGAGGACAAGCTCCTGCCCCATTGTCCTTGCGCGTATCCTGCAGGCCCAGCGAAGCACGGGTGACCACCTTGTGCGCCGACGTTCGAAGCACAACGCCGACATACATCATTGCATCCGACCGGGTTTCCCAGGAACATCGGCACGCGTTCTCCGCGTGTAGCCAGCTGGCTATGTAGCGACCACCCAACGTTACATTTTCATATCGAGGCTCGCGCGGGATCCTGGAATGGGCAATCTAGCTTCTTAATCGCGGACATCGATCAGAGAACAACCTGCCCGCTCGCGCCCCTTCACTTCAAGTTCGTCGCCTTAAGAGCCGTTGATCAAGCGCGCACGCCGGCCCGCATCTTCAGCGCCTTCAGCCGACGTCCCGACCCAACCGATGCGCCTGTATTTCGTCTGCGCCCTATGGCTCACTCCCGTCTGGGCCGCCTCGAAATGCTCTCTCAAGGCGGCTCCCACGGGAGGCGCCCGAGGTTCAGCTGGTAGCGGGTCGGGGACAGCGTCTGGCTCTGCGAGCACGAACTCGGGCGCATATATCGCCGCGGCGTGGTATGCGGCATGGCATAGCAGCGACTTCACACTGTCGGATATAACCTGGTCGAGCTACTCTTCCATGATATATGCATTCGCGTCAGTTCCCAATCACTACTGTTTGGGCTCATACTCATCATCCGTCTCAGAACCACCACGTCGGACGTCAACACTCTTGGGTTGGCATCATCCGATGAAGAGCTTCTACCTCAGTTCGTACAGACCGCTCAGAAGAATGTGAGTTGTACGGATCACTCGTATCGAGCGTTACTCACGTAAATCCTAGGATGTCAACGCTATTCTCTCTATCGGCGGTTGGGGAGGATCGCAGTACTTCTCGAGCGCTGTTGGGTCCGCTACGAATCGAACCGCATTCGCGAAGACTGTCATGGCTGCAGTGAACAAGTACGGCCTCGACGGTGTGGAGTTCGATTGGGAGTATCCCGCAAAACAAGGCGAAGGCTGCAACATCGTCGCCATGGACGACAGCGCCAACTTCCTCGCGTTTCTCAAGGAGCTCCGAACCCAAGATGGCGCAGACAGCATGCTGGTGTCTGCTGCCGTCTCCCTCACACCATTCATCGGCTCGGACGGCCAACCCATGAGCGACGTGTCTGCTTTCGCTGAGGTGCTGGACACCATCGAGGTCATGGATTATGACGTCTGGGGCTCATGGTCCAGCACTGTTGGCCCCAATGCGCCTTTGTACGACGACTGCGCGCCCGAGGCCGAAGGTTCAGCTGCATCCGCTCTCACAGCATGGACCGGCGCGGGCTTCCCTGCCAGTCAGATCATCCTTGGCGTGGCTTCCTACGGCCATAGCTTCAGCGTCACCAAGTCGTCCGCTCTCCTTGCGAACGGGAGCCTTGCACTTTACCCGTCATTCAACTCTGCAAACCAACCAGCTGGTGATAAGTGGGACTCGACAGCAGATGGCTCTACAGATAGCTGTGGGGACGAGGACACCGTGGGCGGCGTCTTCGACTTCTGGGGCCTGGTGGACGGCGACTTCCTCGACACAAGCGGCGCTGCGCTCATGGGGATTGATTACATCTACGACGAGTGTAGCCAGACGCCTTTCGTCTACAACACCACAACTCAGGTCATGGTCTCGTATGACGACATGACTTCATTCGGTATGTGGTTCTCTTTGTTGATGAGAGTCAATGCGCTACAGCATGCTCACACGTGCACAGCTGCGAAGGGACAATGGATTCAGTCCAACGGCTTAGCTGGATTCGCGATGTGGGAGGCAGGCGGTGACTACAAGGATATTCTGCTCAACGCCATCAGCAGTGGAATAGGTATCGACAAAACCAAGTGTAGCGGTTCTTAAACGCCATTGTATGCTCCATTTCTGTACTTATATTGGGATCCATTGGTAACTTATGACAAATTACATTATGCTGCGGAACTCCCATTGTCTTCCCGTTTCGGCGATTGAAATCGTGGACCGATGATCATACCTGGGGTCCAAGTCTGATCGAAACCACACCACTGGGATTGCATTGACCGAGCGCAGGGACTCAACCACACGAACTTGATGGTATATATACTGTGTGTTCATCGCTAACTTGAACCCCCACCACCGTCTACAACTCGTTCTTCCACTCACCATACCAGGTCATCCAACTCGCTCATCCTCATCCTCACCCACCACTATGTCGTGCTACCGCATCGCACCTAACTCGATCACGATGGAGTACACTTGTCAGGCCAACAAGGCCAAGTACGATTGCAGCGCGCCGCGCAGCAGGAAGGAGTACATGCAGCACTTACAGACTTGCCACTACGTCTGTGAACAGTGCAAGTACTTTTGGACCAAGAAGGAAGGATACCATGAGGTTAGTCTTCCTTATCTGGAAGCTAGTCGTATGCGTTTGACTAACAGGATATCATAGCACCGGGAAGAGATGCACCGCGATTCTGCAGACTCGCAGCTGTAGAAGACTATTCCCGGACTGCCAATCTGGATGACCATCACGAAATGAAGATCAACGTTCATACTGTATATGCCATCGATATTGTATACTAGGACGAGAAAAGCTGGTGCCTTTTCTTGTATAATGATAACCTTTTGAACATAATATGATAACCACAGCAATCATAAAGCCGACCGAGGCAGCGAACTGTGCAAGAATGACAGAACTGGATTCGTTAAGGTCATAAAGGAATATACAAGAATAAGGTATCAGCAGCACAATGGCTTATCCCCTTCGACGCTTCTTGTCCTTGCTTTCTTCGAGAAGCTTATCCCTACGGTCGCCAACATCATTGAGGAACTGAACCTTCTCGAGATATCCTCCGCCACGCCGATTAGCGTCCAGCTCGTCCATGAGTTGTGCGTCGTCCCGAGAGTGCGCCTTCCAGTCAATAGCAGACTTCTCGATTGTACTGAGTTTCTTGGCCTTTTGCGAGCTCGCGGATGGTATGTCGCTCAATTGTACGCGAGACTTCCTGCGACCAGGCTTCTTGACAGGCGCGACGGGTACCGGGATTAGAGTCGACGACGAGGATGCTTCGACATCAGCCGTATGTGAGGGTGTTGAAGGTACCGGCGATTTGACGGGAGATAAGTCAGCGGAAGACTCCCATAACGGCCATTTCTTGGCGTCGTCTGAATCTTCGGGTACTTCTACGACCTCCCTACAAACGCGCAAGTCAGACTTAAACGGTGTGGAGTTATAGTGATACCGTACATGACGTCCTCGCCCGCAAAGCGATGTGTCTTGCGTATCTTGACCATCTTCTTGACCTCTGATTTCCCATTGGATGATAGAGACGCCTGTAATTCAGCCCAGGCTTTGTCACGGGCTCTAGGGTCGTGAGCGGATATGCGGAACGCAAGACAACCAGGATAGACGCACTGTTTACGAGCTTCTTCATCCTGAGCTGATAATTCTGAGTCCGGTTCTTCTACGCGCCGACGCTTGGTGTTTCTTTCGCCATCTGGGGTCGTAGGGGAACCTAATCACGTTCAGCGGTTGGACCCAGCTCAAGGTTCGCGGGCACTCTACCGGTATCTTGCTCGGGAACGTAGTCAGGATCGTCTTCGGAGTCGGAGCCTTCTTCTAGGTGCACAGAAGGGGCCATTATGGAGCAACGGGTGAAAGTGGCAGGAGCGATCTGGTGGTGGAGAGCAAGACGCGTCGGCGCGCGTCGCGGCTTCTTGACATCCTCGCGTCCCACCATCATGTTCACGGCGCTCATAAAGACTGGATGCATCCAGGACTATACATCCCAAGCCAATCAATATAAATACATGCTATTCTCTCTAACGGACTTAAGGTTACGCGACACGGCCTATACGCAGTCGACTCTGGATGCTTTCAAAGAACTTGCAGCTTGATCAAAGAATACAGAAGGGTCGGAGCCGCGCAACTGGGGCACTTCGAGGACTTGACAACTTCATCAACGATGCAACTGAAGAGTAGCTGAAGTGAGAGCATGACAAAGTGAATGAGGTTTTCGTATGCGTACCTGTGGCAGTAGATGTGCCCACACATCGTGGCAGTCGGCGTTCGCGCCGGATCACGACGGCACAAACGGCAATAGATGTAGGACACGCGCCTCGCGTCGTCCTGCCTCTCAGCGCGATACTCATCCTCGTGTGCGGATGTCCAGGGAATGTGCCGGACGTTCGGCGAAGGGGCGCGTGAGCCTCGAGGGGACGGCACGGCTACGGGCGGCTGCCTCGAGGAGTATGCAACCGAGGGGGTGCGCGACCGGCGTGCGTCGAAGCCTCCCGGGAACCCCGTGGGCTCGAACTGCACGTCTGGTACCTCCAGGTGCCTCTCGCGATAGGGCGAATGAGGTGCAGCCCGGCTGGCCTCGTGAAGCCTTGACGGAGGACGCGTGCTTACGTGCGATCCACAGGTGATTGCCTAAGGGGATAGAACGACTGGAGACGAAGGCGGACTTACCTGTACGCACTGAGGGCGGATCCACTTCGAATATGGGGAGGAGCGTCAAGTAGCGAGGACGGCGAGATCACAACCGTAGCTGGACTTCCTGACTGGGAAGTGAGAACCTCTAGCTTCATGGGTCTAATAGACCTCGTCGACTGAGCAGGAGTGGCCGTTTCCGTCTGCGTCTCAAGGGTATGGCTATCATCCGTATGGATGACCGATGGACTGTCGACTAGTGGGATGGAGAGCGACGCCCCGGTCATGTTGAACTGCGCTTCGGAGGACGGCGGGGTTACTTCCGGGATACTGACGCGCTCTGCTTCCGGTTGTTCTGCTGGACGTAGATCCGCGCACGGTGTGCCATCCACACGAATGTCGTCCTTAACATCGACGTAGTCGTGCTCCGCATCAGCGATGATATCCTCGACGGCGGATGCGGTGACTGGGAACGACTGAGACGCTAAGGCTGGGCGTAAGTCCGCTGCAGACTGGGGTCTGATGGGCGCATCTGGCGAGTCCACGTCGGCCTGGACCTGGAAGACGATGATCGTAGAGTTTGCCATGCCGTCGAGCTCACTGGACGGGGCTTCCGCCTCGATGGAATGGTTAGGTTCGTCAACTTCTGAGTCGGCATCCCTGATGTTGACATCGTCGCTAGCATCGACAAACTACACATGTGCACATATTAGCTTCCGCGCAGAACATTTGGTATATGAATACACTTCGCGATTGACCCCGTTCTTGTCACTATCGTCCGTGGTTGGTGGCGGGAGAGATATGGAGCGGGCTTCCGGGGAGTGATGCGCGGAATGGGTCACGATCAACGGCGGCGCGGTGAAGTTGGTGGCCTCCGTCGAAGGGCTCGCGATTGACTCAATGTCGGACTCTTCCTCGTCCATCTTTACGGAAAGAGGTGCGATTAGCGTGCCGACCTCGAGCAGAACAGTAGAGACGGCAATTACATGCTGGAACTATCGTCAGTACTCTCAGGATCCTTCCAAAGCAAGTCAACTCTTCGCACCTCTTGACGAGCGGCTTCATCGAAGAAGCCGAGACCGCAGTCGTAGCACTTGGGGTGCACGAACGAGTTTTGGAAGTGATTGTTCAACGCAGAGGCTACTGAGAAGCACTCGTTGCAGCGAGAGCACCATAGGTCGGGATGGTTTGTCCGAATGTGCTGACGAGGAATGAGCTACAGCAACAGCAGTGGTCAAGCCTTCACCTACTTCTTCCCAAGAGACACGTTCCGGGAAGCCGACATTGGGGCACTTGCTACATTTCATGTGAGCGGGGGAGTCGAGGTAGTGCTGCTCCAGAACAGTCGCCGAGCTGTACGATGTGTTGCATTGAGAGCATCGGTAGGAAGGATGAACCGAATTAACGTGCTATTGCCGTTTGTGATCAGTTAAATCCTGATACACGATGAAAGCTATTGTTCTCACCGCTGTCAGATCTTCCCTGCTGCTGAAATCATGATTACAAGATGAGCACATCGTGTGGCCCTTCTCTGCACGATGAGCCTTGACGTCCTCCTCAAACATACGTAAGCCTGGACAAAACGCGCAGGTAGCTGTCTGATGAACAAGGCGCATATGCTATGAAGAGATCCGTTAGTGATTGACGACTGTATCACTAAACCCCACGACTCACGTCCGCCAGTGTGGTGGAGTCGCGCGCACCGATCCCGCACCTGTCGCACTGAGGATGCAAGAGGGACTTGCGATAGTGATCGGAAAGATCATCCTGACGGGCAAAAGGAATGCTGCACAGCGTACAAGCAAACTTGTACTGTGGCACGTTGATGGGAGGCTGTGGTTTGGAGACAACAGACGGCGCGGAAGATGAGGTCGATGAAGCCGTTGATACGGTAGTGGCCATCGTGGGCAGAGTTCTCGTGCCATGTACGTCGTTTCTATGCTTCGAGAAGTCAGAACGCGCAACATATAATTAGACTGGGGACGTGTTGCGCACCGCTCTCAAGGCGGCATCGTCAAGGAATCCCTCGTTGCACGATGCACAATTAGGATGCGCCTTGAGATCTCTGTAGTGTTGCTTCAAGGCGGATACTGACGCAAGTTCCCGCCTGCAAAGAGTGCAGTAACGGTCTGGTCGTGCGTTTGACGGAAGACCAAGAGCAGCCGATGCTGGTCGCAAAGACGGAGACGGCACCGCTGTGGCGCGGGCTGCGGGAGTTGACGGCTGGCTCGAAAGCCCAATCATGCCGTGTACAATCCTGTTATGCTAGAAACGGGAAGATTCAGATACTGTCTACCGTGCTAAACCCACATACGCACCTTGAGCAAAGCTTGCTCGGACCCGCAAACGGATCTACAAGACGCGCAGAATCGAGCGGCCCACGGAGCTGTACGAATATGGTCTTGTTATTGCGGAATCGTCAAGTTCGCATGTCCGCAACTGCAAGCGGGATAGGGACAGATGGGCATATTGAGTACAAGATATCGAAGGAGTGGTGCGTCGACAGGGGACAAGATTACGACGGGGCCCGGCGAGTGTGTCTATATATCGCGGCTGCCAGCAACCTCTAGGCCGTCGGCCGCATGCAACGAAGCGGAGAACCCCCTAACCCATCATCAGCCGTGATCTACTTGAAGCCTCTACAGAGCGCGCAGTTCCATTGAAATCAGATAATGGCATTGACGATCTCCTGACGTCTGTACTTTACTTTTGCATTCAGATATCCAGACTCTGAATCCCGGTTTAAGAGCGTGCCACATTATCTCAGAGATATGGAAAGACGCGAAAGCTCCGAGTGGCACGTAGGGCATGCTGGAGCCGCGTTGGGCACGCACCTATCTTGCGGTCAGCTCTGGATTGGCTTAGAACGTAGGGCGGAGAGCGCACTTCTCACAAAGGATATGTTGGCTCACACACATGACAACGGATGCGCACGCAACACGGCACGCGGAGCAAAGCAACATCTCAGGACCCTGCTACACATACATCGTAATGAGTGCGATGTGCGCGATGTGCGGCAGCAAGAGGACATACATGTTTCCATTGCTCATTCCCTAAGAACAAGGCGAGCGTCTCCTGTACCACATGCAAATCACGATACGTCTAAACGTGTTTCATCAGTTGCAATCGCCTAACTGACACCTTGCCAACATACTACAGGCCGTGCGCCCACGCCGATGTCGGACGCCAGGGGCGTGTTCTGCTTGCCCCGACCTGCCTTGTGAACTTCTATAACATGCTGATAGCATTTTGTGAGTCTCTTCAAACGTGGTACTACTGTTGGCAATACGCACAGCCTCGCGCGCTCGTAAGTCGGGGAAAGATGCGTCGCAATGTTCACAAGTAGGATGCCGAGGCGAATCCCGATAGTGCTGATCGAGCGCCTTCTCCGATACGTACTTACGGTTGCACAGCTCACAGCGGAGTCCGCGCTTGAAGCTATCCTCCGGCACAGAGTGGGGTAGGCGCTCTGAAGAAGGCTCTGCGGCGTGCATCGTGACGACGTGGTGCTCGAGAACATCGACGCCGGAGAACGCTTCCTCGCAATACTGGCAGTTCGGGTGTAGTACAGAGTCACGGTAGTGCTGTTTGAGTGCCTTCTCAGAACCGTATGTCTTGTTACAGGGCGCACACCGATGCTGGGCGGCGCCTGGCGGTTGCAACGGAGCATGCGTGGATCCAGGGTTGTTGGCGGGTTCTGAGGGATCTACGGACACTTCGTCCTTGTGGCCAGCTTGCAGATGCTATAGAGGATTGAAAATATATCCAGACACGAATCATTTATTGTACGCAACTGCTTGCAGCGAGAACTTGTCTGGGAATCCTTCACCACACTCGCAATGCGGGTGCACGATTGAATCGCGGTAGTGTTGGTCCAGGGCGCGCTGCGAATCATATTTTCGGTCACAGAGAAGGCATTGTAGCGAGTGAACATTCTTGCAATGCTGAGGATGAGGTACTTATCAATCACTGCCGATCACGACGTTGGATGCACAGGTGTACACACCTTGGTAAAGTCTCGGCGATTTTCGAAACTCAGTTCGCAAAGGGTGCAATAGTCATCCGCAAACAAGAGAGGGTTGATCTGATCCATCGGAATATAGTAATATGCCTAGCGAGATGGTGAGAAGCCAGGCGTTCATCGGCGCTGCCCTTCGACTGACCGAAGGGGAAGGTTACCCCAACAGGCCGTAGACGCTCGCACGGTCATTTATGACTTTCTGCCTCTCCGTGAGGTGAGGGCGGTATGTATCATCACCGCACACAGACGGTCGCCATATTCGCCCTCATGGCCTTGGGCATCATGGATGAACGCAGATGGTGGACGCTTGCGAATTGCAGTGCGAGTTGTGCACGCATGGCCCGGTAATCCCCGTGATGGCCGAGCAGGGCCGAACCCTTTTCTCAGGCCGCGACGCTGTCCGCGAGCCACCCGGAGACTCTGTCGTTCGCCTCCACTATGCTGCTTTCACCCTCTTTAATCTGATCTCCCCCTCATCCAAAGCCGCTCGTATCGGATTCTGGAGCGCTGGGCGATGCAAGTTCCGTTCGCCTCCCGAATTATGAAGCACTACACCTCCGACTGTTAGGGCGCTTGTGGCCACTGGCGACGGGTGGCGTGTTTGACCTTTACTGGACCGAGATCTGTTCATCCTCTCGTTATCGCCGCTACCATCACCCCTGCCCTTCTCAAACTCTCATCCGTGTCATACAAACACGCTTTGAGGTCGTTTTGGGACATGGATCGACGTGATAATCGCAATGACAGCCGTATAGCCTTGGCCCTTGCCAACCATCGTCTGATTAGGAAGCGCAGAAAACGGAAAATGGCATGGCAAGGTTGTCTCGCGCCGATTTTAGAATCCTCGGCCGCGTCGCATCGACCGCTAGTCACGTTGCGTGTGAGAGGCTTGAGATACATAATACAGGAAGGTCAAGCGGTTCCCGGCGCTCTTATCCTCTTTGCTCCATCCATGGCGTACCGTACATTCCCTCAGAGTCGCGCCCAGGGTCCCCCTCGTCCTGTGCCGGGTCATACCGTCGCTCCGGCGACCGCGGCCGCTTTGAACCCCAACGGTACGGTGTACGCAACGTCTACCTCAGTGCCACTCATAGCAGGAGGTCAGATCGTGTTTTCGAAGCCGTTGTCAAAAGTATAGAGAATGCGCAGTCGGTCATGTCGAAGAATAAGGCTAGCCTCGACAAGACCATGACCAACAAGGAGACGCGGAACAAGATCATCAGTAAAGCCAGCGGCGTTGTTAACGCCTTGCTCGACCCAGCGCATCAGGTCGCGAACCTGCTCGACGGTATCGGCGGCGTTTTCCCCCCGTGCAAGGTTGCAAGCAATACACTTGCGGTACGCGGCTCGATTGAATAAAGCTTAAGAGGTTGTATCGCTCAATGCGCTGCGCAGGCTATTGTCGAGTTGGAACAGAATCGCAGGGACAACGACGTGAGAGTCGTAGTCATTCACCTTGAATTTGTACGTGGGTCCTTTCTAGTTCATTGAGCCCACTCAGACTGATCTCCCCGTCAGTCTACCCTTCTCGCCACACTCGGGAGTCTCGAACCGGGATTTACGCGAGTACAAAGCTTGGTCCAGCCCCTGGGGCAGATCCTTGATGGCATTGACCAGCTCATGAAAGAGTTTGGCGAGTTCAGCGAGTGAGCCAGATGTTGACACACTCTTCAGACTGTATCTGACATAGACGAAGACGCTTCTACAACTCCAGCTTATTCAAGTCCCGGATCCGCCATCTTCTTTTCGCGACTTCAAACAAGGCGTCTTTATCCGACTTCCGCGTCAAGATTGATGGATTCAGAGCCCAGCTGTCGCATCTTCTGTCTCAGCAAGCGGTCCTAATTCTAGCCGATCACACCCGTGTGCTCGACTCCATTGAGAGAAAGCTGACGCCTTTCTCGCGGTTCTACTCCTCTCTGACCACGGACGACGAGCTGAGCGCCGAGACGTTTGTAGCTGAGAATGGCGGAGAGGAGAACGTGCAGACGGTATGTAGAAATGCGTTACTCCTGCTCAGAGTGAACCCAAGCTGATTATCTCTAGGATGACTACCTACTCGACGAGTTTGTACAACGCTTCGGCGAGTCCCTTTCTCCCGGTCTCAAGAAGATCGTCCAGGAGTCAATCGAGGACTCGTATCGCCAGAGCCAGTCCGTGTCATAACAAACTGCGCACTAATGCACGCCTTGACTTCTCATAGGGCTACGTTCTTACTCAAGTTCAAGTTTGCTCTGGAGTCCAAGATCGACGACTCGCAAGAAGCGATACTGCTCGAGGTATGCCCATGACTTCTCATCAAGTAGTCTTCATCACTAACGATATGCCCAACTCAGCTCAAGTCCGGCCCTCACGAAGCAATCACCGATCCAGACATGAAAGCGATCTGGAAGGAGATCGTATGTGACCGCCTCTGCCACCCTTAACACTCGTTGATTTTGCACGCGCAGTCCGGGAAAGAGTCCAGTATCAAGCGCCGCCGCTTCATTGACGGTAAGCTTCCTGTTTCTTTCAAGAGCGGGTGGTATGCGTTGCTCATGTGTATCCAGGCATGATCTACTTCTTCAATCTTCAGGTACCTGATACTTGTCTCGTTCTTATATGATCGGTGTAACTAAGGTGGCGATGGCAACAGTTTAAGCGTTATCGTGCCGAGCATGGAAAGGCTGACCGCCCTGACGCATGGACGAGACGAATCATTAGCAAAGTTCCCTGTATGTGTTATGTCTTTCTGCGCCCGTAACCCTACGGAATAGCTGACGAACTCCCAGATCACGCCGGTGCGTTCTCATTATCTTCGCTTACCGCTTACCACTGACTGACGTCACAATAGCTATCGGCGATGCCATCGATGACGGTTCGTCAGCCATTTACGTGTTCGATGAACTTGTGCACTCAATGCTGCCGATATCCAGATGCCAGTGGCTACATCTCGGTCGGCGAGGTACAGGAGTTTATGCACCTCAAACCAGCTAAATGGAGCACGGCCGAGTACATCGCATAGTATGTTCAGCCGCCACTAAACATCGGTCAAGCCTTGAACGAACTCACAGCTGGGCGTACGGGTGGGACGCCGACAACGGATACTACAATGAGCAAGTCAACAAGATACTCAACCAACTGCAGAAGATTTGCGATGAAGAGGGTGCGAATGCGACATCGGTTGAGCATTACCTATCCGAGGTCAAGGACAAAGTCATCGCCATTGTGAGTCTGATTTGTGTTCGAACACAAGCTAGCCCTGACCCAAAGTCCTAGACCAACTCAATCTACGTCCTCAATACACTCGAACCTACTCTCGAGCCCAAGATGAATGAGTTGCGCCGCCAATGGCGCGATATCACTGAGAAGCAGATCAAGCAGCGCCTGAAGACGGTTAATTACAAGTTTGAGGAGTCGACTTTCACTGCGATCGCCGGCAGTCAGCGCGTTGAGTCGGTACGTGCAACTGCAGAATCAGAAGATGAGCTCGCCGTGCTCAGAGTCTGCAGACGTTCTTTCCCTTTGTGTATCTCCTCCTCCTCCGCCACCATGCCCTTTTTACCAAAGGTGAGACGTCGGAAGAAGCTATGGAGGAAGCCATCAACACGATCAACGTACTCCTCGACGTGGTCGAGTCGCGGGTGGCAGAGCTCAAAGCTATTTGGCGCCGTCAGCGTATCGACCTTGAGATACAAGTGCGCTATTATGCCAATGGGATGTTCGAGGATTATTACAAGGTATGGATCGTCTCTTCGACGTGTTGAACTGGTATGATTGATTGACGATATTGCGTCTGCAGAAATACCTGAAGGACAACCTCGATCGACAGGAGCTTTCTCTGCCAGTGACTGAAGACTGGGACGAAGATGATGAATGGTCTTCTGAGGAGGAAGGTGGAGAGCTGGCGGATCCTGACGGTGCACCGCTTCAGAGTGGCCAGTCCGACGCCGGCGGAGAGCAAGTTTCATCGCAACGCCTGCACGAGGACGACGAGGTCGAAGAGGCAGGGCCCCGAGCGGACGACGAGGAGCAGGAGTACGGCCGTCAACAGTCGACCAATGACGAGGAAGATGACAACGGTTACCACGGGCGCACGCGTACTGGATACGGCCGGCGCGACGATGATGATGAGGGTAGTGACGGAGGGCCGTATTCGACGAGCCAAGGCGATGGCGAGAATGACGGGGATGAGGATGACAACTACTCGCGCAGGCAGTCTCGCCGCCAACAAGGCTATGATGACGATGAGGATGATTAGCTCACTGAAAGAGCAAGTATAGTAACGCCCCGAGTTCTGCATGATGTAATTGGCATGCACGTGTGAAACAACTGTGGATCAACAAGTAGGATGTGTATGGGCGTCGAGGCAGGCGGTGTTCAGAGGGAGTCGAGATAAGATAGTTAAAATGCAGAAGAAAGCCGGTCCCGTTGAGATATAGTCCATATACGAAGTTATGACCCAAACCCATGATAGTCCAAGTATGCCCCAATCCGCAACCCTTCAAGCCGAGGTGTCGGCGGGGAAGAACTCGCCTTCCACCTGGCAAACAACACCGTCTTTCGGCAGTGATGCATCGACAAAATACTTGGCTACAACGGATGTGGTACAGTTAGACGTTGCAGACATGGAGATGTGCTAAGCAAAGAAGTCAGAAATAGTTGACAGCGGTTGTTCAAATGACTCACGCCAGTGGAGTTCTGCGTCAAGAGTGCCGACCCGGGAAAGAGTGCAGACGTAGCGACCGCTCCAGCATGCGGCGTTGCAGGGTCTGCTTACAATGTGAGTAAGTGCAAGTAAGCTTGACTGGTAGTCGTACCGATGGTATTGCCAACGAATAGGATCGGCACGCTAGTATTGCCACCGATAGAGCTGGGTGATGGGACCCGATTGGCAGTGGCTACCGGCCAAGACCTAGAGGACCCGTGAGTAGTTGACACTGGCACATAGACACGAGTACATACTGGCAACGCATAGATAGACCGAAGTAGACATCGGCATATTCGCTGACGTCCGTGGCGGCGTCGTACCGACTCTGCCATTCTGACACAGTGTAGTTTTGCACCGGTGAGTCGTTGCAGGCCACGGTAAGCAGAGCGTCGATAGTATTCTCAGGGTTTGTCGACTTAGCGCAGTCGCAAGAGAAGCTGCTCGTCGTGCTAGCGAACTCGAAGAATGCGGTGGCGTTCCCTTGTTGAAGAAGAGCGAGACCCTGCGCGAGAATCGGGAAAAGTTGGTACGGAGTGTACACGACGTTGCGGATGAGGTCCCTCAACATCCCGTAATCGACGACGCCGAAGGATGCTTCGTTTACGAGGGCAGGAATGGGGGCTACCTTCAACTGCTCATAAAGGGCGTCGAGATTTGCGGATATCTGCTCCGCAGATGAGTCGTAGAACGCGCACAGTTCTGGTCCCGCCTCGTAGCAAGCCTGGAAGAAGACGTCGACTGCCTTATCAGTATCGAGAAGGTTGACCGTCACGTTGCCTTGACTAGATGTGAGCACACCCGTGACAGAACACGCTTCAGGATGACAACACTGACCTGCGTAGTATGCTTGTGCATCAGCAACACCATCCAGAACCATACGCTCAATCTTGTCGGGATATAGAGACGCGACCGTCGCACCGAGCACAGTCCCATAGCTGGCAGAACGTTAGACGTAGTCAGGTTATAGAAGTATCAGCTGTTACTCACGAGACACCGTAGTAGCTCAGCTTATCTCGCCCGTGAGCCCGGACGATCTGCATCATATCCTCCGCTGTATATGGCGTGTTGATGAAGGGCAGGTAGTTCGCGCCAGTCTGGCCGTAGACCGCGTTGCTAACCTCCGCCTTTGCTAGCGTCAGGCCGACATTGCCAGGAATGCTGAGCGGGGGCAGAGCGCCGAAGAGTGTTTCCTCTCCCCAGATAGCAGCCTGTAGTTGTGATGGTATGCGCTGGGCTTGTGGCGTCGACCGCCCGACACCTTCGATTCGCCATCAGCCAACCCATGCATATCGAGTGGGAGAATGTTATATACATACCGCGAGGATCAAAGCTAACCAGGTCATAGACGTCACCAACGCGCTCTAGGAGCTGTTGGGCAGTCTCTGTTAGGAGAGTCTCGACGCCACTATGCGCATCCGGTCAGATTCCCGATCGCTCTGCATATGTATGAATGCGACGTACCTCTGACCGGGACCTCCTGGGTTGAAGAGCAAGGGCCCACGGTAAGCATCCGACCCATTCAAGCCGTACGGCGAAGGTATCCTGATTAATGCGATGGCTGCCGTCGCATTGGTGTTCGATACATTGTACCAGTCAAGAGGAACCTGCATAGTTTCAGTCAGACAAGGTTACCGCCGGGGGGTAGAGGCATGCTAACTTCTAAACGTGCACACTGGTAGATGCTGGCAACGGAGGCGTAGCACGACGTCCAGTTGAGTTGGGTGGAAGGAGTGATCTGCAAACCCGTCAGTCTGAGATCGAGCAGACCCAGAGTGAGCTGATACATACACTCGTCCAATCAAACTCGTCATAACACGTTTGCGCATCAGCTTGCGCGACCCAAGAGAGAAAGAAAGGTAGCAGGGGAAGAAGTGGAAGCATGAGAAGACGTGGACTCGAAACCGAAGGGAACAGTTTAGAGTAGCACGAAGGTGCGTTCTTCTTATACGACGGCCAGGATAGCATTTAGCAGCATCTCATCCAGTCGTCGCAGGCGACGAGATAATTTGCCGACGATATTGATCACCGCCACAATATGCGCGTTACCGATCGGCGTCGACGCGTTGACGCGCTAACCCCACCAGTGCTCTCCGCCGTCTGGGCGTCCAACCAAGATACCTAGGGCGGCTTTGACTTGAGTTCACAAAAGATGCAAGACACTGAAGATGTATTCACCAACTGGGTGAGTAGGCCTGCGTCAGACCAATCGTCCATACTCGTCGGTTCTCGTTGAGATCGTTGAGTTCTAGCCTCTCGCGAGCTTCAAGGAACCATATTCCAAGCAAAGGCGGATCACCGTCAGGCGGCTTTGAAATATAATGCTAGTCGGCCTTCCGTAGGCAACCGTAGACTATCTCGAGAAAGTGCTGACCATGATGGCCGGAATTCATTGAGTGGTCCTGTCCGAAAGATGCGCATCAAGATCCAGCGCAGAGCCTCAAAGTGCCGCAGTCAGGCGCGCAGAGCTCCCGACCTAATGTCTCAGTACATAGTGTGGTAGCATCAAGACCTCAGAGGCCCCGAGCAGGTGGAAGCAAAGTACGACCGACTATCGCACTTGGCTGTGGTGGGTGCGTCTGTCCAAGTTGGCCGAGGCACCGATGCCGGCCTCATACGAGATCCGGGATGATCCGATGATTACATATCTATAGGCGTCCAGGAACCTAACAAATACCCGAAAGAAAGAGCAAAAAGATGATATTCAAAAACATAGCATAGCAATTACAGATGCCCAGAGATGTGCAAGAGAAGGCGCGATACATACAGTAAAACAGAACGTCTAGATGATACACTTTTGATTATACGGCGGCAACATCAACTACTGCTGCTCGTGGTACTTCTTCCACACCGTCTTTGCAACAGGCTCGCGAGGTACGCGACGGTCCGTCCAGTGCATGAACTGCGCGTATGCCTGCTCGAGCAGCACCTCGACACCAAGCACCGGCTTCCAGGTCGGCTGCGTGCGCGCGACGCGGAGTAGAGGCGTCTGCGCGGGCTTGTACGCCATGTCGACGACCACACCACCCTCAGGACGGAAGAGCGTTGACGGGAGCACGATGCGCGTGTCCGTCGCGTGGGTCGCACCATCGTCGAGTTTCGTCGCCTCGGCCGGGACGGTGCCAACGACGACACTGGGTGGCTCACCGGGCCACTCACCAAGCTTCTCGAGCAGAATGACCTTGGCGCCGGGGATAGCGTCGATGAGCGTCTCGGCCCGGCCGCGAGAGCGGTTGTACAGGTAGATCCGCTCGGCGCCCATAGCGTGGAGAGTGTAGATAGCAGCGCGGGCGGTACCACCGGCGCCAATGATGAGCGCGGTGTGTACGGTGCGCACAGCGGGCGGGAGGCGAGCGTGGATGACGGCGCGGATGCCGAGCCAGTCGGTGTTGTCACCCTTGAGACCACGCGAGCCGTCGGCGAGGGTGACGGGGTAGATGGTGTTCACGGCGCCGATGATCTGCGCGGTGTGCGAGAGCTCCTGGAGGAACGGCATGATCTCACGCTTGTACGGGATGGTCACGCTGGCGCCGCCGAAGTCGGGGCGCGCGAGAGCGGCCTTAACACGCTCATCGAGCTCATCCGTCGCGATGACCTCGTAGTGGTGCGGCATGCCGAGGAGCTCAAACGCCGTGTTGTGGATCGTTGGACTCATGCTGTGGGTGATGTTTCCGAAGAGAAAAAACCGCTTGGGCGGAACACAGCCCATGAGCGCGAGCGAGCGCTGGATCTCATTGAACGTCATCTGTCCCGGCGCAGCCTTGAACGGCATGAGCGGGTGCGTGATGGGCGAGAAGACCTTGTTGAGAGTGCGCGAGAGCTGGCCAGCGACGCCCATGTTAATCGCGAGGAAGGGTTTGGCGCCCGGCACGGACGTCTTCTTCTCGACAAAGGTGTTGAGGGCCAGGTTGTCCTCAAGCGTTCGCGCAAGGCCGACGATCTTGATGATATCACCGATGCTGTCGCAGACCTGGTAGACGGCTTCCGGCTCGGGACCCGTCCAGCTCATCTTTCCGTGGACGTCGTGGTGGCTGGCGAGGATGACGGTTGCGCCCTTGTGCTTGAGCAGTTGTGCGATGCGGTCCTTTGGCCAGGTGATCTCGACGTCGAGGTACTCAACACCAAGACGGAGACCGAGCTCCATGAGCTCGAACGCCTCGTCGATGGCCTCATCCGGGTGTGAGCCGATCTGGGATACAGAGCGGATGGTGTAGACAATCGGCAAGCTGCTCTCACGGCGGAGGGCAGCGACCTGATCGCGGACGTAGTCGAGCGGCGGGAAGCCGTGCTTAACACCCTTCTCAACCTGCTCACGCGTGCGGAGGAGGTCGACGCGAAGCTCAAAGGCGTCCGCGCCAGTTGCAAGCTCATCAAGGCGGTGGAGGTACGGGCGGATGTCTGGGAAAGTGAGCGACAGGAAGTACGAGCGCTTGCCGGCGAGGACGTTTGGCGCGAGGTTCGGCGCTGTACCAGTGACCTGACCAAAGAAGCGGGTCACCTCCTCGCGGACCGAGCGCGGCGGCTGAGGCGGCATAGTAGCACCATCGGACAGGATGGCATCACCGGCTTCGAGCTGGGGACCGTCGAGGAGAGGGAAACCAGTCCTGTTGATAAACTCGTGCGTGCGAACGTTCGCGAACCACGGAGCACGGCGGGCCCAGACGTCGCGGATAGGCTCGCCGAAGGCTGGGCGAGAAGCCTCGCCACCGAGGTAGAGAGCGATCTCGTCAATGTGACGCATGATGTGTACGACAGGTCCGCGGGAGCCATAGGCCTTCAGCACGTCGCGCGCTTCCGGCGTCTCAACAACACCACCGCCGAGCGACAAAACGGTGCGCTTGGGGTATTCCTGGATAAGCTCCTTGAGGATCGCGAGCTCGCCATCGCGGAAGGCTTTCCAGCCCTTCTCGTGCACGAACGACTTGATGGGCTGTCCGTAGCGCTCCTCGAAGACGAGGTCGGCGTCGATGCACGGCCAGTTCAGGGTGGAGGCCGAGAGTTTGCCGATGTATGACTTCCCGGAACCGCGCATACCGATGATAACGACGGACGCCTCGGGGTCACGAGTCTCGGATGATTGCGAGGCGGCCTCGTCGAGCTCGACACCCTCAACCTTGAGACCAATCTACGATCATAATCAGTGCACCGACCAAGTTGACGCATTCTAGGGCAAGCGTACCTTGCTCTCGAGGTCATCCCACCAGTTAGGCCACGTCTTCTCAACGCAGCGCTTCTCCTCGAGGATGGTGCCACCAACAACCGTGCCGAGAACCGAGAACGCCATAGCAACACGGTGGTCATCGTAAGTGTGCACTTTGACGCCCTGCTTGAGCGACTCGATCGGCTTGCCGTAGATCTCAAGGCCGTCGTCGAGCTCCTTGGTCTCAACACCGAACTTAGCTATTCGAAGAGTCAGCACATGCTCAGAGACACACGAAGATGCAAAGCGTACCAAGCTCGTCGATCATCGCACGGATGCGGTTGCATTCCTTCACACGCTGGTTCGCGATACCGATGATGCGCGTCGCCGGTCTGCTCTCGCCTTCAAGCTCACGACCAGCCTCGCAGGGAAGAGTCGCAACAGCAGCGAGTGCCGTAGCCGTCAAGAACGCGTCGGTCATCGGCTCCATGTCGACCAGTCCAAGCGCCTTCAGTTGTCCGCGCGGCGGGCCAGTAACAGTCGTCTCATTATCGGTCTGAGACACCTCGCACCCCATATGCTTGAGCACGTCAACGGCGAAGCGCGCATCGCCCTGGAGGCTGGCGGCGCCGATGTTCGATACGGTGCACGTGGTGCCGGTGATGGCGGCGACGGCGAGCGGGTAGGTAGCGGACGAGGCGTCGGACTCGATGGCGTACGCGGGCGGGTTGGTGTACGTGCCCTTGGGAATCTTGTACGTGTCCTCACCCTCGACCTTTTCAACGTTGATGCCGAAGGTGCGCATCATCGCGATGGTCATGTCGATGTACGGCTGCGAGATGACCTGGCCGCCGGTAAGCGCGAGCGTGACGGGCTCGGCGGCGTACGGCGCGCAGAGCAGGATACTAGAAACGTATTGGCTGGACACGCTCGCTGCAAGCTCGATACGGCCACCCTTGAGGCCATTGGGTGCAATGGAAAGCGGCAGGCAGCCCTCGCCCTCGAGGTAGTCGACAGCGGTGCCGTTGGTGCGAAGAGATTCGACAAGCGGGCCTATCGGGCGTTGCTTCATGCGAGCGTTGCCAGTGACAACGGTACGCTCGCCCGAGCCCTCGCCGGGAGAAGCGAGCGCGCAGACAGTGGTGAGGAAGCGGGCGGCGGTACCGGCGTTCTGGAGGTAAAGCTCCTTGCCCGCCGGAGGGACCGTGAGAGCGCCGCTGCCACCGTGGACTACGAGCGTCTCGCCACCATCTTCCCACTCGAACGTTGCGCCCTGCGCTTGATCAGCATCTGTAGCACTGAATGAAGATCATTGCGCCTCACCTTCAGATCTTGGAGCGCAGCCATCATGACGCCCGTGTCGTCCGAGATGAGCATGTTGGTAAGGCGGCAAGTGCCCGAACCGAGGGCTGCTAGCACGAAAGCGCGGTTGGAGATCGACTTCGAGCCGGGCGTGGCCATGCGTACAGGGTTGTTTGCGGGGGTGCCAGGAATTACGCGGACCGACTCGGCGAGCACCTTCGAAATGACTGCATCCTCGACGACGGAAGCCTTCTCCTCAGCCGTCTTGCCGATGCGGGAGAGGATCACGATCTTCTTGTGGGGACCGGAGTTCTTCTTGTCAATGCGCATGATGTCAAGCAAGCGCTGTGTCGAAAGCAGGCGGGAGGCAGGCAGGCGCGCGATACGCGGGTCCTTGACGCTGACGGGGAGGTTGTAGCTCTTCAGGCAGCGCGAGATGCGGCCAATAGCGACCTGACCGAGCTTGCCGAGTGAGCGGGCCACCTCGGCCTCCAAGACCATACCGATGGCAACACACTCGCCATGGAGGATGGCGGGCGTCAAGACAGCCTCGATGGCGTGGCCGATGGTGTGGCCGAAGTTGACGAGGTTACGGAGACCGGTCTCGCGCTCATCGATGGTGACGATATGCGCCTTCACACCGATTGAGCCGGCAATGACGTGTAGAAGCAGTCCCTGAGACTCAGAGCGTGTTGCGAGAGTGCGGCCGGCGTAGTTCTTGGATGGTGTCTGGATAGCGGCGAAGATCTCTGTTGCCCGAGCCTCGAGCATGGCGAAGTCGTCGGCTTTCCAGATTGCGGCAGTCTGAGAAGTGTTGAGTTTCAACATTGATGAAAAGATGAACATCAAACATACCTTGACGACCTCGGCCATACCGTTTGAGAACTCGCGCACTGGCAGAGTCTCGAGGAAAGCGGCGTCAATGAAGACGTATTCGGGTTGCCAGAAGGCGCCAATCAGGTTCTTGCCGTTCGGGGTGTCAATCGCAGTCTTGCCGCCGACGGAAGAGTCGACCATGGCGAGAAGCGTTGTTGGGATCTGCACAAAGCGAACTCCGCGCATGCTGTCAAAGTCCGATCAGCGAAACGCGCCCACAGCAACCTTAAAGTGAAATCATGTGACCGCGATCAGCCCCGCATGAAACTTCGCATCTGCGAGCGAAACGCAGGCGCCGCAGAGGATAGATGGGATAGCACCGGCGGTGCAGGCGCAGAGATGCGCCGCTGATACATGTATAGATGTGATGTAGATCGCGTACTCACAATGTGGCTGCGACGAAGCCCGTGAGATCGCCAATAACACCGCCGCCGAGTGCGAGGATGACGGTGTCTCGAGTACAGTGGTTGGCGAGCAGGTAGTCCTCGATTTCAGCCTTGCCTTGACGGCTCTTGGACGTCTCGCCAGGAGGAATGATGTGCGTCAGGAAGCGTGATTTGGACTCTAGCCTTGTGATGGCGGCGTCGAACTCGGATTGGAAGGCGTTAAGGTGCAGGCGGGCGATGTTCGTGTCGGTGATGAGTACATAGGTGGAGGCGGGCAGAGTCGTCAAGACCGTGTCGGCGATGTAGGGAATAAGATGGAAACCGCAGTGGATGGACTCCTTGCCGAGGCAGGAGACCTTGGTGACCTCCGTCTCCGTAGCCATAGTCTAAAGGAAGGGAAATAATAAAATGGGTGAAGGTGGAGAGGGAGGGGTAAGGTTCGCCTGAGCCGCCCGAGGAGGAATACTTTATGTGCGGGCGGTGTGAGAAGGAGTACGTTGATGATCGTGACCGGAGATCCCACAGGGCAAGGCGGTGGACGCGCAGGAGATTTACAGCAGCCCGACTGCGAACTTGACTCGTCGGCGTTCGCGAGAAGGCCTTCGGGATTCACGGTCCGATCCGGGATTATCCCACACGTGGCGTCTGCTCAAACTTGTCCGCCGCAGAAGGCTCTGTGACGTTTCCTATTTCGTACGGGTTCAAGGGCACCTATAGCGGGCGTCCGAGGTGGAAGCGCAAGCCGAACAACGACGACGAAACCCGCGTTGATCTCGTTACACCTATCGGATTATCCCGGCGCATCAACGCCTTCAAAATTACTTATCCGTGCACGGCGCGGCCACTCACTTCTCCGCACACACCCTTGCCCTCCATGAGTTCCTCCCTCCGTGCGTGATATTTCGTACGGGCGCTTGTTGCATTGTTCGCTGACGTCTGTGTACAGTCCGCCAGACGGCGTCACGAGCGCTCTCCCAGGCGCGCGCACGGCCGCTGCAGCTGGTCCGCCGGGAGGCCCAGGCGCTGACCAGGCATTCGTCCAGCAGCCCTGCCTCGGCCTCGGCTTCGGACGCAGCAAGTCAATCCTTCTCGTATCCCCCTCACGTACGCTCACATACCCTTGTAGACGCCCACACCACCGCCCCCGCCTGCGCCCAAAGACTCGCGATGGAGTCGCTTCCAGCGCACCGTCGGCCGCGTCACGCTCGTCACCATCGTCGTCTCCGGCGGCACCTTCTACTACTTTACACAGAAGGACCGCTCGCCCGGCGTGCAGCTGCCGTATGACCCAAGCAAGAAGAACATTGTTGTGGTTGGCTCTGGCTGGGGTGCGACGTCATTCCTCAAGAGCATCGACAACACCGAATACAACGTCGTGCGTGTTCAATGTCCATATATTCATATGTTTAATCTCCAACACCTTTGCTCTGCGCAGATCGTCGTGTCCCCCCGCAACTTCTTCTTGTTCACGCCTCTCCTTCCTTCCGTCGCAGCCGGAACACTGTCCTCCCAATCCATCCTTCAACGTCAGTGATGAAGCGGGCTTCCGCACAATGTCCGCGTCCTTCCGAGCTTGAACTGACTCCGGTCTAGCCACCCGATATGTTACGCGCCACAAGCCGCGCCAAGTGACGGTCATCGAAGCCGAAGTCAAGAACGTCGACGTGCGTACTCTGATCATACTTTCTACTTGACAGGCCTCGAACTAATAACGCTGCAGCCCGACAAGAAGACCATCACCTTCGCGGGTAAGTTGACGTCACTGCCTTCCCCTTCCGTGCCTCCGCGCGCGCTTCTTCCAACTATCCGCGTGACTTCTTTGGGCCACATCTAATCTGACGCGCGCCCCACAGACGAATCCGAGGTCAGAGGCGCCATCTCCAGCACGACGATCGGCTACGACTACCTCGTTTACGCTGCCGGCGCCGAAACACAAACGTTTGGCATTCCTGGCGTCAAGGAGAATGCGGTCTTCATGAAGGAGATCCAGGACGCCGAGTCTATGCGCAGGCGCTGGATGGACTGCATCGAGACGGCGGGCTTCCCCGGCCAGTCCCCCGAGGAGATCGACCGTCTCTTGCATATGGTCGTCGTCGGTGGTGGCCCCACTGGTATCGAAGTCGCCGGCGAGATTCACGACTTCCTCGTCGAGGACCTCAAGGCGTGGTACCCCGAGCTCGCCGACCGCGTTCGCATCACCCTCGTCGAGGCTCTCCCGTCTGTGCTGCCCATGTTCTCCAAGAAGCTCATCGAGTACACGCTCAGCTCGTTCAAGGAGCAGAAGATCGACGTCCTCACCAACACGATGGTCAAGGAGATCAAGCCCAACAGCGTCGTCCTCCAGATGCCGGATAAGACCATCAAGGACGAGCCTGTCGGTCTTGTCGTCTGGGCTGGTGGCAACAAACCTCGCCAGGTCTCTGTCGATCTGATGAGCCGCTTCAAGGACGTTCAGACGA